CTTTACATTTTCGTCTTTTTTGTTTGATTTTGGCATTCTACGACATAATGGTATCGTTTTTAAATATTCTTTTTGCTACTTACGTTATATATTTGCTTATTTTTCAACTGTTTTGTACGATTTACAGTATGGTTGAAAACTTTTGGAAACGGCCGAAAATTCATGCGCGCGCGGATGTCATCCATATAATCAAATCAACATGGCCTAACTGGTTAAAAAAAGCTTTCATTGGCTTTTTCAAGTCAATGACATGTTACCAGGCAACCTGAACTTTTAGCAATTGGAGGCATTTGTATCAACGACGTTCTGAAGCATTTAATGTTAGTATCTTGTAGATGTGAATTTGACTACCTCACACATGGTTTTATGACGGGGGGCGGTACAGACTTCCGACGACCTTTGACCCAGTGCTGACGTCACACGTGGCTTAAAGTCACGTGTCCACAGCACTTGGGTTATAAAGTTGATGAAGACTGCGCGATTCAGTCGAAATTTCTGTTGAGTTAATTTCTTTTTGAGTTGGAGAACAGTTTATTTATGTATTTTACCAACTCTGATGAACTTTCATGCTAACACATGGTTTTATGAAAACAAACTCAACGTAAAACTAGCCTACTGCCCGCAGCACAAGTCTAAACCTCCCTGATGTTCACCTTGAACTGTCACGGCCACCTGTCTGATTTCAGCATGATTAAATGCTTACATAATGGATTCTAAATAGACATGCTACAAGGAGAAAATATACGGGGTGTTCTGTTAGGTGTGCACCTGCAACTCATCTTATATACGACAGTGCTAGAAATACCCACCTGCTGTCTACATTTTAGAGAGATGTTTTCAATATTGCAGAAGAAAAATTAAGCAGCCTGTTATATACTAGACTCTATACTACTATTAGTAATTTTGCATGTTTCTATAAAATTGTATGTAAAAATATTTACCAGAGATGTACAATGCTCAATACAGATTGGTATTTATTTCCACCTCTCTCTCTATCTCTCTCTCTTTGTCTCTCTTTGTCTCTCTTTGTCTCTCTCTCTCTCTGTCTCTCTCTCCGTCTCTCTGTCTCCCTCTCTCTGTCTTTCTCGATGTCTCTCGCTCTCTGTCTCTAGCTCTCTTTCACTCTAGCTATCTGCATCTCTTTGTCGATGAATTTTTTCTCATCGTATGCCGCAATGACAATACTGAACAATTCATACACCTTGCGACCGTTCTTAAGCTTGAAGTATTGTAAACCAAGAAAAATCACTACCAAGGCACCTACTGACAACCTACATGAGTTAGACAGGACAGGTACACATAGACCTCTTACTCACTTAGGACTGGCCCTGACCATAATTTGTTCTCACAAGTATTACAAAGACAGCACAAGCATGGATAACAGAAAACACATGTTCGGGACAAGCTCGTTTTACTTTATACCAGTGGCCCTCTGTCTGTGTACTAATCCAAACCGGAAAGTAGACAAAACTTTCCCAGTGTCATGACGGTTTAAAAGTTGCCCAGTATGGCAAAACTGGACTTTAAAAAGTAAATTTATTTTCTGGCCATTCTTTTAATGTAGTAAGTTGAATCAATCATATCCCATAGCATAGTGCTGTGAAGAAAACATCCGATGTCGACGTCGCTGACGGAAAACGGTTGCTTGTTTTGTGTCGTAGACTGGCTCTAGATATTTATGGGTGGTACCCAAAAGTAAAGTGTGTCGTAGGCTGGCTCTAGATATTCAAGCGTGGTCCCCAAAAATAAAATGTGTCGAAGGCTGGCTCTAGATATTTATGGGTGGTACCCAAAAATAAAGTGTGTCGAAGGCTGGCTCTAGATATTTATGGGTGGTACCCAAAAATAAAGAGACGTCTCACTTAGGTTTTGTTTTGCCGTCCTGAAATTGCATTGGGTGCCTTTAAACCTAAAGCCAAGTCACGTACTGTTATGTTGGTATTCTTATACAGCATTTTGAAATGTCGTTCATACACTTGTGCTTTGGCGCGAAGGTTCCAAAATAAACACTAAATCAAACTCTGTCAGCCTTGGGGCTCAGACTTGCTTGTCTAGCTCGCCGAAGGTCATTATTTTTAAATGTTGACATCCAAGATGTATTAGATAACACTTGTGGAAGTGCAGGCCGGGGAACTACTGCGCTAGATTAACATGTCACATAGCGAAGTTCGGGGCATTAACTTTAGGTCAGGAATGGAACACAGACACCTTCTGTTTGTGTAGTATGCAGTGTTGGGGTTTCGTGGAGGAGGAAAGTATAGTCTCTTCGGATAAGGCCACAGCAAGTAATTACCTTCGCCAAGAAGGTTATGTTTTCAGTAGCGTTTGTCTGTGTGTGTGTGTGTGTGTTTGTGTGTGTGTGTGTGTGTGTGTAATTTAGCAAGATAACTCGAGAAGCAGTGGATGGATTGGAATGAAACTTGTTAGGTGGGTAGGTCTTCATGAGACCTAGAAATGATTAGATTTTGGGCCCCCTGGCGGCTTTCCTAGGTACTGCAGCTGAACTTCCGGTTTTGATATCTCATGTTCTGGACATGCTAGGGTTACGAATTTTGGTTGGTAGATAGCTTTGGGGGTAGGGAAGAAGTGACATGAGATTGGGTCCCCTAGCGCCTTGTTCTGGAACTGCAGGAGCATTTGTTGAAAAAAATTTGAAGGACGATAACTCAAGATCCGGTTGACGTATTGTCGTGATTTTTGGCATGTATGTAGTTGAAGTGATGCTTGACATAATCAGATGGCAATTATGCAAATCAGGAGCTAATTTGCATAATTAATGAGGAAATTCTATAAATCTGCTTTGTTCGATAATAGAACTATTAAACACTTGTGACATCTACTTGAGAATGAGAAAAACATCTGAGGATATAGATTATGTAAATGAGAACCTAATTTGCATAATCAATGGCAAATTCTTATAATTCCATAGTTGTCACTGCTGCACCCAATTTCATACTTGCCACATTTGGAAGTTAAGTGAAGTGAAGTGAAGATCAATAAACATAATTTATTCAAATCATGACCTCATTTGCATAATTTATGAGGAAGTGCTATAATAGCCTTTTTGTTATGATAAGGCTGTCATTGGATGGAGAATATGATCAACTGATATAATCCATGCAAATGAGGCTCTTATTTACAAAATAAATGATTAAAATTGTATAATTTATCACCCGCAAGAGTTGACACCATTTGGCGAAGGTATGAGATCGTGGAACTCTTGTTTCTATGGGTGACATCAGCGCGCATTATTTTTCGCCTGATTTTGGGAAAAAACAGTAGTCAACATGCCGAAAATGGGCCAAGATGTCTGTTGCCATGCCGGAAGGTGGATGGCATGATAACTATGAAGAGAGAAGAAAAGAAAAGGCTTTGATTTAATGTTTTGTTTCTTACTTTGATGCAGTGATATGTGATGCTGGCTGTGTATATGTGATGTTTCCACTGAATCAAAACCATTTGTAGAATGATGGAGTCAAAATTTTCAAATGTACTAGGAACCTTGTTTTTTTTTCTTTTTTCGCCCGCTCGCATTAGATTTGGAATCTGCGGAGGACGTCATCCATAAAATTTACTTGCTGTGGCCTAACATGAAATTACTGCAAAAGCACTCGACGTGTTGTATAGTAACTTCTCAGCTTGTGTCTCGAAACTAATTGTAATGGTATGTTGTCGACCATACCTTCACACACATCCTAACATGCCATGACGCTTCACCAGTGGCCAGAGTCAAGTCTGTCTGAATTCCGGCCATGCCTGGGTGCAGTACGCTGTGTGTTATCTCCGACACTCATGTTAACAGTACGGGCGTGAGGCGACTAACATCTAGGGGTGCCAGAGTATACAGTGTAATTTTACGAAATACAGTGCAATTTTACGGAATACAGTGCAATTTTACGAAATACAATGCAATTTTACGGAATACGTTGCAATCGCATTAGCATACAGTGCAATTTTACTAGTAAAATTGAGGAAGTTTACGGAATACAGTGCAATTGCATTAGCATACAGTGCAATTTTACGAGTAAAATTGAACTGTATGCTAGTAAAATTGCACTGTATACTAATACCATTGTACTGTATACCGTAAAATTGCACTGTATACTACTAAAATTGCACTGTATTCCGTAAAATTGCACTGTATACTCTGGCTTCTGAAGTATACAGTTTTTAGTGTGGCCCATATACTTTCTAAATTCTTAGTGGTGCAGGTGAAATATATGTCTGAGCCAGCTTATTTTTAACATTACATGCACCAGTGAAGGTAGGGAGAAAAAGTCTTTCTAGCTCTGGCTAAACAAACAAAAAATACAAATTAGTGTGCTTTGTATCTAACATGTAGACATTTTTCAAGCTAGAAGACTTGGCTCCGGCGTATAGCCAGTCAGATGGCAGTTGAACAGTTAAGAAAACCTTAAACAGATGAAAAACACAGCAGTACATACTAGTCAATCTACGTCAGCCTACTAATTCTTACAGGACAAAGCTAAGGTTTCCGTGGGTGTTCACAAAGCGCCGATTGTTGTAACTGATGATACACAAAGCTTTTAGACACGCGCAAACACTTACGAGACAGATTGAGTGCAGAAAAATTATGGTTGTGTGTGCTCAGTTCGACATAGGGTACGTGACTGGCCAACACACATGGACCCACGTAGTATATTTACGGATTTGTACATATGTTTACGTCGTATTTAAGCACACTGAAAGTTTCGGAAAGGTGGAATTTGCCTTTCAGTAGCCTTTACTAAGTCGTAAAGTCTACTGAAATATTTTCTCACCTTTAATACTCCTTTACATATTGCGGAAAGTTTGTAATTGCTTAAATATCTGTGTTTTCGTGCTGTGAGTAGTGGTAGCGAACACAAAGCGATATCGTGTATTTCACACCTGAAAACTTTCTGGCACACACACGTTGGTTGGCACCCCGAACGCCAATGTTACGCCTGAACGACATTTGGTATAATGTTAGCTTGGTGATATATCACATGCAATCTTACCTGGTTCCTCCCTGGTAGCCGTTGGTAGACTTACGCTGTGCCTTGGTAGACCCTACACGCGATATGTTCAACACAACAACCAGTGCCAGCAGCAGCCAAAATGGGGTTCTTATGAGAGACATCTCCATTCTCAAGTCCAAAGCTGATTTGTCCCTTTCTCTCACAAGACTCTATAGTTGTCAGCGCTCCAGACGACACTAAACAGTGCTGTACACTTGTGCAGGCTGTAGTAGGCTCACTCATGTACCGGGATGAAGTCCAATCTCTTGCCGGTAGCTTCTTAACGTCTCGCCCGCTGTCGTTTTAGACACACTCCGCCGGTGGAAACACCTCGAGGTACGGGGTTTGTCCCTTTCTCTCACAAGACTCTGTACTTGTCAGCGCCCCAGACGAACGACACTCAACAGAACCGGTGCTGTACACTTGTGGTGCAGGCTGTAGGCTCAGTCATGTACGGGTGAAGTCTAATCTCTTGCCGGTCGCTCCTTAACGACTCGCCCGCTGTAGTTTTAGACACTCCGCCGGTGCATGGAAACACCTCGAGGTACGGGAACAGGTGAACGTTAAGTTGATGTAGATGTAGACTGTGACTTTGAAGTAGAGTCCTGAACAAACTCTTGTGCCGTCTGCTGGCAGGCTTGGGCCTGCTTCTACTCCCACAGACTGAACTGTTGAAAGTCTCCTCTGACAAGACTGCATGGGCTACTTCGATACAGTTCAGCGTTCCACGACAGCAAAGATTTTCGGAGCAGCTTTGGAACAACTTCTTATATATAGTATCGCACGTTATGTGTTTACACAATCACTGACTTGCCGAGACAAATCGTTCTACGAATAAAAGCCTGCATTGTTGCTTTGTGGACAAGTTTTGAACATCTATTAGCAATATGTTTTTTCTTTATTAATAAAATGATGATGGCAAACAGTTGTGTGCACCTCAAACTATTTGTATTCTTTTCATCATTTTTTTCTGATGTATCGGAAAATCTTTGACATTGGCCTTGAACCTGACAGCGTCATTACTTCCGGTGTACCCATGACGTCACCAAAATGGTGAGACAGCTCCCATGTCGAATCTGTACGTCGTAAACTTACCAGCATCCAATGCGATTTCAAAGCAGCAAAACTGGTCTGACTTAATAAGGCAATCTTTATGATGTTAACACATACTGCCCCACCTTAGCACATTTGAGTCAGCATTTCATACTTAGAACATTTAAAACTGCAGAAACAAGCCCCGAGATGAGTCCTTTATTTTATAGGTGGTACCCTAAAAGTCAACCAAGGGCCCTTCCAGTAACCATTTTCTGTCAGAATTCCGGGTGTTTTTGTTCCATGATGGTCAATACACATTGGGATAGTGTGGTTTCAACTCAGTATGTAGATATAAGTGAGCAGAATATTGATTTTGAAAAATCGGGTTTCTGAGCCTTAAAAACTGCACTGGATGCCTTTACCGAGTCGTGATTTCTGATGACGAGAGCATGATTTTTCCTACACACTAAAAGTAGTCGAGTTGAGCCCCTACTTTGCTTCCCCGGAACTCTGTGTAAGCTCCTGAAGTGCTTGTTTTGGAAAACGTCAATCAAGGACGAGAAACAGGTTCTTCTAGTGGTCTGGTGGGTGTTATAACTAAGGGTCTGCTCCAGACCAAATAGATTAGTAGTATGTCGAGCGGCCGGGCGCTACGAGAGGCAACCCTCCCTTGAACTCAGGCGAAGTCTGTACTTAGTTCCAAGTATGAAGGATCATGTATGCTTCAGGCAGCCAGGGAAAACCATAAGACGACTTACAAGTGTGCGCTGTAGAAAAACGCATTGGAGCAAGACATTTCAAAGTCTTAAAGGTATCCATTGCAATTTCCTGGCGGCAAAACTGGAATTTTGATATTCTGAATAAGGCAATATGTAGGATGTTGATGCTATCTCACATCAGCACATCTGTATCTTTGTTTACTTTAAAACAGCACAGAAACCCCCAAATGAGTCCTTTTATTTTCTGGGTGGTACCCAAAACAATCAGTCCATGATCCTACCAGTAACCGTTTTAAGTTTTGTCACGGTTTTTGGCACTTTTGCTCCATGAATGTCGATATATATTGGGATAGTACGTGTTGTTTTAAATTGTAGGCAGATAAAATAATGTAGATAAAATAATGTTATCAAAAATCTGGTTTCCAAGTCCTTAAAAACTGCATTGGGTCCCTTTAACTCTGAGTGTTCTTTGATTAATCTTTTCTCGTGTTATTCTGACGCGGGCTTTCCTCGAGTGCTCTGTTTGCCAATTACAGTGACCGTGAAGGCTCTGAGAATACATCGGTGCCTCACGAATATGTCAAAGGAGCTGAACCATTTGGGTGTTCGGATTCGACCGCGCTGTTCTAGCTATAATAGCCTCCACCCACAGGCCTCCACCAGGCCTTTCTACGGGAATACGGATCGTAGAATTCGGCAAAAAAGAGAGTAAAATTGGCCAAGGGAGTCCGACCGCGGGGAGGTAGTTTCTTTCCCTCCAAAGCGCGGCCAGTCATACCTACAAGGCAGCCAAACTCCCCTGGCAATTATTCTCCTATATATAGCCAGCGTAGTTAGTCTGGTAGAGACTAGTTCTAGCTACCAAGGCCGCAGAATTAGACACATATGTTCGGGGATTTTTGGAAGGTTCCCACAGTCGAATTGCCCTCAAGAAAAAATAAAGAAAACATGCAAATTGATCGTACTGAGCCCGTACTAATTGGTTTCGAATGCCTTTAGTACTATGAGATGGGGAATTTGTCAAAGGCCGTGTAGAAGTGTACAATAATAGCGTTGTATGAGCTTTTTCCCCTTCAACCCTAAGACCTAAAGTACACAACGAAACGTCCACAGCACGGGGGTTTCAAACCTGGCTTTGATCAAGCGTAGACGGGGTCCGTAGCTGCGAGTAAAACAGAATATGATGTTTTGACTTAACCCAAAATTTAGCACCTTCTGAATGGCTTTCAACAGGGCGGCGGAAGCTCTGTCTGCCTGTCTCAGACAGTCGGGTGTGGGGGCTTTTTCAGGCAGCACTTGATCTATGGTTTCCTTGGGCATAGGAACTCACTTCCTCCTCATGTCAAAAATGCAAAAACACTCAGTGTCTTTAAGACCACCTTTTCATCATTCAGCAGTTAATCTAGTAGTTTTTTGCAGTAGTTTCTTAGTAGTTATCAGTAGTTCTATGTGTACTAATTGTCTGTTTTTCATACCATATGTTTCTTCCGTTCCTGCAATTAGCCCTCGGGCACAAATTTGCAATAAAACAATTAGTATGATTTCTTTGCTGTTAATTTCCATTTTATTTATAGACATTGATATGCAAATTCTGGTCCATTATGAATATTATTTACATCATTTGTCATATTTAGTTAGTTTGTTTTTGTCTGTACTTTATTAGTCTGTTCCGTTTCTTCTATTATAACTACTCATTCATTGTACTTAAGTTAGTTTATAGTTTTATTATGTTATGTATGACACAGGGAGCTTTGAAAAGCGCCAACATGGCGACATGCTAACTGTATAAATAGATAAAAATGAAGTGAAAAGTTCTGTTTCCGGTTTTCCGACCGACCCTAGCAAAAAAATATAATTCTAGTAATAACTTCCAGCCCTGAAGTTCAACATGTAACTCTGACCTCGACTACTGGTGTCGAACCGGATGAATTGCCAGACAAAATTACTTTGGAAAAGAATAATGAAAAGGGACCATTGTTAAAACCAAGAGCACCTGTCACATGTCAAAAATCAGAACAGAATCGTATGTATTGTCGTTGATTTTAAGGGATTTGACTCGGATTTCGAGTAGAAAAATGAGGAAAAATGCCCATGTTGTGGTCTAGGCGTTATGTCCCCACAAGAACTGTGACATTATTTTGGATAAATTAAACAAAATAAATTACACAAAAAGTAAAAAATCAGAAAATAAGTACGTAGAGAACACAAACCTACGTCGTTAGGAGTGACGAAAACTCATTGGATATTTTTCTTTACTTAAAGGCCACAGCAAGTATACTTTATGGATGACATCCTCCGCAGACTCCAAATCTAATGCGAGCGGGCGAAAAAAAAACGAGGCGGGCCGAAAAAAACAAGGTTCCTACATTTAAAAATTTGACTCAATCATTTTACAAATGGTTTTGATTCAGTGGGAACATCACATATACACAACCAGCATCACATATCACTGCATCAAAGTAAGAAACAAAACATTAAATCAGAGCCTTTTCTTGTCTCCTCTCTTCATAGTTATCTTCCATCCACCTTCCGGCATGGCAACAGACATCTTTGCCCATTTTCGGTATGTTGACCACTGTCACAATGAAAAAAAAATGTTGTCTTTTTTCAAAACCAGGCGAAAATTAATGCGCGTGCTGATGTCATCCATAGAAATTACTTGCTGTGGACTAAATAGAATGATTTCCCCCATTTTTCAATGGTATAGCCCTGCGCAGACGACTGTCCCGGGCCTGACCAGAGTGTCGCGTTGCACCCTGGTAACATGAGGACGGAACTATTAACCTCAAGGTCAGGCAGAGTAATTGGAGGTCACGGATGCGCACACTTTCCCATGGGATGTGTTGTAGAGAAATATTTAGACGACACACTGTTGCTACATTTTACAAAAACATTCGAAAACATTCATTGTTTGTAAAGACCATTTGATAATTGTTTGAAGAGACCATTTAAAAGCAATTATGGTGCTGTGTACCATACACTTCTAAGAAATGAGCACTCTTTGTGACAAGTAGTTTTCTAAGTTCTTAAGAATACTGTGGGAAATTTTAGCCTCCTTCGCAGACTTGGGGACTTATGCCGCGGAGGGACGGTTTTGCCGCCGAGGGAGAGAGGTTTTCACCACCCAAGATACCTGCGATGGAGGCTATGAAATTTTGGGTCCGATTCTTTGCGTTCGAAATTGCAACTTACTTTTGTGAATCCTTCTTCAAAATGAAATAATTCAGCCCTAGGAAAACCAATGTTGTGTTTCCTATTACGGTCCTGAAAAAATCGGGTCGGTAGGTAGGAATTCACTTTTTTATAATTTTTTTGAAAATATTTTAGCCAAAGTGATCCAACAAATACAGTCAATATAACGCTGAAATGCATGCGTACACTCTGGTATTTGGACTTGTACCGAAACATTAGGTCCGGTTCTGATTCGGTCCAGTGTACCGGTACGCACCAGTTTTAAGATAAAAAAAAAATTATGTCTCTCGTCGGCGGCCGACTAAAGAAGGCTAGGGTAGGGGTCTAAATTTTTTTTCGCTATTAGCCTTCCCTGGGCCTTAGGTTAAGTGTGAAATAACCCCATCCACACCCACACAGGTTGCATTCAGACCACGTACACGCCTGATTGGAGATGAAAGTCGACCCAGTAATCACTTAAGTAACCAACCAATAGACGTTTATTAGTTGAATCTGACTGCTATAATTCTAACCATACCCTCCTTCAAGTTAGAAAGGGAGACCTGCATGCCCTTTTTCGTAAGGCGTAATCAGACCTTTTTAGTCGTCGTAATCCGTAGGCAGCTTCCCCAAAAATCAACGTAATCCGTAATAGTACATTAGACGCAAAGCGTTAAGTCGTAATGAGCTCTGAGACTTTAAAGTAATTCGTAATATAATAGTCCTGTCAGTTACTTTATTTGATCGAGTGTTTAGTAAAAGCATGTTTTTACTTTAAACTTGACATTGGATCGAATCCCAAGCAGAAACTGAATTTGAACTTAGAATGTTTTGGTTGGCTCAAAACTGTCCACTAGGAATAACTAACATCACACCCGCTACGGAAAAATGCCTTGCCGGTTCCTTATATGAACATGGATGCTCGAGTCCCATTTGCTTATTTGAGTTTACCGCAAGTGTGGAAGGGAGGACAAAACAGGTGCATTGACACCTTTACAAGTTGTCCTCCCCAACAATACAATATAAATACAGATTATGATATTAACTACAAAACGGATTACAATATCATACATTAATAAAATGAAATACTGTACAATGTCATACACTATATACAAAAATGGCAATGATTAAAACTAATATTAATGCTATTAATATGAGGTCGTAAAGCCGTACAGGAAAGTTTAAAGATTGAAGGATCGACGTCGCATATTTAGTTACTTTAAATTAATATTTATTTAGGAACCTTTATCACATTTGTGGAAGAATTACAAGGTACTTATTCACACCTGAAACAATAATGAGGAAATATGTGCAAAGTGCCAAAGTTTCCCAAGGACACAACAATTGGGCCTGCCGGGGGATTCAAACCAAGAACCTTCAGGTTCTGAGTCAACAACTCTAACCACAAGGCTATTACATTCACTAATTGCCCCAAGACAATCTCCCACTCACATATCCGGCTTCTGAAGAACTTGTCACCCCAAGAGCCAGAGTAGAAATATTTGTAGAAAACACAGGTGTAAATGTTTCTAACGTGACCTCCAAGGCCTTGTATCTAGACAAAAACATACAATTAGACCGTTAAACACAACCATGACCATATCCATCTTCAGTGTAAGTGAAGAACTTGTTGTGCCTGGAGCCAATGTAGAAATATTTGTCAAACAGCGGTGTTCAAGTTTCTAACACTGACCTCCTGTTAACGTTATCGTTTCCAAGAATGTAAGGCCACACAGACTTAATTTTATGGATGACATCCACGCGCGCATTGATTTTCACCTACGATACGAAACAATCGTTCATTTTCCGTCAGTAACATTGCATTTTTGCCGCACAGATATCAGTATGCTATGGGATAGGATTGATTCAACTTAGGCCACACCGCCTTAATGTTATGCATGTCATCCTTTGAAGGCCTTTGAAGGCCCCCAAACAAGTGCGCGCGGGCGAATAAAAAAATCCGACCATAAAAAATGCTACACCACAGCAATACAAAGCTGGTATTGTGAATTTGCGGCAGTACATAGCGACGTATGCGCGTACGACAAGCCGGCACATGCTGGCTTTTTGCTTTATGAATCAGCACTATACGTAATACTATGTACTGAGTTCTTGAGTCGTGGAGCTTCGGCAACCTGGGTGCCCGGCTCCGTATTGTCGCTAACTACCATGGACTATTAAAAAAACAGGCCTAGATCTAGGCCAGAGCCTCGGTGGACGTGATCTTTTTTCTTCTTTGAGAACAGGCGAAAATCAATGCACGCGAATGTCATCGATAAAATTAAGACGGTGTGGCCGTACTACATTTAAAGAATGACCAGAAAATTGACTTTGAAAATCCGCCTGAAATTGCTTTGGATGCCTTCAGCTTCCAAGAATGTAAGTGCCTAGTCTTCATCCCGACCACGTACATGTCTGGTGTTGACACCTGGCACCTGTTCGCTGAGTGGCAGGTGGAAGATGTGATTATAAGATTTGAACTTGGCCGCCGGCGTGTTTATTTGGGTTCTCCTCGAGTTGCAGGTTTAGTTTGTTGAATGTACAAGGACCGGGCACTCTCCATCCTGTAAACGGACACATACTGTACACAACATGTGGGGTACATACAGGGGGTGATAGTTATGGTGAAGCAAGCTGAGAGGGACGTTGTTACCTCCGTGAAAAATGGAGGTATTGTTTTTGGTTTGTCTGTGTGTCCATGAAAAATGGAGGTATTGTTTTTGGTTTATCTGTGTGTGTGTTTGTGTTTCCACACATTTGTAGTCAGCATAACTTCAGAACGCCTTTATGGATTGTGATGATATTTGGTACGCTGGTAGGTCTTAGGGAGACGAAGGTCAAGGTCAAATATGGGCCTCCTGGTGAATGACCTTGGTGCTGAAGCAGAACTTCCGTTTTTGTATCTTTTGTCCTGAACATGCTATGGTCTTGGATTTTTGTTGGTACTATGTTTTCCCAAAGGCCCTGTCACACATTCAGAACCTTCCCCCGAACACCAGCCGACCAAGGTTAGTAGAAGTTTGGGACAGTCTGACCAGATTTAAGCAACGCCTACCTTTCTATATGAATCGTCCCAACTACGAAGTACCTAATACCATCCCAAGAGAACAAGAAATAGCCATGCCTTCAAGTACCAGAGTTATCAACCAAGAATTGAGGTGTTAAAGAATTCATTCTTTCCTAGAACTATCGCAGAGCGGAACTCGCTGTCACCAAGTACAGTAGGGGCATAATGTCATTAGATAGCTTTAAACAATGTCTAGAGTTAAATGTTCAAGGGTTAGGTGTAACAAGTCGTTCGGTGTAATGTAGCCAGCTGCCGCTGCCTGGGAAGCTGGTGTGTTACGCCGAAGGGCGGTTATACCGGCTACACAGATACAGAATCAAATCGAATTTGTGTTAGATTTGAGTTAAAGTTAACTGCCAACCACACCACATATATATTGTTGTATGTACAAATGTATATATAACTGCCAAACTTTTTCAAGGTCCACAGTCCAACATGCCAAACAAAAAGTTCCCATCAGGTCTGTTTGAGATTTCAAAATTACTAACCTACCCCTTTAATTGACAGTGTAGAAAGGTATGTTTATTATTGTGTCTTGGGTTTTGAAGTACAACCTTGAAGTGTCTAAACCACATGGACTTTTCTGAAGAAAACCAGTTGGGGAAAATATGGTTCAAGGTTTTTTCTTACATTCCAACATGTAATCACAAGACGTGGTGACGGCACACTCAAGTTTGTCAACACCAACACATGGGACAATACAATACTCATTTTCACCTGAGCGAAGTGAGGAAACTTGTGTAAAGTGCCTTTCCCAAGGGCACAAGATTGGTGGCATGTCAGGACTTGAACCCGAGACCTCTTGGTTCTGAGTCGGGCACTCTGCCACTACACCACACGACCCCACGACAAAGGTTCAAGGTTACTATCATGGCAGTACTGTGATATTGAGCTCATGAGTTGGGGATTGAAACAAGATTCGAACCCTGCCATGCCACTGATATTGTGCCCTTGAGAAAGGCACTTTACACAACTTTCCTCACTTAACTCAGGTGAAAATGAGTATTGTATTGTCCTCTGTGTTGGTGGCAGCATAAAAATAAGTTAAAGACTTGAGTTGCCGTCACCACGTTTTGTGATTACATGTTGGAATATAAAAAATGTATCAGAGTATGTGACCAAAGCACTACACATTTAAGACACTTTAGTCTAACTAAAATATTTAATAGATATTTTGTGCAAAAAGACGTAACATGCTAAGATAATTAATGCACTGGTAGTTGCATATTAAGCAACATTATGTGCTTTATTCTTTAGAATGAATGATGCTACATGTAGATGCTTGTTTATGTCTACATCAAGGAACATTAAATCTTAATCTATATTATTAGTGTACACAAGTCATGTATATTGGTGTACTGACTTGAATCATTGCATAGTTGGAGGCACATGCATAACATGTGCATGTATACACATTTAGACTGATTAGTACACAATACACATCGACACAGCATTGAATAGACAAAGATGCTACAAACACAAGACAAAAATAGAAACAAAAGAAAAACACAATAAATATTGACAATGTGCCATAGTAATACAATCTTTACAATACATCTACTGACGGCTTAAAGCAATACGAAAACAAATTTTACATGCATTTGTAACATTTAACAACATACATACATGTACATACATGGCACAATTATATAACATTGTTGGTGAAAGGAACAATAAAGCTTAGTAATATTAATGTTGTGTTTCCTATTACAGTCCTGAAAAAACTAGGTTCGGTATAGGTAGATACTATTTTAAAAGTTTCTTTTACATTTTAGTTATCTTTGAAATGCATCAGCGAACTGGTATTTGGACATGATTATGTTAGGTCTGGTTCTGATTCGGTCAAGTGTATCTGATAAAAAATTTTATGTCTCTCGGCAGCGGTTGACCCAAGAAAAAGGCTAGGGTCTGTCTTTTTTCTAGGATCAGATTGGTAACCAGAAACACAACATTTTCCCTAGGCCTAAATGTTACTAATTGTAAGTCCACACCAATTTAATTTGTTGGTTCTCAGATTCGCCTCTTCATTTTTTTTCTGATTTGCAAAAAAAAAATAGATTCTGCTTCAGAATCAAGCAAAAAATGCTCATATTTTGCCCCCAACCGTTGAGGAAAGTCCTTTTATTCCTAGTTGTTACACTTGTTCCATCTATCAATGAAGTGGTTTGATTAAAGTTCAAAATTCAAAGTTTAGATTTTAACCCAGCCTGTGTTGACCTCATGGCTTCTATCTAAGCATTTGGGGCTATAATAAGATGCCTGGACCTGTTTTTAATTTTTTTGCCCTGTCGCTTCATATTTTTTCTGCAAAAAATCCGAGAACCAACAAATTAAATTGGTGTGGCCTAAGTGAAGCACAGTGGCTAGTGTCGACTGCTGGTTCCATGTCGACTGTTGGTGCCCTGTCGACTGTTGGAGCCATGTCGTTGTTCTACTTTCCTCCGAACGGCGTCCGCTAGTCGTCCCTGGGTGTTCGTACGCTCGCCGGACGCCATGGTGTTCCAGTCACGGGAACTGATGCGACGTCCAAATATCTCAATCTGGAGAAATCACAAGTCGGAAAGTTAAACATTTTCCCTTCCATAAGTATTATCTGACAGAGGTATACACTGTCTGTTTAATGAGAATGGTTTAATCACTTGAATCAACTATTCCATTAGATAAACTGTGGTGCGGTATGTTAAACAACTCTTGTACATGTGTATGGTTTAAGCTGCATGTAGATCTAAATTCGGGAAAATTCCGGCTAAATTTTGTCCATTCCTAAGTTTCCATATGAATCGAAGCAAATTTGAGTTGAATTTGAGTCAAATATGACCCCCTGATATGCCCCAAACACTCCCGACTTACCGTATACTTCCAAATGATTGGCTGGTGTTCAGCAAACACCAGCCAATCATGATTGAACATCGCTGAACATGGCCAAATCTCCAAAACACTTCAATGTGTGAAACACACATGTATATATACCATGTGCATAAAAAGAAACAAGCAATGTTACCAACCTCTGCTTCCCTGCGATCCTTGTTGTATGCCTGTAGGCTCTGTCTGGTCTGTTGGTCCAAGGTGTCCTTCTCATCACCAGAACTGTGTGCCACTAGAGGAGGTAAACACACATTCAAGTACAACATTGTAAACATCTCATACTCCCTATTACCTCTATGAAAAATTGAGATATTGTTTTTGGTGTGTGTGTCTGTAGACCTGTAGGTCAGGTTGTAATGGATATGGTTGGGTTAGGTTTGTCCAAGAGGGAGACAGTCATTATGTTTACCAAAGGGAAACATATTGTTTTTGCTCAGTTTCTTCCTCTTCTTCTTCTCCAAACAGTGACCTGTGACCTGGCCAATACCATGATTTGTTAATGTCTGTCACCATGGTGACTGGTGTTGGGTTACATAATGTTGCAATTTCATGGTCTGCTCTGCTCCTGTCACCATATACTAGTAGTGCATGCATGTTAATGTGTTTGAGTAAGAATTGACAGAGCAGACCATGTCCAAAGGTAAACATTATGCATATCACTTCTCTAGTTAATTATCTTGCATGATAAAGAAGGATTGCAAAGGGAGTTTACACATTCTCTGAATTCTTGTTTGGTGTTGAGTTGAAATTGCAGTTCTAAGTTCAATCCATTTGACAGTAGTTTTCTGTTTTTCTTGACATAGTTTGTTATCTAGCATAGGACAGACAGGCCAAGCACAACTGGCCTAGGGTGTGTTCATTGTAAACATCAAGACTTAGACAAACACTAGAGAAATTAAAGTAAATCTGACCCTTAAAGCTGGGTTAGCCTAACAGATATATGTTCCTTGTTTAAAGTTAAAACTTTTGGTCCAACCCAAAAATTCTCTCACCTAGAGCTTTCGATCATTCACTCTGGTCTTCCTCAGTAGACTGACCCAGTGAGGCTTGTCACGTGTTGGCCCAAAAGTTTTAACTTTAAACATGTAACTACCAACACAGATGAACTTTCATGATAGATATATGTGTCCGACTCGGTAACATCACAAAATACATTCTTCTATAATTAATATGTACTTACAGAAGTTGGTTCCTTGCATGATCCGCCCTACTAAGTCTCGCATGATAGTCTCTGCTTTGACTGCATCAGGTGTTCCAGGTGTTCGGGAGGGTTCAGACCTGGCAGGTGAGGGGGCGACTGGCCAGGTGCGGGTCACATGAGTGGCAGCTGAAGGGGGAGGAGCCTTCAGACTGGGAAAGAGAGGAAAGAATCATATGAACATCACATGACTGTCACATGACAACCTGTTAAACTCAAACATTGAAGGGGGAGGAGCCTTCAGACTGGGAAAGAGAGGAAAGAATCATATGAACATCACATGACTGTCACATGACAACCTGTTAAACTCAAACATTGAAGGGGGAGGAGCCTTCAGACTGGGAAAGAGAGGAAAGAATCATATGAACATCACATGACTGTCACATGACAACCTGTTAAACTCAAACATTGAAGGGGGAGGAGCCTTCAGACTGGGAAAAGGAGGGAAAGAATCATGTGAACATCACATGACTGTCACATGACAACCAGTTAAAACTCAAACATTGAAGGGGGAGGAGCCTTCAGACTGGGAAAAGGAGGGAAAGAATCATGTGAACATCACATGACTGTCACATGACAACCAGTTAAAACTCAAACATTGAAGGGGGAGGAGCCTTCAGACTGGGAAAAGGAGGGAAAGGATCATGTGAACATCACATGACTGTCACATGACAACCAGTTAAAACTAAAACATGGAAGGGGGAGGAGCCTTCAGACTGGGAAAAGGAAGGAAAGAATCATGTGAACATCACATGACTGTCACATGACAACCAGTTGAAACTAAAACATTGAAGGGGGAGGAGCCTTCAGACTGGGAAAGGGAGGGAAAGAATCATGTGAACATCACATGACTGTCACATGACAACCAGTTAAAACTAAAACATTGAAGGGGGAGGAGCCTTCAGACTGGGAAAGGGAGGGAAAGAATCATGAACATCACATGACTGTCACATGACAACCAGTTAAAACTCAAACATTGAAGGGGGAGGAGCCTTCAGACTGGGCAAGGGAGGGAAAGAATCATGTGAACATCACATGACTGTCACATGACAACCTGTTGAAACTAAAACATTGAAGGGGAGGAGCCTTCAGACTGGGAAAGGGAGGGAAAGAATCATGAACATCACATGACTGTCACATGACAACCTGTTGAACTCAAACATTGAAGGGGGAGGAGCCTTCTTTCCTCTTTGAAGAGGGTTGACTGGGAAAGGAGGGAAAGAATAATGTGAGTATCACATGACTGTCACATTAGATTTAGAAATACAGCAAAAGACATACAAGATACAAATATTCAGGCAGATGTCAGCTTAAACTTAATATAATAACAAGTTTGATAACAAGTTAATCTGAACAATAAACTTGATTTGATGAAATTTGTTGCTTACCTGAATGTAGAGAGTGTCTCTGAGGGTGCAGCTGATTTCTATGAACAAGAATGAATTACGAGGAATTCAATCATCTTTATGACATTGACGTTTGCTGCCATTTCTTAACACACTCTTGTCATCATTGCATACAAGTGTTGGAAATAGATTTAAAATAAGCCATGAGGCATCTCTTTATTTATTGGGTACCAACCATAAATACCTAGAACGAGCCTATGATACAAAACAAGCAACCATTTTCATCAGTGACATTCAATCACATTTTGCCTCACAGGTATCAGTGTGCTATGGGATAGGTTGTTTCAACTTCGACTAGGAAATCGACTAGAAAATCCAGTCTTGCTGTTGTGAAATTGCATTGGATGGCTTTAAACTTTTAGATATATAATTGTCCTTACAGGTTTGGTATCTTTCATCCTCTTGAGTTCATCAATCTGTTTCTGTAGCATGGCGATCTGGTCGTCAGCCCGCTTCTGTAACTCGTATCTTGCCTGGCGCTCCTAGGGTGGGAAATCAATGAACAACAAGGATATTTATTATGTTTACCAAAGGAAAACGTATTGTTTTTGCTCTGTTTCTTCTTCCTCGTCTTCTCCAAAGAAATAAGGTCAATGACCTGAACCAGATGTCTGTCACCATGGTAACTGTTGTTGGTTTACATCATCTTGCAATTTTATAGCAGGAGGGATTTAGACTCCATATGAATGTGTTGGAGTAAGAATTACATTTGTAACAGAGCAGACCATATGCAAACTTCAAGGTAGACCTTTGCATAGTATGCCTTTTTTTAACTTCTTCTTTAAATTTACCCGAACCGTTACAAAAAAAATCATGTGGCGAATTCAAAAGTTAACAACTCAAACAGTAGACAATTAAAACATTCGCTAACCGCATCCAGTTCCTGTTCCAGTGCCAGTCTTTCCTGGTCCTGTTGACGGCGGGACTGCTCCAGGGCCAGTTCTAACTGCCTCTCCTCCTCCCTATACACAGTCATACACAGAAGAGTTAGAAGTGTCTTACTGATATTATACCCCTATTTTGAAAAAAAATAGTGTAACCCCAAAGGATTGCCGCATACACTTTCACAATAGTCCTTAGGATTAGAAGATCACACCGCATGCTGCACGGGGGTGTTCAACTATTTTATTTCAACACCTGAAAATATAGCTACAATGAAAGATACGAACAAAAACTTTTTTTTCTTCAATTTCTTCAGCTTACATTTCTTTAGATAATAAGACTTCCTAGTACCAAATATCATGAGAAAATCGTTGTGATATTTGTTGTAGTTATATATAAATTATCTTATTACCTTCTTCTGGCCAGTTCATCTTCCTGCTTCATCTCCACTTCTGCCTTTTGTTGTTCAACAAATCTGTAAAAACAAAAGACATACAAGTAAATACAGGCGACACAGGTTATCTGACACATACGACCCTCTGCTGCAATCACGTTTCTGCAGTAGAAGGGTCCATTCCATGAACAAGGCTGACAGAGTCGGTCGAAAATTTTGGGTAAGTCCTAATTTAATTATTGCTGGTAAGAACATTTAGCCCTTTTTGTCTTAAGTACATGAATGTTGTTGTAGTGTACCTGAGTCTCTGAGCCTCCCTCTCCTCTCTAGCCTGCCTGCGATCGTGGGCCTTCTGTCTGGGAGGGAGCTTCTCTACAGACCAGTGTGTCCATGGAGGGGGCATGCCCACACCTGTAACATGAATGTTATACAAAATTCATAAGAATTTGGAATTTTCTTCTTACACAACTGGTAATGTCTTTCACCTGCTTGCGTTTTGATGCCTGTCCAGGGCTCGTGAGTGCGACTGGTTTGGTCGCACATGCGCCCAGAATTTTGACTGGTGCGACCATATTCAAAATCATGGTAGCATGGTGTGCCAATCAAAAACTAAGACTAACAAGAGGTTCTTTGCTCCAAAGCAAATGTCGGCCTTTCTAGTTCCTATTTTATATTCAATTTGTATGGATTTAAGGTATTGTAGGAAAACAGTAGGAGCTCAGCACACTATTTTGAAAGAGTTCACACCATATGGCCACTCTAAACAATGTTGGTGAAACAACTTCACAAAGTCTTATTGATTAGAGCTATCAAGCCTAACTACTGCATTACATTGTCTCTTACAGTCTATAAAATGTAGTTATAAAATCTATTGATGCCAGAAGAAATGAACTCTTTTTTCTTTTTGAAGACTGACTTTGTGTGGGATCGAGGACAGGCATGGTAGACTTGTCATCCTTGTGGATCTGAGCATGCAGTGTCCTGTAGAACCTCTTGTTGATCTCGTACTGGAACTGGTGCATGTGGAGCTTCCGGCTGTGACTGGATAAAACCTGTTCCATCTGGTGAGACTGGTAAAGAAAATAGTAAACTTTATTGACATGACAAAAAGTTAGAGACTTTGGCATAGTCTAGTTGTATTTTCCTTATAATAAAAAGCAAAAAGTAAATTAACAATTGTGCTTTGATGTACCTAAGTGGGATTTAACACATGTACTACAGCCTATTTTAATTTTAATTTTTAGATATAAATTGGCCAGAGCCAGATCTGTCTGTGTTATTTTAAATACAAAGTTGTATGTTATCATGAAAGTTTATGAAAGTAAATGTTTAAAGTTAAAACTTTCAATCCAACACAAAAAGTTCTCTCAACTAGAGCTTTCCACAAGGCACTCTGGTCTTTCTCAGTAGACTGACCCAGTGAGGCTTGTCACGTGGCTTCTTCACTTAACCGTGACGGGGGGCGACATCGTCTACCAAATACCTTAACCCAGTGTTGACGTCACACTTAAAAGAAACTACGTGACAAGCCTCACTGGGTCAGTCCATTAAGGGAGGCCAGAGTGACTGGTCGAAAGCTCTAGGTGAGAGAACTTTTTGTGTTGGATCGAAAGTTATAACAATAAACAAAATTGTATATTGAAGTTTTTTTATGTTACTTACATTCTTGCACTTGAAGAAGTGTTCCCTGAGAAGCATGAGGAGTACAGTAGAGATGGTGGGGAGGACCTGGTAAGCTGGGACATCCAGGCCAATGATATACTGGTCCCAGATATACAGGAGACAGTCCAACTGGAGATACCCTGTGGAATACATACATGTACAAGTAAGAAACTGGGGTTGTACATACATTTATAGCTGTCTATAGTGTCCTCAAGCACTAGAAAATGTATTGTGCAGCACACTGAGAGTAAGTACATGTACTTGTAGGACCAAGTCCCTCGTACAGGGCAAGAATACAATGTAGTTTAAAACAAATTGAATGCATTGTTACATGTATATGACATGTATGTTTTCCTATACAGTCACACTACAGTTAAACTTAAATGGAATCATGTTTATCCTGGTTCAAAGTGGACTTAAGGTAGCTTACCTACAAACATGACCCTCAGAAGGGGTTGTAGAAGTGTCTTCAGGCCCTGTACCAGGTTAGTACGGCTGGGATTACCTGGGAGAGAAGCAAGGATTATAGGTAGTACTTTTTCTAGGTGTGGTATTGCCTACACATTCAATTCTCAGTATGGTTGCAAGGGGTCCTCACTGATACATGTCAAAAGAATGTGTTATACATGTACATGTGGGAGTCCACATACAAGAATAACTATCAATGAGACCAGCCAGTGGCTTTATTCATATCCTTGTCAGTGGCAAATGCAGTACTTTTTCCTAGGTGCGGTCTTGCCTACACATGCAATTCTCAGTATGGTTGCAAGGGGTCCTCATTGATACATGTCTGAAGAATGTGTTATACATGTACATGTGGGAGTCCACATACAAGAATAACAAATGAGACCAGCCAGTACTAGTGGCTTCTGTCATACCCTTGTCAGTAGCGAATGCAGTACTGATGGCAGTCGCTAGGTGGTCATCATGCTGCTGCAGCAAGTCTGCCACGGTGTCTGCAAACACTGACTTCTCATCGCTGAAATCCTTTGAATAAGTTAGAGAAAAAACAATCTAAGAAAGAGGTAATGACCTTCAAAGAAAAAAAACATTGGAAAAGTACATGTGGTCCATCACTTCTTACTGCTATATATATTGCCTTGTAAAATTTTAAGGATTCTATCCTACAGCTAGCTTAATAGTACATTGTCAGAACGTACTGTGCCTGCAAAAAAGCTGAATTAAAGTATTGTGCATAGCATTCTGACAGAATGTCTTGTTTAAGGTTGTATTTGCGTACTTAAGGACGGAATTCTGTCTATATCTTTCAAATGTTCTGTTGGAAAAGATATCATCTACAACAGGCCAAATTCTGATGCAACGTTGGCTAAACATCCAACAAAAACCATTTTAAAAAATAGGGTTTTGCGCAGGTGCAGTACGTTCAGCCAACATACTCAGCCAAATTCTCATAACAATGATCAGTGACAAGGTGTGAGTAAGGTGTGAGTGGTTCAAATCGTACAGTCTGGCCTTATGCAGCTTGTAAATTGTACAAAACTGGTGTGTTGCATCTAAAGGTGGTTTACCAGTTATGCGAAAGAAACAAACAAAAGGCTCCAAGCATTGAGTGACTTACCCTAACCCCTGCCTCCCTCATGTACCCAGGTCTCTGTGCCATGTAGGTTATAAACTCCTCCACCAGCAGAGCTTTAACATTGTCTCCTGCAGGGGCGTCTACAGACAGGGTGTTCTGTGTGACAGCCAGGAACGGCACCAGTAACAGGTAGTCCATGTCAGGCAGTGTGGAGGCTGTCTGTAGACTGGCGTGGTAGTAGGACAGGACAGACTGCATTGCTGTTAACACACCTAAAATGGCAAAGTCAAGGAAACCTGTGACAATACTATAATGAAACCATATCAAAACATTAAGGACCTGTACAAAAACTGTACAGATAGCAGTTTTCAATTTGGTAGCCAGCAAAAAAAGGCTAAGGTCTGCGGGTTTTGGCTAGGATCGGTTGGGTAACCGAAAACACAACATTTTTCCCTAGGTCTAAGTACATATACAGATCTGAAGCAATCTGATTGGCCAGTTAGCACCAAGGATATCTACAGAACTTGTCTGATTGGCCAGTTAGCACCAATGACAGGTACAGAACTTATCTGATTGGCCAGTCAGCACCAAGGACAGGTACAGAACTTGTCTGATTGGTCAGTCAGCACCAAGGACAGGTACAGAACTTGTCTGATTGGTCAGTCAGCACCAAGGACAGGTAGAGAACTTGTCTGATTGGTCAGTCAGCACCAAGGACAGGTACAGAACTTGTCTGATTGGCCAGTCAGCACCAAGGACAGGCACAGAACTTGTCTGATTGGCCAGTCAGCACCAAGGACAGGTATAGAACTTGTCTGATTGGCCAGTCAGCACCAAGGACTGGTATAGAACTTGTCTGATTGTCCAATCAGCACCAAGGACAGGTATAGAATTTGTCTAACTGGCTAGTCAGAACCAAGGACAGGTACAGAATTATGCAGTTGGCACAATTTAATTTTACTATATTCTATTTCCATAGTAAAATAGATCTATTACTTATCCATATAACCTGTCCCATAAGTCATCATGGTGTATTATCATGAAAGTTCATCTGTGTTGGTAGTTACATGTTTAAAGTTAAAACTTTCGATCCAACACAAAAAATTCTCTCACCTAGAGCTTTCGACCAGTCACTCTGGTCTTCCTCAGTAGACTGACCCAGTGAGGCTTGTCACGTGGCTTCTTTGAAGTGTAACATCAACACTGGGTCAAAGGTCTCTGGTAGACGATGTCGGCCCCCTTTTTTGTGTTGGACCAAAAGTTTTAACTCTAAAGATGTTAATGTATATTTACAGGATATGTCCTTTACCATAATGGTTTGCCAGAGGTTTGAAGGTGGGCTCGGACTGCAAGATGTCTTCACACTTCTGACAAATCTCTCTGTGCCAGGGGGACTTCAGGGAGGGAGACTCAGTCTTCACAGCTGTGGCATACTGTCTGCGCACTGGAAGAAAAGATGTATGTAAAAAAAACATTGTACCTGATATCCTGGAAAAGACCATTTTGGGAGGAAGGCACAGACTGACAGACACACAGACGCACAAACAAGCCCAAAACTTTGTCTGTATCAGTGTTCTAGACAGCCTGAAATTTTTCCCATCATCTCAAATGTATGTTGTATAACTCCAAAACCGTGACAATCCTAGGGGGTCTGGGGGAATGTTTTGAAATCTTGACCCCCTGAAACACTATTTTCTGCATTTTGAGGGGCAAATTTTGCTGGTAGACTAAGTTTGGTTTAATGAAATCTCTTCCCATATATTTACCCAATTCAAAGATGACGGATTGGGCAAAATTTTCGTTGTAACAGACACTGGCTAGAACACTGGTCTGTACAAACCTAGCCTGGTTACCAGACCTATTATAGCTCCCGAGTCTTATCCACTCCACAAAAGACTTGGGAGCTAAAACAGGTATGGTAACCAGGCTAGTACAAATCATAGAAGTTGCTAGCCTGGTTACCAAACCTATTATAGCTCCCGAGTCCTACATCCTCTCCGCAAATAGAGAGGATATAGGACTCGGGAGCTATAATAGGTTTGGTAACCAGGCTAAGAAGTTGCTAGCCTCCATGGCATGCCAAAAACTGGGGGTTTTGGGGGTCTTTAGGGTCTTTGGGACCTTTTATGTGCTATTGTCTGATTGCATATAGACAACATAGACGGCCTTGTTTAATTACCCCCATTTTTTAGAACAGGGCTAATCAGAAAACAGCCGAAGACCACCAAACCCCCAGTTCCATAAGCCTGCTACGGAAGCTAAGAAGTTGCAGATATCCAAAACACACAATGTCATACGTTTGGAGTTCCTGAGATGTAGTTTCCATGCCAGCTGCCTGAGTGTGGGGGGTAGGGGCTGGTTCAGACACAGGTGTAACTTATCCCTCATGTCTGGCCAGCGCTGCAGCAGACTGACCGCTCCGTCCCGAGCGTGGCCCAGCACCAGGTCAGACTTGGTGTTGACTGGGTGGTCCTCCAGGAGCTCTCTGGCCACCTCGTTGTTGAGAGCCATGTCCAGCATCTTGGACACCTGGGCATTCAGGGTGGTGAAGGAGGAACCTGGGAGAAACAAGGCACCAGTCAGTTATCAGTTATACATGTCTTGAAATTACTTGAAATTAACATTGTCCCAGTGTCAAATGACACTAAATTTTCAGCTCAGGACAATTCATATTACATCTTGGGACAATTTCGGGGCAATTGAAAAATTATGAGACCATCCACGTCATTTAGGAACGTGAGCCATCCATCCTGCTGCGGGCAGCCCATAATACTCTGACAAACATTTAAATTTGACCAATCTGGGATTCCAAATGTTGGGGAGGTGGGCCTTGAAGATGGTGCCGTGCCCATGATACTATCATGTATTTCCCTACAGTCGGAAAAATGATGGACATTTACTAATAGTGGACTTCAAGTTGTACAAATTCAGACTGATTTTTGTCCGTCAAAGGTGACAGATTGGGCAAATTTTTTTCTGTCATGAGTGGCAAAATTCTGTCAAATGATGGAATTACTAGTAGACAGGCACTGGCACTGACAAATTCTGTAACAGACTCAAGGGAAACTTCCTTCTGAATTCTAAATTCAGAAGCTGGTTGTCTCTAACTTGACCAGAAAGCCATACAATAACAGTTATTGTAAAGGGAATTCCACAATACTAAATAATTAATTGTACACTTATATATACCGTGCTGAATGGCCCTGACAGCCCTCTCCATAAACAGTTCCTTTTCAGCCTCAGACAGATCACTGAAATACTTCACATGACTCTCTGTCAGCTGCTGCTGTATGGCATCAAACAGCTCAACAGTGAAGCTCTTCCATTCCTGTAAACACGCAGAAGAACAGAATATCATACCCGGTATATTCACTGACATCAGCTAAAAACATTGTTATCTAGTCATGTGGCAAAGCGGTAGGGTGTTCGGCTCACACCTAAGTGGTCGAGGGTTCAAATCCTGCCCAATGCCACCAATCTTGTGCCCTTGGGAAAGGCACTTTACATAACTTTCCTCACTTTACTCAGGTGTAAATGAGTACCTAGCTTTGGTTAGGGACGTACCTTGGATAGGACGTACATGGAAAATGGAGGCCCCGTGTTTGGGACAGCCACACCCCATGCACATTAAAGAACCCAACACACTTGTCGTAGGGGGCCTTGGTGTGAGTGGTTCAAACCTTACAGTCTGGTCTTAGGTTTCACATCTTGAAGTGGTGATAGACACCTGTAATGTCAATCCTTCCACTAAAGTGGTAAAGCTTCATAAATAGAAAAAATAAAAAATCTATTTGTTTGTTGTCCCTCTGGAAGTCACTAAGTAACACAACATCTAATGGTAGGGTGACTGATGTTTTAAAGTTATGTAATGGATATTTCAATAGGAACATTTTGCTACATTTCTTTAGCGGGGGATACGAGGCTACAGAAAACTGTTTGAAATCAACTTAAATTCTCATACAGTATGAACCCCTAAATTGTAATTTTTAAATTGTAATTTTTAAATTACAATTTAGGGGAAAATAAGACTGGAAAAGCAGAATTGCTTAGCCTATATTATGCATGTAAAAAAATAATAACTTGCAAGTACTAGTTATCTTCAACCACAACTTAAACTACTACTTGTGGGTTGAACATAACGGTCTCTCTTGTTTCTCTGTTTTCGCACCTGTTGAAATTTGCTTAGTAACACAAAAACAAACTTACGTTTGTCTCTGTGACATGGTGCTTGCAGCCCTCAAGCCACTCTGGAGTGGTGGAACTCATTCTGATGGAGATCCTCCCGTCAGAAGTGTTACAAATTAACCAAAATTGCCCAAACTCGCACCAAAACACCCAGCAAACACAAACACCACACAGGTATGCGCACACCTGGGGACAAAGGTCACGGGCATGCGCAGTGGACATTTGAATACCATCCTACGTAACACCAACTCTAATTGGTCGGTTGGGGAAAGAGAGCACCAATCAGAGGCTCCGTTACTACTCGTGACTTACAACCACTAAGTGAGAAACTTTTAGTATTCATTACCGCTGGATAGCAGTTTTAGGGTGAACTGGCTTAGGAGTAGTTCAAGTTAATGTTCATCACTGCTCTCATTTAGTCCTTTTGTGTCCTATATTTGTTATAAAATCTTGATTGATGTCATGAAATGTCAATAAAACGGGTCATTTTGTGAAAATCGCAGTTAAAAATATCATATATAAACTGCTTGCTTCCTGTTATCGTTACTAAGTGCAGCTCGGACAAAATGGCGGCAGAAGTCAAACTACATCGCATAGTTTTCAGGCTTTCGGCGCTAGTTTTAGGTACATTCTTGCTTAGATTTCCTTTCCTTTTGCTGTCTGTTGATTCATTAGTGTTGTTAGCACATTATCTGAGAGAATATTTGCCATTTGCAGCTCTGCTTGTAGCCGCTTCTGAGCCGAAAGATTCTGGTCGGACCGGTCCCGATGTAGCAGACGACATAACACGTCAACAACCAGGGGATTTGGGCAATAATAACTTAGGTATGGGCCAGCTATTATAGATTCTATTCTATGATGTACTTTACCTAAGGTACTTAAGTGTGTTGGACTATGAATTTTGTTCTCTCCAAGCAGAGGTTAGGGTTTTGGGTTATTTTTGGCGTGTTTTTAGACTTTTTTTATCGGGGTTTCTTTTTTGCACTGGAATTTTTCTTTCACCAAATCCAACGTGAAAGAAAAATTCCAGTGCAAAAGAGAAACCCCGATACAAAAGCCTAAAACACGCTAAAAATAACCCAAAACCCTAACCTCTGCTTGGAGGCTATTGAATTTTGATCAGTTTTGGTATGTGATATAATTTTTGTCACTAATCGAAGTAAATTTTCGGCGATCACATTTAGATCTAGATGTTGAACCCCACTGCTACAAATAGGTACTAGTAACAGGTCAATACTAAGTAAGATTTTGAGTTGTGCATTGTACTAAAATTAAATTAAATTGCACATCCCTCTATTTTCTATCAGGACTACAGGATGTGGTGTTTATAATCCAGAGCCAGAGGTACAGCTACCACGCAAAAAAGGCTCACCAACTCAGAGAAAATATCAGGCAGCAAGCTCAAGATGTGCAACAAGTTTGTAATGCTATCCAATAATAATTTGCTCACTAGTACTAGTATATGACCTTGTACAATAGACTTAAAATTTACTATCAAGCATACTCGGATCTCTGCATTTCGCTGTTTTAATATCAGAAGTGCCTGGATCATTTGTATCAATTGAACATGTTCCTTTTGTTAATTACAAGTCAACATTGCATTACCTTTTAGTAGTGCATGTATCATCAGGGCTTGGAATACCAGCACCTTAATGCAGGTAAAATTGAAGCTGTGCAGATATTTCTGATATCCTGCATTGGTCCATGTACAGGGTTTATATTACACACGTGTATGTGGATTCTATTTGCTACATTGTTGCCACCAAAGTATTTTGAACCCTCATGACTAATGAAATGTATTAAATTCAGGAAGCTGTGTTATTACCATAGTTTATGTGTTAGCATGCAATATCCAATCATTTCCTTTGTTAGAAGAAATTATTTTGCATATATTTGGAATGTCATCAGGATCCCCCAACTGTTGTGGTGCTACATGAGGAGTGGAGAGGCCGTGGGGCTTGGACCATCTTTCCTTTTCTTCCTAAGTAAGTGATTTTGGCAAGGCTTAGAATCTGAAGTATTTGGCAGTGATACAAAAATGTAATACAGTGTGCACTGTATACAGTACCTTGAGAAATGTTGACTATTTAGGCAAACTGAATGCTCAAATTAAAACTTTTGTCATTGAGTACTTTGCACCAGCTGTTGCTGCTTGCTTTTGTTTCCTTGATGTTTTTGTAAATTGTAACAGCTTTTTCACTGCACCATTGAATAATGCTTCCTTTCAGAATATCCCAGTCCTTTGGACAGAAAGCTGCCTGGGTGTTCTTTTGTGAAGATGACACAGCTGTGAAACTCCTGCCATTACTAGATGTGCTCAGGAAGTATGATGCCACAAAGGTGATTCTGAATAATTAATGACATAGATAGTAGGACAGAAGATGAATGTTAATGGCATGCAACTGTGACAGGCTTGATTCCACTAATATAAAGAAAGCATAATATTGTATGTCTATATGAATGGTCTGTAGCAGCTGTATATTGTATGGGATGAAAAGTCAATCTGACTACATAGGCAAACTGCCATTCTCTTGTCACTTGTGTCATACATATATCTAAAGCAACAAATTAGAGGTAGTGAATACTACTGAATAAAACAGACATAGAGCATGTAAGATGATTCCTAGTCTTTGTAGTACCACATTCTATAATCATCATACTATTGTTATAAATGATAAAATTCTTCCTTCAACTTATCTCCTAGCCTCTACCAGGCTTGAGGGGGCGGCTGGAAAGAGTAGAAATCGGCCAAAATAGAGAGATAAGCATGCCAAGGGAGTTTTGGCCGTTGAGAGAACAGTTCGCCGCCCCACAAGCCTGTCGGGAGTCGCCATTTCTTTGAAGTCCACTAATCGCTATCTAATAGGTGCCAAGTAGCTAAATTGCCCTTTTATTGCTTTGCGACTGGGCCGTGACGGACAGTGACGGACCTGTGGGGCGGCGAACTGTTCTCTCAACCGCCAAACTCCCTTGGCATGCTTATCTCTCTATTTTGGCCGATTTCTACTCTTTCCAGCCGCCTCCTCAAGCCTACCAGGTAGAGGCTGGTAACTAGTATGGTTATAGCTATTTTCTTTTCATTGAATCTTTGTTGTATGTTTTCTAAGGAGTTATTTCTAGGCCGTGCTCTTGTTGACCAGGAGGCCACCATCATCCACCACTTTGCCTTCCATGAAAAGCCTGGGTCCTTCTCTTACCCAGATTTCTCTGCAGGCTGGGCCCTCAGCGCTCCGCTACTCAACAGGTACAACTTCTTATCATCTTTATCAACTTAACTATAATTAAGTTAACATGTTACTATATTTCAGTTATATTTTTACAATGTCATGACTAGGGCTCAAAATTAATAGTGTCCCGATGTCCACTGACCACTAAACTTTAGGCTGGGACAACTGAAAAATGACTTTGGGACATTTGTGGACAATAGAAAAATAATCAACATCAGAATGTCAGCCCTACTTTTTCCCATCAGGAACGTGTCCCGGCATTTGGCTTGGAAAAGCCCCCCAAATTTCTCGTCTACTCTGCAATTATAATGCATCCGGGAGTCAGAACGTAAGTAAAATAAAGTTGACTTCAAATTGTTGTCATACATACTTCCTGAAAAACAGGTTCGGACAGTTCAACCTTACTTCGGGACAATTGAAATTTAATTTTGGGACAGTGCTGGGACAATAAGAAAAAAAGTTAATTTTGAGGTCTGAATGTACAACCATGTTGAAAGTAAAAATAATAGTGATCAGTCCAGTTTTTGCTCACTGAATAGTTTCTCTTGCACTGGTCATGACAGAGAAGACAGATGCTTAACGTCCCATCCTAAGGACTGCAACCCTTTATAGTAGCACGCATGTCGCGTAAGCAACAACAGCTATAGGATTCAAACTCCCAATGACTGGGCTACACATGCCCCGTGTTGAATGGGGTTTCCATAGTATTTAATCTGTAAGGTCAATGTTATTTCTGTAAATTGCCATGCTTCTATGTACATGTAGATTTTCTGATCCAGGACATGACTTATTCATTCAGTTGTTTTTAAAGTTGTATAGATGTGTGTCTTAAGCAAAAAATAACTTACTATCCTAGAAATAAAATAAACTATCGAATATGTCACTCTGTCTACAATTATTTTTCTTCATATATCAGTATTTCACACTAAATTGAGGTGTAACTTTATGTATCCCAAGAAATTAATTTTTTTTTCTTTGTAAATGAGTGAAAATAACAGGTGGTTTATGTTCATTAGTGACGCACTGGTATTTACACCATAGCATGCAATTGAAGATTTTTTAAATTGTTTCCTCTGGTGTCTTTTCCATTCTTTAGGTTAGCAAAGAGATGGTCTGAGGAAAGTCACCAGGGTGAATTTACAATTGATCCTAAACATGAGGTAGGAATGGTGATGATATGTGATTCATACTTTAAAATGTCCTTGATAAAAGATAATAAGATTTTATGTGCTAACTGTTGTGCTTCCTTATAAAATGGTATTATAATACCAGTGATATGATCTTCTCTTTATGATCAATCAAGATTTTGATTGAAGCTATTTTTGTACTGTTTTAACAATTACAATTTTAGGTCCTGTAATACAAATTAATCAAGCAGCTATTATATATTCTCTGAAATGCCGTAGAGAATTTATTCAATCACTTGATTTACGGTATTTCATATAATTGGGTAATATTGTACTTGGATGTCTAACCTTCATTTGAAACATTGATAAGTAATTCTTTTTTTCTATTTGCAAAAAAGGATTGAAGTCCTAATTCTTAATTATGTCTGTCCTCACAGATAGCCATGTACATCTATGACAGTGGGAATGGAGTGAAACTCACTGATGTCCCCCAGTTCTGTGCAGGTCCACAAATTGAGGATGAAACATCAAAGTGTGTGACAACTTTTCCTTCAGAATTGCCACAGTGTGTAAGTATCCTTTTCCTTTTTATTCTAATTGTCAAAATTGTGCTGAATGTATATACAAGCCCAAAACCAATTCACAAGCCATTAAATGAACGATTGTTAGGAAGATGGTTACTGTAGTTCAAAACATTGTATTCTTTCTTTTGTATTTACTGTAAAATAATCATCAGACTGATGGATTCTATTTTCCAGGGAGATCCAGTACCACAAGAGAAAGTGTTCTTTGCTGTGAAAACCTGTGAAAAATATCACAAGGACAGAGGTATGATATAAATATTCACAATGAATCAACTTTATTGAGGCCTAGGAGAAAAATGTTGTTTTTTTTGTTTCCAGACCGACCCTAGAAAAACCTTGTGGACAAGGGACATACATTTTTCAAGCTGATCTAAAAGTGTCCTCATGCAAGTTTTACTTTGTTTAACTGTATTGTATAAGTTGGACCCCAATATAGATATCAGTGACACTGAAGTCTAAAGAAAAAAAAAAATTGGATGATTCCCTACCTACCAACCCTAATTTTTTCAGGACTGAAACAGGAAACACAACATATTTTCCTAGGCCTAAACAACAGTTTGTTATTTTGCAACAATTGTATCCCACGCATTGACTTGCAACAATTGTTTAGTAAAAACAACAATTATTCTAAAGAAAAATTTGGCACACGCAGTTTTCATAACACCAGGTAAATTGGGTCTAAGGCAAAGTTTTAGGCAAGGTGTCATGAAAGGTTAACAGTTATGATACAGGTAATTTGTCATGGATACCAATGATACTGAATTATTGATTTTTAGGTGTCCAACAATGTGTTAATAGTGATAAGTCTGTGTTAAATGTGATGATTTATTGTGTCTTCCAGGTATCTTTATCTTTTTTTTCGATTTAGTTTCAGGTTCAACTTATTAGAAGACTATGGTGTACATGTACCTTATAGGCATTTTGTGGGGGTGGGGGTCGAAGACCAAAAGTTATCATGAATTTTTTGTGTACTAGGTACATTTATTTTCTATTTGAAGGAAAACTAAAACTTTTAGGGTAGGCATGGTGAGGGTGAGGGTATGTTGCAATTGTTTGCAAATTGTAGCCTGAAAAAGCACTCATTAATAAAGTATTAATTGCTCTAAATGGTTTTCGGGTTTATCATAATTAATATTATCATATTAGATTTTCATTTTTCATGTTTACAGTGCCTGTTGTTCAACATACATGGGGGAAGCAAGCCAGGCATATAACATACTACAGTGACAAAGAGGACTCTACCATTCCAACAGTCACTACAGGGGTGCCAAACACTGAAAGAGGTTGGTGTTACAGTACAGTATAGTATGAACATTGTACATTGTACATTGCAAATTTAACTGCTTTGAATAACTGTTAAAAAAAAACATACAGGAGAAAAAAAAATGACAATTTAATTACACTGACCAATCGGCTTCTTTGATATAACTCTACAATATACTTCTTTAAGTTACCACAATTGTTATTGGTTGTCCACAGGCCACTGTGGGAAGGCCTATGCCATCATGAAACAGTTTCACACTTATGAAAACCTGAAGAAGATGGACTGGCTGATAATTGCAGATGATGACACCTTGCTAAGGTATGGGTAAAAAAAATCATCATGCACATGTAAAGATTCCAATCCCATCCATGTAATGTAACTTAGTTGGTTTGCCTGCCCATGTAAAACTTGTTTTATTTTAGGGGTTTCTGCACTGCAATGTATGAGCAATGTATGAGCTTTTACTAAATGTTGACTAAATGGAAAGATACTTTGAACGCATTAATCAATGTTGATTTTTTTTTATTAAGTTTAAAGTTAAACTTTTGTTCCAACACAGGATTAATCTAACCGAAAGCTCTTTTATTTTCAAATTTTATTTATTTGCCACAAACAGTGTTTGTATTGTAAACATCTTTCCATTACATGTATTATTATATAACTTTTGTTTCAATGCAAAGTAATGCAAAGTATTATATATTCTCATCTAGAGCTTTCAACCACTCACACTGTATTAGTCTATTGACAAAGGCCACAATGTTTGCAGCAAAGAAAAAAGTTCAAACTTGAAAATAAATGAACACTGCTTTTGGTTAGATTACTTTTCAATATAAAACTTGAAGATTTTATCAATTAGAAGTCTATGTTGTATGACTTCGGAGCTAGAAAAGAGATGGTATGACACATAGTTCACTGAACAACTGAACACAATTTTCTTTCAGTGTGCCCAGGTTACTGCGTGTCCTCAGCTGCTATGACCCTTCCGACCCCATCTTCTTAGGAGAACGATATGGCTATGGGCTGACACGAGGGGAGGACTCAGGCTATGCCTATATAACAGGAGGGGGAGGGTAAGTATCGTTAAAAACCAGAAAGAAAAGTGAGGTAAACTCTCAAGTAGTCGCAGTATACTTTTGGGGCCGTAGGGGCTATTGGGTTGTTAATCCACTGTGTCTTGGGCACAGTATTGGAAGGCAGAGGCCAACCCTCTCCTTTCACTGCCTTTAACCTCCCCAATCAAAGTTCAAAGTCAAGTATGTACATATAATCCCATTTTACACCTGGGTGCAGTGACGAAAGTCATGTAAAGTGCCTTTCCCAAGGACAAAATGTCTAGCAGAAATGTAAGGAGTCGAACTTATGAGTTCTCTCAATCAGGTGTCCACTCCCTTAGCCACCCAACCATTCAACGCCAAACAAAAGAGACTCTGAGACATTACATGTATATTGTATTCTTTATTTTGCATATAAATGAATGACAAAACCAAATAGAAAGAGAATACATGAGAAGAGTGTGCTGGGGAAGGCAGAGACCAAGTTTGTCTATTCGAGGCCTTCCCCACAACTAAACGTAAACAAAGAAGCAGTAACTAACAAAAACAAAAAATAAATTGAAATAGATATGCCAGCTAATAAGTTTGTTCATAAGTGAATGTGTGTTTTTTTTTGGCAACATCTCAGGGAGGAGCCTAATGGTACAGTATTGTGTGCAGTTTTCAATAATTTTAGGAATTGTACAGGAATTCTGTCCACAGGCATGGAATGTCCACAGGGATGTCTACAAGCTCTGTTTGCTGACATACATTTATGCCCACATTCCTGGAAACTCTTGGGAAAACCTATCTGCCCCTGGATGTCCTACTTTCTGTGACCCTGGGGCTTGTTCACTATACACTCAGGGGAGGGTAGGAGTGATGTATCTGTCTAGACTTAACAGGTACCATTAACCCTAAACAGTACACCTGGGGTCCGCGCGGACCCCAGCACTATATATTCTGTAATATCTTTTTTGTTTCTAAAGATTTTTTTCTGAAATTTTAGGTAATTGTCACCCACAAAGTTGTCTCTTAATACAGTGCAGAAAACTCCGTTTCTACCATTTATAAAAAAATTATATCTGATTTTCTTTTGGGGTCCGCGCGGACCCCAGCCGGCTTTCGATCATAATGGATACACTGGCGTTCTTATACATTACCTTATTTCCGTTTTTATATGTTTTTATGCATTCATCGTATGTCTACCAAGTTTTCAGAGAATGGTGTAGTAATAGAATTAAATTTTAATAACTTTGGTGTAATTATGACGTCATATGACGTCAGAGCTAATAATATAGTCCGCCATATTGGATTTTGACCAATGACGTCATCAAATTAGCATATTCTATGCATATTAAATGATTTAACTTATATTTAATTATGTAAGATGTTATTAATGTTGGAAAAGAAGTGTAATTTTATATCAAACTCAGAAAATTTTTATGTTTAAACCAAAATTACTTCTATTTTCAAAAAAATACCCGTTGCCATGGCAACACAAAAAAACATCAACTTACTAGTATAAAACCAATATGAACTTTTTTCCAGAGACATTTTAGGAAAGGTCTCCAAATTTGATACTTCTAGCGCAAGCCGTTTAGCCGCTATCTGAGATCAAAGTCGGGCCTCAAAAGCCCCTTCAGTCTGAAATGGGTTTAAAAATCGGGTATTTCTTCTTGTCTTCTTTTCTTCACCAAAAAATAGAAAAAGTTAAAAATGTATGATTTTTGTATGTAATGTGGACACAGAGGTTCCCACATCAGTTTGCAAAACAATTGAGCTGGTAGCATGTTAATAATTTCTAAAAATTAGCAAAAAACTGCTCTGGGGTCCGCGCGGACCCCAGGTGTACTGTAACAGATTAATCAGTCCGGGAAGGTGTTCTGTTGAGGGTTAAAATATCCTCATAATCATGAAATCATGGCAGTGTCATGCAAACAATAACCCTAACATCAACCACTGTCACCATGGCAATGTATGTTTTCATTGCCAGTCTTGTTGTTCTTTTCCCAATCCAGAATGGTGTTGAGTAGAGCAGGTGTGAGAACACTGATGTTGTCCAGCTGTGGTTGTCCAGCTGATGACTCCCCAGATGACATGATCCTGGGCATGTGTTCTGAGATGACAGGTGTCCAGGTGGTGCACAGTCAGCTGTTTCATCAGGTGAGCTGGTCATAATAGTTTACATGTACTTTTGTGTACTTTTATTGTTTCTGGCATGTTTCTGTATGTATTTCCACAATTCCTAATATAAGGCCACACCAATTTAATTTGTTGGTTCTTGGATTTTTTTCAGAAAAAAAATGAAGCGACAGGGCGAAAAAAAATAAAAATAAAAACAGGTCTAGGCATCCTATTATAGTGCCAAATGCTACGATTATAGGAGCCATGGAGTCAACACAAAGGGCTGGGTTGATATGTAAACAATGAATTTCAAACTTTTAATCAAACCACTGCATTGATGGAAAAACTGTAATATACAGGAAGAAAAGGACTTTCCTCAGCTGTTTGGAGCAAAATATGAGCATTTTTGAGTTGATTCAGAACCAGAATCTTTTTTTTTTTGCAAATCAAAAAAAAATGAAGAGGCAAATCCGAGAACCCAAAAAATTAAAAATTTGTGTGACCTAAACAATGCAGTCTTGCCATAAATCCTCATTGTTGCTATTTTTGTCACTGGGATTGTTTGATTGATTGCTTTCTTGTTCAATAAAGTCATTTTTTTCATCTGTTCACATTCTAGGCTAGACCTGCCGACTATTCCACAGGATACCTATCCCATCAGCCGCCTGTGTCCTTCCACAAACACTGGAACAATGACCCTTACAAAGTGTATAACAAATACCTGCTGACGGATGGTGAGAAATACAATCACACCGAGCTTTAGAAGGTCTGGTTCTTGTAGACTAAAGCCCCTGTCACATATAGCCGAATATGTCCTCTCGAACACTAGCCGAACTCCCCCAACCATGGTTTAGTAGGTTGGGAGCAAGGTCGGCTGGTGTTCTGCCAGGTCAGCTAGTCTTTGGCCATGCCCGCTGAATGTTTCAAAATGTTTAAAATATTTGTGTGTGGATAAGAGTTTCTGCCATGGTTGGCTGGTGTACAGAAGTAGGTTGGGGTGTGGTTGGAAGTGAAATTTTACTCAAATTTAATTCAATTCGTATAGAAAGGTAGGCATGGCCTAAATCTGGTCAGACTTCTCCCGAATTTCAGCCAAACTTGGTTGTCTGCTGTTTGGGGGAAGGTTCTGAATGTGTGACAGGGACTTAATGTAGAGTATTTTAAAGTTTTGTTCCAACATTGTGCAAATTTTAACAAATTCTTCACTGTTATTCCAGAACTATGATTTGATGCAATGAAGGTGATGAGTGTGCAGTGCAATGAGGCCTGCTAACAAACCTACACAAAGCGCCTTAAAATTAGTAAATTAATATACATGTATATATAATTTTAATGACAATTTTGCCTGTTTCATCTGCAATATCTGTAGTCATAGGACTTGTTCTATAAAGACTGTCACAGTAATAAGGCCACACCAATTTAATTTGTTGGTTGTCAGATTTTTTTCAGAAAAAATATGAAGCGACAGCGTGAAAAAAAATAAAAACAGGTGTAGGCATCCTATTGTAGCCCCAAATGCTACAAGAGGAGCCATGAAGTCAACACAAAAGGCTGGGTTAATATTTGACCAATGAATGTTGAACTTTTAATCAAACCACTGCGTTGATAAATGGAAAAACTGTAACAACTAGGAAGAAAAGGACTTTCTTCAACTTATGGGAGCAAAATATGAGCATATTTGAGTTGATTCAGAACCAGAATTTTTTTTTTTTTGTAAATCGGAGAAATACATTTTTGTGTGAAGAGGTGACTCCGAGAATCAACAGATTAAATTGGTGTAGCCTAATAAGAAAAGATCTTTTTTTAACAGTTGTCTCAAGATTGTTGCTCCAGCATTTTTGCTTCCAGGGAAAATTTTAGGCCATGTATACTTGCTTAGCTGAAGTTTCTATTATCTTTGATCATATGTAGGGCCTGATATTTATTTATATGCAATCATAATGAAAGTTATGATTTTTAATTGTTTGTTATAGTAGCTGATTGACATATACAGGACAATTTGTAGTGATAATTGTGCATTTAGTTCCTGTTGTTGAATTAATTTTGCAGCTGTTGTTGCCACTGCAATACTACTACTTCATTAATAATCAAAATATGACACATTGAATAATAGACATTGCTCTGTTAAGTCCACCCTTTATTAATAATTCCATGCATGATGGCAATACCTTGGGAAAATGCAATAATAATAACAGTGCAAACCTGCTGCTTCAAAGTGATAAAAAATTACATTATATGTATCCATTTCTTCACTGTGTAATACATTCCAAATTCGTTGTTGCAAATAAATACATTTTATTGCTTATCAGCCATCTTATGTTTTCTCTGTGCAAAATTCAATGCATATTGCTGCGTAACCATAATGGTAAAAGATTAGCCCTTGTTCAGTTGATGGACATTCAAAGAATGTTATGATCCTTATTACATATTCACTGTGGTATTTACATGACACTGTGTTCTGTAGTTACATCGTACTACAAAAAAGACCCTTATTTTTTGTTTTATAAACCCATGGTGGTCTGTACATGTACCTTGTGTATAAAAACTCTTCAGAGCTTTTTTAAACACCTAACATGTTTTTCTGAAATACTTCTGTACTTTAAACTGTGCGGATTTGTACAACACCTTTCTTCGGTATGGCATACATTAGGATAGTCGCATCAACAACACTGAACTGGGAATAAGTACATCCATCTCCAAGCAGATGTTAGGATTGAATATCGTAGCCTGTGCCATTCTAAAATGCTTAAGCTAGGTGTTCCTGACTTAGGGAGAAGAGATGCTGCTCAGTGATTGTTAGTTCAATGCCCAGAAGTGGTCCATGTAGCCTTACACTGAGCAAAACTCGTTGGAAAAAAATGGTTACATTTCAGAAATGCAGCCAGAAAGCATAACGATTTTTTTAAATTCTCACATCTGCTTGGAGACCCTGGCAATCAATAGCAGCGATATGATGAGGGTGTTACCCTGGGTGCCAGACAAGTTTACGGGCCGCTAATCGTTTCTTTCGGCAGCCAGAAGCCCTTCGTCCGCCGACCTAAATGACCACTGCGGTGGAGTTGAGCCTAAACTCCCCCGGGCTAGACTACCCCGCAGTGATAATTTAGACAGGCGGGCGAAGGGCTCATGGCCGCCGAAGGGAACGGCTGGCGGCCCGAAACGAGTTTGGCTTCCAGGGTACGGGGTGTTGAGCTGCTAGTGTGTGATCTAACAGCAGCCACCGCCCCCGGCTCCTCCCCTGGCACCGCCGGCGCCGCCTCCGTTGGTCAGGGCCGGTGCGTTGGAGTCCACGGACCCGCCGGCTCCGAGCTGGCCGCCCTCGTTAAACTTCTTGGGCAGGACGTTGAAGAAGTTCCCAGAAGTGTGGAAAAAGTTGCCGGTGGTGTTGGCATAGGTACCGGCGGCGTGGTAGTAGTTGCCTGATGTCTTGGCGAAGTTACCTGGAAGAAAAAGAAAAAAATGTAAGACAAGGTTGTATTTGATACATATGTATCAACGAGAATCCAGAGATCTCAGACCTCCATGGTGTCTACAGGTCCTTTATAGTGCAAGGGAAATAACATGAACTGTCAAGGAGGTCATGTAATGAAAACAGCGAGCACTACCAGATGTAGACGTGATTAATTACTTTCTCCCTCTGAGAAAGAACATGGCATATTCCATTTCAACCTAACCTAAGGGCCATGCGGAAACACAAACACACAGGCATACCAAAAACAATATACCTCAATTTTTCATAGAGACAATAAAGCTTACCGGAGGCATTGAAGTAGTTGCCGGTGGTGTTGTAGAAGTTGTTCTGTCCGCGGAGCTTCTTGTTGCCGCGGGACTCCTGGATGACCAGCTCGGAGAAGGTCTCGTTGTTGATGCCGGTCACTGTGCCGTTCTTATACTGCCAAGACACCGCCACGGGCCACTTGTGGTGTTTCTCTGCGTGAACAATAAATGTTTAATGCCTCTCCCCGATGTGTACATGTATATGGTGAGATAATCCCTGGTCAGGTGCGATAACCACCGAATAAACTACCAAGTGAGCGTAGCGAAAGAGGTGGTTTATGAATCCTAACTCCTGCCTAATGGTACGGTCCAAAAAGTAGTCGGTTATTCTAATACCGACCACTTTTTAGTTTTTTAGGCCTAATATCCAATGGGAAATGAAGCCTTCTGATTGGTCAACGCATTCTGGCTATATGATAATTGTCCATTAGTATATAGTCGTTGAAAAACCTAGGAAACAAGCTGTCAGGGAGTTCAAAATTGCACCACACTTTTTCCTAGCCGAAAAGCGACCTGCCGCGTACCCCAAACTTAAAACATGTCCAGAAGAGAAGATAATTATCAAACCCGGAAGTTAGGATTCAGCACCAAGGACAGATCCTACGACGCCTACAAATGGCGTTTATTTTGAGATACCCAAGAAACAAATATCCTCACAACCCAAGCGCGGTAAGGCCATGTTGGTTTGATTATATGGATGACATCCGCGCGCATGAATTTTCGGCCGTTTCCAAAAATAAAGGTTTTCAACCATACTGTACCGTACAAAACAGTTGCAAAATGACCAAATATATACCGAAAGTTACAAAAAAAATTAAAAATGATACCAATGTCGTAGATTGCCAAAATACTGGAAAACGATAGAATGCCAAAATCAAACGAAAAAGACGAAAATGTAAAGAAATGAATTTGAGGACTAGATAAATGCACCATACCATACTCTGTGTCATTTGTTCAACCTTCATAGCCACGTAGATTTCATACTGAAAGCAAATTTTTTTGCCAAACTTTTTTTTATTTGCACGCTCGCATCAGTTTTGGGGTTCCTAGAGGATGTCATCCTTATAATCAAATCAACATCGCCTTATATAAGAGAAGGTATTGATAGTCAGGGTGTATCACTCACCTTTGTGATAATCCTCAAGGGCTTCAACCTCACGGCCGCCGCCACCAAACCTGAAGCTTGACCCCTATAATATCAACAACATGGAGATACATGAATACCAACAGGAACTATTTACACAACTAAAGGAACAAAAGCAGATATGTGGAGCTTGAAGCAGAGTAGTTTAGTATCAGTGACAAAATAATGAAATTAGAAGCCATTTTCGGGGGTGATACATTCGAGATTGGCAGAAAAATTTGCGGAAGAAATTTTGGATTTTAAACATCAACCAAATAACTAGGGAACCGTTTTTATTAATTTATTTCTATTACAATAATGTAAATTTCAAACAAATCAAATTTGCAAGTATTATTATCATTATCATTAATGTTAAAACAATACTTTCAATAGAATTAGTACATAACACATGTGCTACTCCATAGATTGACATGACAGGCCCCTTGGATACCTATTGTTTGAGAACAATGGGGCGGTAAAGAGTTCACACGCTCAAGGTCTATTGCATGCACGATCATGTTGAATATGGTGTCCTGCCGCATGCAACAATCCTGTCTCCATGGATACGGCGTCCTTAGCAACGTATCGTTACACTATCTCCATTCAAGGAAGTTCTTGGCTCATGTGTACAGGCACTAAATAACATACATGTACATCGTTTTTGTAACTCAAATTTTTTGAAAAAATCATACAGCATGATACACAGTGACGCCTTTTAGAAGTCGACATTGACAGTCGAAAATGTTTTAGAAGTCGACATTGGAGGTTATGGAATTCTGTTATACGTATTCTGTCTGAAGGTTTTCCAGCATGTTATTGACATGTGGGTGTTGTAGTGGAGTACAGTAATTTTGCTGTACAAAAGCTTATTAGTCAGGGAATTGAACAGGGCCAGAGTATACAGTGCAATTTTACGGAATACAGTGCAATTTTACGCAAAATGCACTGTATTCCGTAAAATTGCACTGTATTCCGTAAAATTGCACTGTATTCCGTAAAATTCCACTGTATACTCTGGCACCCCTGTTGAATGCCTTTGAAATGTTATGCTAATCTGCAGGATCTAGGAAGGATAGTGACTTACCGTGTGCTGCAGTTTCCCATCACTGCCGGTGTGTCCGTGGCCATGGCTGGGCCAGCACTGCCAGCTAGAGAACAAATTTACACACAGAATCAGCAACTTAAGATAAAAAACGTATTCTTGCTTTTATGCTAGGGTTTTATATAGTATAACACTGCAACTATCTTATAAACGGTTATACAACTGTTAAGCAAATAAATGAGTTTTGGTAGCAGCCATTTTGTTTGTCGACATACATATAGTTCCCTTTAGTGATGCATACCTAAACCCACATTTAGGTTCAGGTCCGGATTCAAGTCCAGAGGTTTAGGTTCAGTTCCGGACTTGTAAGTCTGGACCTAAACTCATGGCATATACAAAATTGCATGTTGGCAACCTTGCAATGTTGTCTGGGTGAAACTTTGGCCACATAGCATGGAGGCCGGTACTTGACGATGCCCAATGGCAATGTTTTCTTGATTTTGTAGCAAAGATTTTGCAATCTACCGAAGGTTTTATGTGGTTTGGAAAGAAAAGGGGTTTGTGAAATGGTCTTTTATGGTAATAAGTCCGGACTCGGTTCTTGACTTTTAGGTTTTTTTGGACTTGAACCTAAACATTTTTACAAGTCCGGATCCAAGTCCAGTGAACCGGTATGCACCACTAGTTCCCTTGGCAACGCAATACAACGTACAGTATACAGCTTTGGATGTCTTTTATAATATCGCTTGCAAGTCAACCATTAAGCCTCGGTCACAACTCGCCGTGCGTGCTTTTTGTCCGTACGTTTTTGTCGTGGCTACGTCTGCTACGTTTTTTCTGCAAACGTAGGGTGGCCGGCCGAGGGAGTACGTCACTCGCACGGTTGCGCAAGGTGTACGTACGTGGTCTGCACGACACGCCTGGCCGTCAGCGGTTGCGTGCATCGTACGTTGCGCAAGTGGTAAGTGAGTTGTACGTGCTTACAACGCACGATCTCTGTGCGATTGCTACGTTGCCGCGTACAGGCCGTACCTACACGTGCAGCGTACGCACGGTTTCCTTACTCACTCGCACGTTGTAAGTGCGTGCACCTCCTGTTAACTTCATCATCACTAGCCGCCCTGGTGTCTTCCGCGGCCCGTTTCTTTGGGTCTTGTCTGGTAGTCTTCTTCTGAGCCTTCCTGGGCATCTTGGAGACGAGTTGGCAGTCGCCGGTCAAGTCGTCTTTATATACTGTAGAAATCAGGTGCGTTGCACGTGCGTTGCACGTGCGGAGCACCTGGTATGGTGCACGTGTGTTCTGCGTGGTCATTGAGCAGGTCAACTGGGAAGTGAGGAGTAAGCACGGATGACGCAAGCACCGTGCGTGGCACGCACATGCTTCGTGCGCTGTCCGTACAGCAATTGCACGTGAGAATAGTGAAGTTAGACTCACGGAGTCCGTACGTTGCACGCTCATAGGCTGTACGGGGCACGCGCGTCGCACGTACTCGCACGCACGGGTGGTAAATCCGCAGACCGCACGTAGAAAAAGTATTACATGCACTTAAAGTTCTACGGCGTGTCTGCGTGCTCCCAAATCCGTAGGATTTCGTACGGAGGTGGTACTCACCACGCACGGATGCCGTGCGATTGCCCACGTTTTTGCACGTAGACAGCACGCAGAAGCACGTACGGCGAGTTGTGACCGTCGCTTTACTTCTTTGACAGACAAAACGCGTAGAAGAATATCTAAAATTCCAATCATGATTTCTATAAATCTCGGTGAATATTAATTCGTAAGCAAAGGCTAAAGCGACGGGGTTCTATGCTAACTGCTGTCTAGGGTATTGCAATCATTTCAATACATGGTGAACGTAAATATAAGGGAGGGAATTTTACCTGTGCTTGGGGTGGATGAGAGTGTAGTCAGTCATGGTAAGTCTGAGATGATGTCTTGACGGTACAGCCGATTGTCAACCCACAGTTCGTACGACTGTCTGGTCTTGGTCGGGAGTTGGTCGCCTTGGGATGATGCTTCCCTGGAGGAGGTTGGATCTGGGAATGGCGCCTGCAGGGAGCCGCACGGCGTCTTATCCACGGCGTTGCCTAGTAACCGTTGCTATGCAGGTGAATTTGTGCTTGCTCAGTTCCATCCCATGAGCCCTTGCGAGGAACCCTATGTAGTGATCTATTACAATTTTCATAGCGAGTGACTTGCCTTCCGTGACAAAGCTGTAGGTTGCTATGCAGCCATTGATATGAATATGAACGAATTGTCGGTACCAATATATGCCTTGTTTTTTTTTCGTCTGCTAAGGCATTGATATCTGGGGTAATACACGTAGCCATGTTTGAACGATGTTTGCCTAAAAACATGACATCATGACTTGTGCTCGGAAACCCGAAAATAATCGTCTTTCTGAACGAAATTTTTAAAAATCGGTGATTTAACATAAAAGGTAACATTAAAGGAAGTTAAAACGATAATTTCATTTTAATTTGACGAAATTTACCACTAAATACTATTTATTTATTTTCAAATGTTTTACGGGTAGTCCAAAACAGGCCAAAATAGCGTCTTGTAACCCGATTCTTTTTCGAACGCGCCTAGCAATGGGAAAGAATGCCGTAGTGACAGACCGCCGTGTTTCATGTTGCAAGGGTTAACCGGGATAGGCATATGCATTCGGGTTTTTTTTTATATCGATGGTAGAAAAATCATCTGAAGCACTGCACGAAATCCTACCTTTCAGCACACCTTAAACACACCTTAAACATGATTAAAGGTACCCGCAAAGAAAAAAAACGGAACATTTACGCATGCATTAAAAACGGATTTTGTGAAAAAAAAACATGCAGTAAAGATTTTTATTGTGGAGCACATGATAAATACTTTGGTTGAGGTGGTACATTATCTAAAAATTTATACAGTATCTCATGTTCTTTCAATAACTTTCAAGAACGCCGCCCAACAATCATGCGATTGAAGACCAACTCAACAAGAAAGAACGTACCAAAAACAATACCTTCTTCATTTTTCATGAAGGTAACAATATAGGATAGTGTATGTGCTTTCTGTTGCAGCATTTTGATTTTGCAACAATGGTCAGGCTATATCACGGTTATGCTGTAGATTTAGAGGAACATTGTTCTTTCTGTAAAGAAAAAACAATGAAAAATCTTCTAATATCCAACCGGAAAGTATTCTGATATCCTACCGGAAATCCTAAGGGTAATACACACAAGAATACAGTCATTCTAACCTGTCATGTGAATGAATGGCTTGTGGATAAAGCAATGATAAAAACTGAAGGGCTTCTATATAACATCCATTCATATCTCATATAAAACGTGACAGTCAACACAACAGGGCGGTATCTGATTCATTTTCAAACACAAAAAGGTATTTAAATTATTAATTATATCGAACTGGTTCGGAAAAATTGATTCACTGGTGAACAATACATCTGTAGATTAGAAGCCTCTCTGTACAAATATGTTGAGGTGTAAAGTTACGGGCCCTACACGATAGAAACCAGTTATATGCCTGGGTTTATCAATTGTTGTGGTAAAACCTTTGTCAGGAAAACATGTCGTGCACGCCACAACCTTTTCTTAGTGCACCTTGTCTTTTGTGCGGGGGTACTAGATAATAAATTATGTATCTATGATTCTATCTGTTTGAATCTCCAAAGTTTGGGTCTTCTTTAGCAATCGCTTGACTATTAGCACAAAAAAGGATACCTTGTCTATGCTTTTCTACTGACAAAGTGTCTACTACTGCTTGTTTTTGAAACGTTAGGTTTGGTAATAACGCTGAAGGCAGTCTATTATAGCAATGCTACTGTATACGTACGCACATCGCTTTGTTGTACCATCACCATAGTCACGAAGCGTCATCTGTTGTTTCTCAAACAGAAAGCATAGCAACCTTGGCCAGTGCTGAACGGGGAGTCACTGTGAGCTAGCTGCTGCTTTCCTATATCTTATGAAAATCTGTAGCTTATAGTGCCTTTTTGCATTGACAGTTTTTTCATCATCAAATGCAGACATCCACATGATGTTGGATGTAAAGTGAGGACGGTTGTTCCGTAATGTTGTTTTATAATACGTCTATTTGAGAGGCTATGTGTGTACGTGCAGCTCCGAGTGTCAAAAAGCGATGGTGACAAGGCATAGACGGGAAAAGTAAGTATAATCGACTCTCTCTTAAAATATTACACATGAGCTGGTGGTGACTTTCTCTAAGCTTATGGTGCATAGTTATATTAGACAAAAGAATATTATTGCTGTGAATGTTAGCCATACGCAATGCTTGTATACTGGATTGCACTACGCGTACACATTTGAAACGTACTCACTGTATGAGATCTGTGTCATACCACTGTACAAAATCCAATATTTAAGTATGTCTTAAATCGTGCATAAAGGTACAAACGAGAAAGAAAACGAAACCTTTACGCAGGGTGTGCATAAATACTGGATTTTGTGCAGTGGATTGTATACTAGGACAATAGTGGCGTCGGTGGCGCAACGGGTTAGAGCGTTGGCCTCGGAACCAATAGGTCCCGGGTTCGAAACTCACCGTGGCCCGACGTTGTGCCCTTGGGAAAGGCACTTTACTCGACTTTCCCACCTGTACGGTGGAGTGACGCCCACCGAGCCTCTTAGGCTAATCTGTCTAACTGTGTGTAAAAAACACACGACGGATTTGGTGCGCCAATGTGTCAACTTCAGCACATTTGCCACCGAGAGCCGTTAATTTTTTTTATGCTAGGACAGCTATGTGTATTGCACTAGTAATTGTATGTTGGCCAGCAGTTTTATACCAATATTTCTTCGACATTTTCCACTGATACTTGGTGTGCATCAGCGTACTGCTGCTTGTTATAGCACAGACCTATATAGACATCTCGCCACTTCTTGCAGATTCTCGCTTTGGCCTTCTGACGATCCTGTTGTGAAGGTACGGAGATCAAGGAAGGTCGATCACTGGGCCAAGCTGAGAGCTAAGGTGAAGAAACTCACTTTCCCTCTAGGTTAACATGTCTTTCCATTCCTTCCTTACTTTAATGTGCCTACGACTGTGCTCTGGCGCATGGCATGGCTAATACAAAGACTAAGGTTCACTAGGCCTCTGTCCGGGTGATTTAAAGTGAATCACCATACTTTTGCGCTAATATTCTTAGACGAATTTGAACACATCTGCACAAGATTTTTACTACTCACAAAAATGCTAACTGCTTTAATTTTTTTAATATCTAATGTTAATGATTTAAATGTCAATATTTAATAAGCAGAGCTGTGTTTGATACCAGGTAATTCTGATGACTGGAAATGTGTCTATAAATATACTATGCCAGAAAATGGATTTTCCTAAATTGTAAATTTATCGAGGAGGAAAAGATAAAAGATGTGGCATATGAGTTTATTTCATGAGGTTGCTAGAAATGTTTAGCTTCTACCAGGCTTCAGAAGCGGCTGGAAAGAGTACAAATTGGCAAAATAAATAGATAACATGCCAGGGGAGTTGGTCCGCGAAGAAGTACATATGCCGCCTCCCGAAGGGTCATTTTCTACTCTTTCCAGGCGCTTCCGAAGCCTGATACAGGCTAAGAAATATCATATGATGGTTGAAAACAATCTCTGCACTACGTACGTGGTCTAAATGGAACCTTATTTCTGGTAATTTCAAAGGTTCCCGAGGAGTTTTTGAGCTTGCCCATCGCTGTCGAACTCGAGTCTCTCAGTAGCTCCAGTTTCTCTGACCTGTCTCTCGTGGACGATGAGAAAAGAAGACGAAAAGGGAGGAAGAGTCGACATTCGGATTCTTCTTACTCAGACAGCAGTAGAGGGTCGGACGAGAGAGGGAGGAGAGGAAAACACAAGGAACGGTCGTCTGAGTCAGGGTCTAGGAGACGGCGGGATACCATCTGTGCTTCAACCGTAGCCAGAGAAACCTACTCCTACGACATGGACAAATTTTCACTCTTAGATCGCCCGGCTACCTCTCAGGCGATCGCAACTATGGAGGCGCGCGGCAAACAAAACAAAATCATCGCTATGAGTTCGCTATCGTCTACGGAGGAGGACATCCTTTTATTCCTGCTGATTCAGTTTGGAGTCCTTCCTAGCACCGCCACACACAAAGACCTACGCAAACTCATCCGCAAGTCGCTACATGGTAAGATCAACATCAGTCTACACTCTAACGGGAACTACCTACACACCAACGGTGTTTACATCAACGTGAAGGGGAACTACATCAACACACGCGGGCTGTATATCAACACGGACGGAAACTTCATAGGAACCAGCGGAACGTACGTCAACATCGTCAAGAAGGACGGCAAGATGGAGGTTTCCAAGGTTCCGCCCGTCACCAGGATACCGCATAGCAAACCCATGGCGATCGACTGTAAAAGCCCCGAGTTAGAATTTGACATGCCGATTTAGGCGACTGAAATGTGGTGAGTGGAAGTAGTGTTAGGTCTAGGAAAATTATGGTTGGGTTTACGGCTTAAGTCCTGAAAAAACTATGGTCAGTGGGTAGGGACTTTTATATATTGATCCAACAAATAAAGTTTAACAATGCATGCATTGGGACTGTCTCAAGGACCCGTCCACCTGTTTCATAGCCTTACCAGCGGACAATAAAAAAAAGCTAGGGTCTGTCCAGGGAACCGGAAACTTGGTATTTTCCTCTAGGTCTTAATATACTTGTCGAAACTACGACAGTAGCAATGAGTCATTTAGTATCGAGAAAAGAGCATAGTAAGTGTGGTCTCCTTATGGTAGTGCATGTTAGCATATCCTTCATTATTGATATAATGCTTGGTTACCAAATGCACCATGGCTTTGTTGTCAGTTGCTATGGAGACGGTTACACGGAGGGTAAGACTGAACCATTTTGGAGACCAGAAAAGGGAACCAGGGTTGATACAAATTATACCGTAGTTATGGTGACCATATTTATGTATACATGTATATACATTTGAAGACTTTTGGTCCCGTTCGTCATAGAAATGCGTTGCACATTGTACTACCTCACGTTTTTCATTAGGCCATGTTGATTTGATTATATAGATGACATCCTCTGGGAACTCCAAAACTGATGCGAGCGTGCAAATGAAAAAAGTTTGGCCCCCCAATATGTTGCTTTCATTATGAAATCTACGTGGTCATAAAGATTGGCATGGCGCGAGTAATCTACTCTTCAAATTCATTTCTTTACATTTTCGTCTTTTTGGCATTCTTCGACATTGGTATCGTTTTCCAATATCTTTTGCAACTTACAGTATATATTTGCTCATTTTGCAACTATTTTGTACGACTTACAGTATGGTTAAAACATTTTTCTTGGAAACGGCCGAAAATTCATGCGCGCGTGCACGTGGATGTCATCCATATAATCAAATCAACATGGCCTTATATCAACCTGTGCTAACTAGCAATTGATATCTCATTTCGAGCTGAAAACGTGTACATACATGTATTCAGTATACATTACTCCTATAATAACATGACATTCACTCAATCAAACGACGCTTCTCTTTATTGATATTTGTTCACATAGCTGCATTCATGTGTGTTGAGTGAACAATATCAAGTGATCTGGCGTATCTCAGGTACCAGATTACTGTCTTATTCCTCAAGATAAGACGACATGGATTCTTTAATAGTTAAAACAAGACAGAATGAACTTCAAATTGCCTACACTACTGAGAAAGGGATATCGGTACCCCTTTTCAAGACGACTTTTTTCTGTATAGTCAGAACACACAATTTTATGTCATTTAGGGAAGAAAGAAGAGTATTTTAAAGTCTACTTTTACAAGGAATATTAGCTCAAGTTTCTAGACTGGAATCTGGAATAATGATAGTGTTGCCCGACGACTGGTATCCAGGTTATCGTGGTTGGGTCAGGCTGTCTTCGGGGCTCTAGTAGTTTTTCCCCGCGCAGCTCAACTGTCGTCCCCGGTACCGGTGGTAGTTTTAAGCTTGTATGAGCTTTGGTAATGGTTTTGAATGCATGGGACCTGATTAGCACACCACAATAGCGTGGTGGGGCTAACTGAACTCCCGTCGTGAAAAACCTTACTACCGGGAACCTAGCTGAGTCGGGCGGAGAAGAGCTCCTGCAGCCCCGAAGAGAACCCGGCCTAACCACGATAGTAATGGATACGCTCTCCACAGTTGTACGGGAACTAGTGGCTAGTACTAATAGTAGTAGTCGTACTCAGACAGGCCGTAGCTGGGACTGTCTCCGGGCGGGGCGTGCGCCTCCCCCTGCCCGCCCGCACTGGCCGGGTCGAACTGCTGGCACAACATCGGGTCGCTGTACGTCTCTCCTGCTGCATGTGCCAGGAGCTGAGGAAAGGGGGGAAATACGTTGGGGTAGTTGCTCTGAGTAGTCGACAGTTGCACACATTGTAACTTAAAGGCATCCAATGCAATTTCAGAGCGACAATACAAAGGATATTCTAGATGAGAAAATCTGACATGTACTGCCATTACTTATGTACTTTACCAACTCAGATGAACTTTCATGCCAAACAAGTTTGACGTTGTCGTTGTAGTCCTTCATAATTCCGTTACACTGTCATGCGAATGTTCTGTTCTATACGAAGTACCACAACGACAAGTTTCCTCTTCCGTGTTAACCAAGTTTGTCGTTGTGGTCCTTCGTACATTCCACGACACAAACCAGACCAACTTTCACGCGAAGGCTCTGTTCTGTACGAAGGACTACAGAGACAAGTGTCGTCGTCTGCGCAAACAAAGTTTGTCTTTGTGGTCCTTCGTAGTTACCTGCCAGGCTGTCCAGGTGTCTTCCTTGACGCCCTGCATGCAGGTTTGGGAGAAGCAGCGGTAGCTGTGTGCGCGTGCGCGACAAGGTGTCCACGGGGCTCCAGCCGTCATACGTTCCGCGTACAGACAGTGTTCAAACTCCGACTTCTCACAACGTACTACGGGAAAAATACCATATAGAACTTTATTGCACGACAATTGTATAAGGTACAAAGTATGGCAACGGCTACTGAACAAAGTACGAAAAGAAAAGGGTATAGAAGGAGATCTCAGACCTGCATGAAATATTCAAACGTAAATATTTTTTTATTCACACACACACACACACACACACACACACACACACACACACACACACAGACACACACACACACACACACACACACAAACACACACACACACACACACACACAGGCAGACCCAAAATAATACCTCCATTTTTCATAGAGGTAAAAACACCAAGTCACATTCACCTTCAAATAAGTCCTACAGGACGAGAGTAAGAAGTTACATAGTAAGAACGTTCACATTTTTGTGTGCCGTATACGGTGGCTAGGGTGGTTCGAATGTTTAACCCCTCCATTTTAAAGTGAGTATCGACTTCAAGACATGAGACAAACAGCACTTTGGACTAAAAGCATGCCGCGACGGCATCGAACTCCGTGTTAATGTACTGTCACAGTGGTACGTACCGGTAGAATCATTATGTGAAACTGATGAGCATGCCAGTTCTTTTTTTGGTATCTGGTCTGCATTTTTTTCAAAGACCCAAATAATAAAACAAACATGACAATGCATTGACGCGAAATGATTCAAGGACATTAACTGCACACACAACGATTTCTACGCCCCTAATCGAAAATTAATGAGATTTAAATCCAATGCAATTTTAGGGTGGTAAGACAAAAATATTTTGGATGAGGAAATCTGTCAGAAATTAACATTTATTTAGCACATTTTAGTAATCATTTCATACTTGAATTGTTTGAAATAACCCGATAACAGATAAATGAGGCATCTCTTTATTTTTGGGTACCACCCGTAAATAGCCAGAACCAGCCTCGATACAAAACAAGCAACCGTTTTCCATCAGCGACGTCGCAATTTTGCGTCACAGATATCAGTATGCTGTGATATAGGATTGATTCAACTTTTAACTACATTAAAAGAATGACATTAAAAGAAAATTGACAACGCAGTTTTCCCGCTCTGAAATTGCCTTAAATGAAACTCCAATCCTCGGGGATTCAATAGCTTTTACTCTATACAAATCAGACCCGATGGCAATGTCAGATACACACATACATCTGACATAGTGTTAATTGGTGCTCTGTTCTCTGGAGAAGAAAACTCCCGTATCTATTGACTTTGAGTCTCGTTTCTCCGTCCTCTTTTATGGAAGATGACCTACGGATCGTTTTGCCTTTCATGTGGGTTTCTCGTTTGCCTTACAGTCGGTGAGAGTTGGTTCTGGCGACAGCTCACAGACAGAAGTTTTCCCCCGACAGTTGCTTTGCACCGTGTCCAATTAAACAAGGCATCCAAAGGAAATGCAGGGCAACAAAAATATATTCCGGAAGAGGGAATCTGTCCGATATTGACATTTACTGACATTTTTAAAAGCAAATTTTCGTCATCATTTCATACTTGAAGCGTTTGAAATAGCCTGAAAACAAGCTATGTGACGCGCTTTTTTTGGGGGGGGGCGGGGCTACCACCAATAAATGGCTAGAACCAGGTTGCGATTCGGTCGGGTTGGCTACTGTTCGGCTGGCTAATGTTTCAAGACGTTTAAAACATTCGGATGTTTACGGGGAGCTAGTCTATGGCCGGCTAATGGTTGGCTGGCGTTTGGGAGTATGTCGGGACGTGGTTGGCAGTAAAATTTGACTCAAATTTAACTCAATTTTTTTTTCAAAATTTAACTCAAGTTTTCTCTGTTTTGTGTATTTTTGCCACATAATGATTGTACAAATCAGTGCAATTCAGCTTGTTGTACATGCACCTCATGCTGCGAGGCTGATTTTCTTAATAACTGTAAACTGTAAAGACAAAGTCAAGTTCATACCAGGCCCAGGATACAAACCTTGAAACATCGGCTTGAGGCTGCGGAGGTCGATGTGTGGACAGTAGGGTTTGATGGTGACGTTCAGCAGCCCGGCCGCCACGGTCTGGACAACCCGCATCACCCGGGGGGAGCAGGCGAACGGCGCCGAGCCTAGACACGTCACGAACTCCTGGAATATAACCACGGTAACGGGTAGGTAGAGGTAGAGTTACAGGTACAGGTAGAGTTACAGGTACAGGTAGAGTTACAGGTACAGATAGAGTTACAGGTACAGGTAGAGTTACAGGTACAGGTAGAGTTACAGGTACAGGTAGAGTTACAGATACAGGTAGAGTTACATGTACAGGTAGAGTTACAGGTACAGGTAGAGTTACAGGTACAGGAAGAGTTACAGGTACAGGTAGAGTTACAGGTACAGGTAGAGTTACAGGTACAGGTAGAGTTACAGGTACAGGTAGAGTTACAGGTACAGGAAGAGTTACAGGTACAGGTAGAGTTACAGATACAGGTAGAGTTACAGGTACAGGTACAGGCACAGGTACAGGTAGAGTTACAGGTACAGGCACAGGTACAGGTATAGGTACAGGCACAGACACAGGTATAGGTACAGGCACAGGCACAGGCACAGGTACAGGCACAGGTACAGGCACAGGCACAGACACAGGTATAGGTACAGGCACAGGCACAGGTATAGGTACAGGTACAGGCACAGGTACAGGCACAGGCACAGACACAGGTATAGGTACAGGCACAGGTACAGGCACATGTATAGGTACAGGCACAGGTACAGACGCAGACACAGGTATAGGTAAAGCTGTACAGGTGAAGGCACAGGTACAGGTACAGGCACAGGCACAGATACAGGTACAGGCACAGGTACAGGTACCATGATTGAGTTAGAGGTACAGGTAGTCCCATAACTTTTTTGCGGGGCAATGGGGTGTTAAAGCCCCTGGTACACATAGCCGAAATTGCCGAACTCCCCTAACCCGGGTTTGGAGTAGGTTGTATGAAATAAAGTCGACTGGTGTCAGGCAAGGTCGCATCGGCTACTACCAGTATTCGGTTGCGGCGGTTTCAGGATGTTAAAAACATTCGTGGGTTGATCGGGAGCTTCGGCTATGGTTGGCAGGTGTTCGGCAGTATAGTAAGTCAGCAGAACACCAGCCAACCATTCGGGAGTACGTAAATCAGCAGTGTTCGGTTGTCAAATTTGACTCAAATTTAACTCAAATTCGTTTCGATTCGTATGTAGACAGGGCCTAAATCTGGCCAGACTGCCAACTTCAAACGGCCTTGGTCGGCTGGTGTTCGGAAGCGATGAAAGCAGGTGAAGGTGCTGAATGTGTGACAACCACGCATAAACAACGTCATCGTGTTGGTAAATCAATATATACTGGGTTCTTATCTACATACGGAACAAAAAGATTTTTTTCTGCCGACGTTTCGGCAACCGTCACTTTTGGTCACCCTTCCTCAAGGCCGTGCAATCTCTACATACCGATACGTCACAAGGATGAGAAGAGTCAAGGATGAGAAGAGTTCGTGCGTCAAGCCCCGAGGCTATAGTCGAAAGGTTGCCAAAACGTCGTAAGAGAAAATCCATTTGTTGTGTAGATAAACACCCACAGTAAATGCATTTGATATAGAATGAGCATTCGTCCTTCACTGTTCTACAACAGACGTCCTTGTAAAATGGACATGTGTGACCAATATGTTGTACATGTACATGAGTTCCGTAGATATTCATGAAAAGCATTGCATAGATATTGATAACTCCCTATTTGTTGTCAAATTCAACCCACAGTAATTTAATCAACGTTGAGCATAAAAATGCCCCAACACCTCAAAACAAGCTGTTTAACGTCAACAGGATCATTCCGATGCCTTCCTGTCCTATGCAAATTAAATGGAGCTTAGGCCCCAGGATTCGCAATGCATCCTGGGGATATGGGAAACTCGTGAATATGCCTCACCTGTTCGGCTCCGCAGAGATGTTGCAGCAGTGCATCCTGGGATAGCCCCATCATCTCCCTGTCTAGTCTGGAGTAGCTGTCAGCCTGCTGGCGTACACAGCCAGCCGTCACACGGACTTCACATAGCCGCGGGGCTAGTATCAACACCACGGTACTGTTAGGCAACGACAAGTAAGTTTTATGGATGGCATCAGCGCGCCTGACTTTGGAGAAAAAAACAAGAACTTTTGTTGCCCTTTGACAGTAGTCAACATGCCGAAAATGGGTAAAATGGCATGCCCTGCCATGCTGGAACGTGTATGGCAGATAGATATGAAGACAGGAGACAAGACAAGGCTCTGATTTATTGTTTTGCCTTTTAAGTTGATGCAGTGATGTATTCATTCCTTTCATATGTGACGTTTCCACTGAATCAAAACTATTTCTACAATGATTGAAAATTTTTATTTTTCAATGACAATGGATGTTGTAATAGATCACAATATAGGTATCATTCATTGTTTAGCAAAGTTTATAATGTCAAAATTTGAAAATGAGGGAACCTTGTTTTTTGGCCGCCTTGTTTTTTTCGCCCTCTCGCATTAGATTTCTAGTCTGCGAAGGATGCCATCCATTAAATTTACTTACTGTGGCCTTATCATGTAAACCCGTGTACACGTCGAGAATAAAGGTTGTACACATAACTCAACCACCCACCGCGTTCATGTAGAAGAAATCAAACTTCTACTTCACACAACTTATCAATGTTAGCATTAAGTCAACTATAAAGCCATTGCTTTCAACTATAACATTTGAGAGGAAAGCTACGTGGGAGTAAGAATGCTTTGATATTTGTAACTTACGTTCCAACGAAAGGACCCGGTCTCCAAGCAACTTTTCAATCTGGAAGAAAAACAAATGTCGAAATTTGTCCAATAGTTATAGGATAGGCGCTACCAACTGACCCGGCCGAAGGGTCTAGACCTTTTCAGCCGAGTGTTTAGAGCGTCGGCATGTGGACTAGTGCGCGGTTTCGAACCCCGACCCTGGTTTCTTTCTGTTTCTACTAGTACTGCTCGCCCCTGTTTCTTACATACTGACAGTAAGGCTGTAAAATTGGGTTGAACGTGTAGCTTATGCACGTTGGGAAACAGCAAAATTGAATGAAAAAAACTTGCTATAATCTTGCAACATATGGAGAAAAAATCACTGTAATTAGACACCGTTTTTCACTTTTCACGTTTGAGCGTTTGGAGGAAAAGAATTTGCACGTACGATTGGAGGCGGCAAAAATACGATAACATGCGGACCACTGCATGCTGTATAACAACATATGTGAAAGTCCTGAAAAAATCCAGACAAGTGTTCATTCCTAATGTCCGTATAACGCACATTTTCTTTTAAGGCCAGACCATACTGACTTATCTTCTGGAGATGCCAAAACTATGGGGAAGGGTGAAAAAAATCCAGACAAAAATGCTACTAAACCACGGGGATACAAACCTGGTGATGACAAACACAGAAAAACGTGCATCAATCAAGCAACAAATCTTCCTTTGTACGAGGTAGGAAAATGATCAAAGAAGTAGGTTGTCTTGTTCTAAGACTGACATGTTGTTCACGTCGCTATGATGCATACTGCTTTCATGTTATTTGATGAAAAGAAACCATCTATACGCCAAAAAGCAGTTACTAAAGCAACTGGATATGATTTTGATAGTTTATAAACCTGCATTTCTCCTCTGGTCTCACTGACGAAAGCTAGTGGATGCTAGCTGAAACGTCTGACCGTTTCCAAAATCATATCCAGTTACTTGAGTAACTGCTTTTTGGCGTATCGTATTACCTAGATGTCTAACCTTCATCGACAAACCATCTATAGCTTACCAGCCTTTTCTGGAATTTATGAAGCGGCACCACACCACAGTTTCGCGGAGCATCCGAGGGGGTGATTTTTGGCCGTGTGCGCACTGTAGCATTTTACACGAAGAGATGTTGTCTATTATCAGGCTGATTTTTTATAAGGATGTAGCACTTTTACGGCCGTGTACCAGTTCGCTGGACCGGTAGTTCCAGACTTGTAAAAATGTTTAGGTTCAAGTCCCCCAAAAACCTAAAAGCCAAGAACAGATTACGGACGTATTGCAAAATGAAAACATTTCACATACCCTTTTCTTTCTAAACCACCAAAAACCTTCCATAGGTTGCAAAATCTGTGCTGCAAAATGAGGAAAACATTGCCATCTGGCATCGTCAAGTGTCGGCCTACATGTTATGTGGCAACAATTTTGTCCATACAACATTGCAAGGTTGTCAACATGCAATTTTGTACATGCCATGGGTTTAGATCCGGACTTACAAGTCCAGAATTGAACCTAAACCTCTGGACTTGAATTTGGACCTGGACGTGGGTTTAGGTACACAGCACTACTAGTCTTACCTGTTGTGTTCTCTTCACCTGTCCCCAACCTTTCATAGCGACAGCCATGTTCAGCACCAAGGACAGAACCACCAAAACACACCTTCTAGAGGTCTTCGCCATTCCTTCTATGCTGGAGAGTAGTACTATAAGAGAAAGACTATTGCTGAAATACTTGTCGGAGCAGGCTGTTTTATGTACTGAATACCACCGACCTGTAGTGACGTTACTGACGTGTGATGACGTATTTGCTAATTAGAATACGGCCACCCTCCAGGTAAGAAAATCGTCCTTAGATGAAAGGCTGATTTTGATTGGTCTTTGGTTACAGGATGTGCGTCAATGCATGGGGCTATAATGAACATTTCCTGAACGTTGATGAAATCATCTCTTTAACGTCTCTGTCAGGCATCCGCAGGGATTCTTAAGTAAAACGTCTTCAATTTAAGTTGAAGGACATATTGTTTTCATCATAGTTCTTATATCTGCGTCATTCTATATTACCTCTCTTTCTATCAAACTAAAAATCAAATCTTGTAGCATTGGTGGCGTGTTTGTTTGTAAGGCCAAATTGATTGTATTTTATGGATGACGTCCTTTGAATGCAAGTGCACACAAAGCAATGCCTTAAGTTTAAGTGATGGCAAAGGTTACAAAAACACACGAAATACCGCATGACAAACAAAAATGTAAGTAATTCTTTGTTCTTGTTCTTAGGTACTAGTAGATAGGTTGCCTTGCAGGCCATCATGGCAGGCCAATTCTTGGCAAGACTCTTTTTTGTGGTGGGTTCTTTAACGTGCGTGGGGTGTGGCTCTCCCCAAACACGGGACCTCCATTTAACGTCCTACCTGAGGGACGTCCCTAACCGAAGCTAGGTACTCATTTACACCTGAGTGAAGTGAGGAAAGTCGTGTAAAGTGCCAAGTGCACAGGATCGGTGACATGGGTAAGAATCGAACCCGGGACCTCGAGGTCCTGAGCCAGATGCGCTACCGCTGCGCCACACCATCTTACAAATCTAACAGCATTTTGGAAGAAAAGTTCGACATGTAGTAAGAGACAGACAAAAACACAATTGCATTCGCTCAACATTTTCTTTTTTCCTAATGAAATTTGGATGTGGTACCCTTTAGAATGTGAACCTTCGTACAGCCCTACTGCAATAATTGCTGCTGCAGTATCATGAACTGCTAGTCGGCGCTTTTGAACCGCTGAGGCTTGACCGACAATGTACGGACCGCCATCAACGAGAAGGGTGAGGCGTACTGTAATCATGTTTTCAACAGTATTTCTTGTTCTGGATATGTTATTGTATGACTTTTTATGGTAGCCTGCTTCTGGGCTCGGTAAAAAGTGGTATACATGTATTGTGATTGTATAAATGATGAAATTGAGAATTTTTCTGCCCATAAGTTATAATCAGTTGCCTATGTCCTGGGACTTCTAGGCTTCCCGGGATTTTGGGGCCCTCTTCCAGATTTGGCAACGAGGGGCGTGGCTTGAAAACTACGATAGCCCAAAAGTACAATGCCCCCCCCCCCGGAAACAGTACAAGCACAGTATATCTTAAAAACTACAAATGAATAATGGAAAGGTAAAAAAAAAACAACAACAACAACGCAACTCTTTTCTCATATAGACACGGTTTATTTCTCCAAACTTGACATCATAGTTTTAACAAATACACGTAGATATGGTACAGTCATTGGCAGAGGCATCTCCAAGCCCCTTGTTCAACATGTTATCACTGCTCAAAATCCTAGTTGGCGCTTCCATAGAACTACTAGGGCAGTACATATACTATACTCTATCAAAAGAACAGAATAACATCTATTTTCTGCCTAGAAATACATGTACCAGAGTCCAAACTTTGTATACATACATACCCAGCGTACATACATACTTGTAGGGCGAGACTTGTCCTAACCCTCTTAATGCACACATTAAGTATGATACAGACAACTCTGCTCTCACATGCACCAAAACTTACACCTATATTCTGAGATAAAACATATAGAAAACAAATATAATTATTCATATAAGAATTTTTTTTATTACTATTTGAGCAACAGGTATCACTTTTTATCTTGTCTCACTTTGGTCCTGTACACAACTGCAGCGACAGAAAATGGCACGGAGCATGGCAGACAACAAGTAAACAACAAACAACAACAACGACAACAAACACATCATCATTTTTACATCACAACTAAAGACAAAATAGTTAACTGTACAGATGTATTTTCCCCCTATATACAGGAGTGTCTTCTATATTGCCCCCTTTTTTTCAACAAGACCTCAGTCCTCACTATGCGTTAACTAAGAATCATCGTCAGTCATTAAGTATAACTTCCACTCAGGTCTGGCAAAAAGCGACACTTCAAGTCATACCGACTTAAGCAACTGGATTATTTATATCTTAATACTGCCTATTGCCAGCGTACGGCACCCAATATTGCATGTTTTAAGCAAAATACATTTTAGTCTCAATTCTCCATGGCACAAAAATTAGAGAATGCAGTTGAAGGCAAAACTGAACTACACACTTTTCACACTGTCTATATCAGAATGGTAGTATTTGAGTAGGGAAGAGGGGACTAGATCCTACACACAGCACTATGTTTGAACAATAGGCAAAACATTCAAAATACACATCATATCTGTCTGATTCTGTTGAAATGCCCCAGTACATGTATAAGAGAAGTGGTTTGTGAGGTAGGACCTGGATTAGAAATACAGTACAGCCGTTTCAAAGAAATGTTTCAAATCATGTTTTATTTTGTGGTGTAAGGCCACACCAATTTAATTTGTTGGTTCAGCCTTTTGTGTTGACTTCATGGCTCCTATCATACCGTTTAATAGGATGCCTAGACCTGTCCTATAATAGGATGCCTAGACCTGTTTTTATTTTTATTTCTTATTTTTTGTCCTGTGGCTTCATGTTTTTTCTGAAAAAATCCGAGAACCAACAAATTAAATTGGTGTGGCCTAAAAGTAATATATGTAAGCATGGCAACATCATGTATTTTAGTAGTGGGGCAGTTGGGAATGAGACAGACATGTAATGTGCAATACAAGCTTAGCATGGAACAATACCATACATACATTTAACAGAACAAAACACAACATTTTTAATATAGGGGTATTTTCAAAAGTACCACCAACATCTAAGCTCACTGTTTCTGTGCTAGAGTAATAAATTATCTCTTGAAGTATTGAACACAAAACTATGTGGAAAGTTTAAAAGATAAAACATTAAATGTCCTAACATTAATCTAATGATAGTAATACACTTTTCCTTAGTCCATCTGTTGTAATCTCAACTAAATTATAATCCTTCATACTTACATATTAATATCTTCCATACCTAATCATGGTAATTGTGTCTTTACACAGAGTTGTTTTTTTTTCACACTGAGGTACAGGCGATTGAGAACCTCATGTCAAGGAATGTGTAAAATCTTAGTTATCATCACAAAGTCATACCTAATTTTACATTGCTCTACATCATCCTTTACTAAATTAATGAATTCTGTAGTTTTCATTCTCAAGAATGATTCAGATATCTTATATTCAGATATGTCAGAGGCAGACAAAATTGTTTTGATTTTAATATCATGAATGGGTCCTTTAAGTGCATCTGTCAAGAATGAATACTGAAGTGTGAATTTTTAATTAGTAAACACAGCTCCAAAAACAAATGGGATTCAACCATTCTTCACAACTGAAACTTACAATAGACCACATATTAAAACCTCAGATGGTAGAGCAGAACTTCCCTTTCAGAAAATTTTTTCCAGCATTAGACAACACCATATTAATTTGTTGGTTCTCGGATTTGCCTCTTCATTTTTTTTCTGATTTGCAAAAAAAAAAAAAAAAAAATTCTGGTTCTGAATCAACTCAAATATGCCCATATTTTGCCCCCAACAGTTGAAGAAAGTCCTTTTTTTCCTAGTGGTTGTTACAGTTTTTCCATCAATGCAGTGGTTTGATCAAAAGTTCAAAATTCATTGTTTAAATATTAACCCAGCCTTTTGCATTGACTTCCTATCATAGCTTTTGGAGCTACAATAGGATGCCAAGACCTGTTTTATTTTTATATATTTTTTTGCCCTGTGGCTTCATAGTCTTTCTGAAAAAATCCGAGAACCAACAAATTAAATTGGTGTGGCCTTACCCTACATGTACTGGGTACAAATACATGTACTGTGATGTACATGTAGTTGCAACACCACAAACTCACTTTAGGAGGCTTTCCAAATTTATCAAACAACATCATCCTACACTTGGGATGTTAAAATGAGAATCGAATTGCACTGACTTGACAAATGTGAAAGTCTACGTCCTGGTTATTCTAATGCTGAAGGCTCTAGAATTGCAGAATAGAGAGTAAGTTTATCATGTAGAGTCCTGACACAGTAGATTTTAAAAATAGGCTTCAAATCTATTTTTAGAGCCAGGATTTGGGGCATGTACATTGTATTTTTTTTAAGCTTCTTTCTGACTGACTTTTGAACTTCTTTTCCAGAAGACCTGCTTCCATCAATGTTTTTTTTTTGTCATAAATAATTCTGTCCTTTATTTAATCTTTTCATAATTGTAAAATTTTGTTGATTCTACAACATCGTATAGTTTTCTGTAGTTTTTGTTGTCTTAGAGCCAACATTGCAGTGCGTGAGGAAACGAAATGTGTTGCATTTCTAAATCATGTACCAATATTATTACAAGAATATGGTTATAATCTTTAAGTAAATAATATACGTTTTAGTACTTTATACATAATGTACCTGACTACATGTATACTTATCATTACCAATAGGATCATGTCTTGGACTCAAATTTTGTCTCAATTATATTGATGATTCAAATAATGTCATGAAAATAAGGAGGTCAAATAATTATTTGCAACAAGACCATATACGTATACGTAATTTTTTATAGTTTGCAGTTATCGCTGTCACCAATCTAGGCATCCAAAGTGTGCTTATGCCAGGAAAAAACCCAACAGTACTTTTCCTGCTTTTGTAGATTTAGCAAAAGTGCTACACCATGTTTTACAAGGATTTTCTCAATTTAGATCATGAAATTTCAGGGTGCAAAATTGATAAATCTGACTTTAAATAAGCCTACATGTATGCTTCTTTCCTCATGAAATCGTTATTAAGAAACAATCATTAAATTTTCGACTGTCAGCAACTTATTGACAGCAAAGTGTCCATTTTTTCTTAACTTTCAAAAATAAGCTGGACTAAAGGAATAAAATCATTATGTACTGTACGTCGCATCAACAAATACCTATCTATGGTGTAAGCACAGTTCACTACTTTGTAAAAGGAACTTTTACGTCCAGCCTCCAGCCTTCAAGTATCATAGTACCTAAAAGAGTATTAAATGTTACTACAATCTACAACCCCAGTTGACAAGTATGTTGTCTGAATACCTTTATGGACATGGCTACATTCACATGAACTCCAAGGTTCTACGAGTAAAATGTGTATAGTAAGCTAAGAATGTACAGTAATTACAATATTATTCACCGTTTTCCCATTCCCAGGATGCATAGCGCCAGGGTGGTAAAAATTCCCAGAATGCACAGCGCCAGAGGGGGTCGATATACATGTACAACATACTGTTGATGTTGTAACAGCTTGTTTTTCTGTGTGTTTTGAGGTGTTGCAGCATTTTGTCTTTTGTGTCATATTATTATAAACCTCCATATGTTGTAGAAACTTGGCATTGACGTAAATGTAGCCACTTCATAGCTCTCACCACCTAGTACGATGTATTGAATGGCTCAAGTCTACAAAGGTACATCCACATATTGCACGTCACGGGGGTAAGTTATCAGTCCAAGATGTAGGGTTAGTAATTAAGAGAGCCCACACTGCACTTCCACCTGTACAAACCACCCCCATGGAGCATAATGGTTTCTTCTTTTATCTCTGACCAATGGCTGTACAGTTGGGTGAGATGACTTTGTTGTAGCATGGTATAACATGTGAATTTGTCATGGAATAAGTACTACATGTATATGCAAGCCAGGAATACTGCAAGACTCAAAGGGCATCATAGTGATCTCATTTTTTCTATTAAAAGCTGTTACAGTACTATTTTTGTAGTGATTCTTCCTGTTCAAGACTACATCATTTGTGAAGCAAGTCACTCTACACACTCAGACAGAAACTGTTAGTTACAATCCATAAACTGAGACTCACGTAAGCAATGCTCCAAAGCAGAAACCACCACTGAAAACGTAGTATAGTGGCTGTGGACTGCACCATTGCTTCATGGGGGGTGTACAGGGTAGGGAGGGCAGCCGGCTCGACTGGTCACATGTATAATGTAGTACATGTTGTGTGAATACGTACACATTTGTATATGCTACATTCACGGGTTGAAGAATTCCTTGGTTGTACGTCAGTTCCCGTTGCTGTTTCTCTGTGCCAGCGGGACCTTCCCGAGGTCAGAGGCCGAGCTGGACTTGGCGAACTGTTTTGGCGCCATGCTCATGACCCGCTGTGCCTCCATCAGGGCGTCCTTTATCTCCTTCATCCACTGAACAAACTCTGGGTCACTCTGCAAGGGGAAAGGTCATGATCAAGCCTCGAAATTAACTTTTCTTCCTATTGTCCCAGTACTGTCCCTAAAATACATTTCAACTGTCCCGAAGTCAGGATGAACTTTCCCAACCTGTTTTTCGGAAGTATTGTGTGACTTCAACTTTATCACACAACATTGACATGTTTACGATACAAAGAGAATTGTAACACCGATAATCACTTTCAGAGAACCATCCCAATTAATTTGAGGCGCTGGCTACCGTGAAATAAGGAGAGAAAACCTGGCAAAAAGCTTCTTCCTAGGCCTTATGTGCTACTTGTCTTTCTGCCACCCCTGCAAACTCAACTGAAATAGGGTGTACAGAAAATGCAAAACCAGTGCAAACAATGGAAAACAAGCTGAAAGAAACATAACAGAAGGATATGGAATGAAATATACAGCACATTTATCATATAAAATGCAATGTTTCATTTCAACACACTTAGGCCACACCTAAGTGTTGGTTCTCGGATTTGTCTCTTCATTTTTTTCTGATTTGCAAAGAAAAGAAAAGATTCTAGTTTTGAATCAACCCAAAAATGCTCATATTTTGCCCCAACAGTTGAGGAAAGTCCTTTTCTTCCTAGATGTTACAGTTTCTCTGTCTATCAATGCAGTGGTTTGATTAAAAGTTCAAAATTTATTGTTTAAATTTTAACCCAGCCTTTTGTGTTGACTTCATTGCTCCTATCAAAGCATTTGGGCCAATAACAGGATGTCTAGACCTGTACTGACTGGTCAATCAGACAAGTTCTGTATCTGTCCTTGGTGCTGACTGACCAATCAGACAAGTTCTGTATCTGTCCTTGGTGCTGACTGACCAATCAGACAAGTTCTGTACCTGTCCTTGGTGCTGACTGACCAATCAGACAAGTTCTGTATCTGTCCTTGGTGCTGACTGACCAATCAGACAAGTTCTGTACCTGTCCTTGGTGCTAATTGGCCAATCAGGCAAGTTCTGTACCTGCCCTTGGTGCTAACTGGCCAATCAGGTAAGTTCTGTACCTGTCCTTGGTGCTGACTAGCCAATAAAACAAGTTCTGTACCTGTCCTTGGTGCTAACTGGCCAATCAGGTAAGTTCTGTACCTGTCCTTGGTGCTGACTAGCCAAAAAAACAAGTTCTGTACCTGTCCTTGGTACTGACTGGCCAATGAGAAAGTTAAATTGGCGTGGCCTTACCACATTCAAGGTCAGACTCACCTCTGGACGCAGGAGGAACTGTTTCCCGCCCTTGACCTTCAGCTGGATACACTTGTTGCCCTTGACTGTCGTCTCCTCCACCGCCAAAACAGACTCAAGAACTAAAACATTATTCTGTTGGACGACGTCCTGAAAATGAAATAAAACCACATCCTGAAAAGACGAAGAGACGCTTTGGTTAGGACATAGCTTTCCACATTCTGCAGACTTTTTGTCACACTTACACACTGCCAAAAACTGGCAAATTTTTTTTTCAAAATTTGGCATAAATATTTACATGTAAAAAACATACAAACAAAATTTTAGGGGAAAATGAAAAAAAATGGGTGAATAAAATCTGCAATCATGTGGAAAGGAATGGTGATGTAAAAACACAGCAAAATGCTTCGATGTTAAAACCATGGAGTTAACCATTAAATCATTGCCTACATGAACAATATTGTATAGAATGCACACTGAATAAAATTATAAGCATTACAGTATCATTAAAATGTATTGTGGGTAACATTGAAAATAACCTGCGCCAGAAAAGTTTTACATGTACCTGCACCACATGTACATGTTATTCCACAAAGCAAGCTATAACAGACCAGACTTGGCATACCTGTAACATGTTGTTAAGGACACAATTTGATTTGTTGGTTCTCGGATTTTTATAGAAAAAATATGTAGAAAAAATAAAAATAGAACCAAGCATCCTATAATAGCCCTAAATGCTCTGATATGAGCCATAAAGTCTACATACCAGGCTGGTTTGTAATTCAAACATTGAATTTAAAACTTTCAATCAAACCACTGCATTGATACAAATGTACATGTTGATGGAATAACTGTAGCAACTCTGAAGAGAATCAACTGTTGGGGCCAAAATATGAGCATTTGGGAGTTAATTCTGAGGCTAAAATGTTGGGGTTTTTTTTGCAAATCAGAAAACTATGAAGTGGGCAAATCCGTGAACCAACAAATTAAATTGGTGTGGCCTAAAGTTAGTTGTCATGAACAACCAGATATAAAAATCCTGAGAGTTAACCATCAGCATGCCACGGGTGACTCCACATCTGTACTGTGGTGCTACTAACACTGGTACACGTAACTCGGCATGCTAAAGGTTAACACAGAAACCACCCTACATGTCCTACAGGTCTCCTATGTCTACACTGAGTCAACCTCCGACTCAGCTTCCTACTAAGGGATGTGAGCAGCTTCCTACAAGTATGTCGTCTGCCTGTCTCCTTAGTAACAGCACACAGCACAAACAACAATCAAGACACACAGCAAATTATTCAAAATACAAGGGGAAGCAGAGCACGTCAGCAAAACGTACTGCACCTGCGCAAAACCCTGATTTTTCAGTTTTCGTTGGAATTTGGGTCAACGTTGCATCAAAATTTTACCTGTTGCAGACGATATTTAGCTGGTGTGTTACGCCAAAGGGCAGTTATACCGGCTATACAGATACAGATTTTGTTTGACATAACATTTGGAAACTACAGATGGAGTGTTAACCTTATATGCGCAAATACAACCTTGTATGAGACATTCTGCCAAAGTGCTATGCACTACACTTTACGGGTTTCGCGCAGGTGCAGTACGTTCTGCCAACGTGCTGGGAAGCAGGATTCTAATAGTACTTGAGGAAAAGTCTTGCAGTGTCTATAGTTCAGTTAGTAGCTTTTTATTTCCAGAGTATTGTATTTTAGTTCCTTGTTGATTGCTACTGTGCAAATGGAAGGGGAAAGAATTTTTGGTACTGAGTGTTAATTATCATTGGATGCCAAATATATGAGAAATTTGTGAAAAAATGGAGATCAAATTTGAATGTTCCTCAAAGTCAAAAGGAACATCGAATTTCAGAGAAAATGATACTACATTAAAGGTATAAAGAGGGGGTTACTTTTGGAGATACAAATGTATAACAATGTATGCACCTGCAATATCATTTCCTCAGAAAGTTGGAAAAGCATAAAACATATAGGCTTATATAAAACAGCTAATATATCTAAATAATCTAGGCACACAGATTAAGAATTTTATGTCACAGAAATTAGAATTAGGGTGTCAAACACCTTAGCATTAAACATCAAATAATGTAGTTCCTTTTACTTGATTGTCACCACTTAGCCAGAGTAAATTGTGCACAAAAAAAGTCAAAGCAAGTCATAAGTTATGGCCAACAGACAAGAGAAAGAAGACCTATGCGTATTAAAGGATATAAAAGCAAACAAATCACATACCTCCATGGGTAGCAACAAAGCGAACGACTGATGACAAAACAAAAAAGGGGGTAGTCATTACACAAAAAAGCTAACCTTACAGGGGAGAGATAGATGAAAACACACAAACAATGCACAAAACTACATCAAATCAGGATCTATGACTACAAAATGTACAGTACACAAGAAATAAAGCATGAATGGCTTGATTATTAAACTGTCTCTAAACAGTTTCAGCTCAAACCATGTTGAGTCCTAAAACCAGTCAGTTTGAAACAAGACTTGAAGAGAGAATTTTTTGTGTTGGATCAAAAGTTTTAACTCTAAACAAGACTTGAAGATCCTGTTCATTTCAACCCAGTGTCAAATCAAAGGTCTATGGTAAGGAACATTGCGAAATATTCTCGGTTCTTATACGTTTGTGGTTTTCTGGTTATCACTGATTTACGTGTGTCATCTGCACAACGTTACATCACAGGAATAGTGGATTGTTCATTCCTTGATAAAGACTAGAGTTGTACTGTCGAAAAGGTGGGTATGTTTTGGATCCCACTTCTGACACCATGTTATGCTTGTTGCTTTGCTTGTAGATACGCTTTCTTGTGTAGGAAATTACACTTTGATTAAATTTTGCTTTATAATAGTCTTTGAAGTGTTCTACCAAAGGTGTTGTTCTGCCAAATGTGTTGCATGGTTTACTGTCAAAAGTTTGGGTAAGTCCAATTTCTTGTGTTGGAAATTACATTTGCTTCAAATAGTCTTCAAATTGTTCTGCCAAAGGTATTGTTCTACCAAAGATGCTGTTCTGCCAAAGATGTGGCATGGTTTGACCCTTACCCCTTTCTCGGCTTCACCCTGCCACTCCAGACGGTTGGGGAAGAGCCAGAAGTACCTCTTCTGCCAGGCCGTCAGGAACGGGCCGCCCAGCTTCAGCAGGTGGCCATGGATGATGCAGTCCTTCCCCTCAGCATATTCTGACAGAGTGACATACAAAATAACTCAATCTAACATACTAAATATGTACTAGTCAGATATTAAACACACTAAATTCACTTATCTTCTCTTTTGCACCCACTGAATCAATTACCTAACACTAGCATGTTCCTTAGTGCCCTAACCGTCATTTTCCCTTTGTTTATTCGTACTGGTCACTTGTTATTCTCTTACATTCTTTTCACATACAAGTGTTCTCTTACCTTTTTCATCCATCATTTTCTTGGCTCGTTTCTTCGCCTCGTTCTTGTCAGCGTCAGTGTTGACTGCATCGTACACAGTTTCTGGAAAGGAAATGACAGAAATTGTATCGGATACCTCTAAAAGACTGAACAACACTTTCAGCACCAAGGAGAGGACCTGTTCGGTATAAAAAAAACCTCTTTACATGGCTTCCTATCAAAGCCAGTTGTAAACATGGATACTGATTGATTCAACTTACTACACTAAAAGTATGGCCAGTAAACTAATGCCCTAGAATTGCATTGAATGCCTTTAATAACACAATAAAGAATTTCCAGGGTAAGAAAAAAACCTTCCACTGACCAGCGATCTCTTGCTGCCACCTCTCGGACACCACCAGGGGGAAGTTCTTGTACAGCTCCTGGTCAGCCTCGGTCAGTTTGATGCCTTTGGTGTCCTCCTCGTCAAACGATCCAATGTCAAAGGCATCTGCAGCGTTGACCTCCCCTCGTGGGGGCACCAGAGGTGGGGGGTACTGTACAGAATGGACCATAAGGAACATGTTTTAATCTACCAATGCCAGAAGTCTTGTGATTAGGCCACACCAATTTAATTTGTTGTTTCTCGGATTTTTTTCAGAAAAAATACGAAGCGACAGGGTGAAACAAGGCAACCCATGTTAGCCGGAAATGTTACAATATGAGCCATGAAGTGTACATACCTGGCTGGTTTATAATTAAAACAATAGATTTTGAACTTTCAATGAAACAAAATTGCATTGTTACATTGAAAATTAAGAACTAGAAGGAAAAGGACTTTCTTGAACCATTGGGCCAAAGTATGTTTTTCAATGAGCATTTTGCTGTTAATTTAGGACAGTTTTTTTTTTGAAAATCAGAAAAAAATGGACAGGGCAATCCGAGAAGCAACAAATTAAATTGGCTTGGCCTTACCACCGTGAAAAATGGAGGTATTGTTTTGGTCTGTCCGTCTGTGTGTCTGTCTAAGTTCCTGCATATTTGTGGTCAACATAATAGGAAAGCCTTTATGGATTGTGATATTTGGTATGTGGGTACAAAATCTAGGTCATAGGAAGAAAAGGTAAAGGTCAAATGTAGGCCTCCTTGTGGCTGTCCTTGGTACTGCAGCAGCACTTTTGGTCTTTGTGTCTTTTGTCCCGGACATGGCTTGGTCTTGATTTTTGGGTAGCTGATACATGTAGATTTGCATGTGAGGAATAAGAACTTATTGGAATAAGCAGACAGTAACTTTCCTACCTTGAGTTGGTACACTTTGGCCCAGTCGATGTCCTTGAAAAATCTCAGAGTCTTTACCTCCTCAGCTCTGAAATATACAGTCATGTATGTCAGAAAATATCCCTGAACTGTTTATATGGTAACAGTACAGGCTGTTAGCACATAAGTTCATAACTCAATGATTCATGTTAAATTGCTAAGATAACACCCTTCATATCCTTTCCCTGCATAAGAATCTTCAATAGGATAAAATGTATTTCCAAGTTACAGCTACAGCATTATTGTTATGATTATCTACAAATTACATTAGGCATGCGACAGTTACATTGAAAACTTGTTAAAAAAAGCTCCCTACATCCTATACCTACGTTAATATTTCAGAGTCTACTTTTACACTTAAGTTAAAGCTGCATTATGTAACATTAGGTCGATGAAACAAAAAGAAAACTAGTCATTCCTTTATAAATTATTAAATAAGCGTGTGAAAGAAATGTGACACAATCGCACAAACATGTGGAAAAAATATTTCCATTTTTGGTGCAAAATGTTACATAATGCCCCTTTAACAGTAAAAGACTTTACGAAGGCTTTCAAACCAGTTCAGTCTACAGAATGCTCAATATAGGTTTGTGTCTCATTCTACACCCCATCACTGACCCTCTCCCTTGGCAGCCCAGCCTATCGTTGACATCTCTCTTGAGTAAACCCCCCAGCAGTTCCTTGCACTCTGAGGATAAGGAGTCGGGCAGGTCCACATCCTGGGGCGACAGGTGTCAATCAAACATTCAAATTCTGACTCTACACGCATCAACAATCTGGTGACTTGATTTTCAAACTTTTGTGGCATGTAAAATCTGATCAAGTTTAGCGTCAAATATTATCAGTCTATACAGTGAATACCAGAAAATACAATGTAGATATATCATGATAAAGGGTAATTATCCATTGTGATAATAGCAAATGAGGACTAATTACAATGTATAGAAACATTTAGATTTAAGTCTAAGAATGATATCGCAATTTCCTGGATTTATCAACACTAATAACATTAATAACAACAATCACCAAACAGTTTTTACTTAATCAGTTGCCATCACAAATACAGTCACAGAATATACATGTATATAGGAGTGGGCAAATATTTTTCTGCATAAATCAGAGCAATGAGTAAAAATGATCTTTCCAAAATGTTGAGCATGAGTGCTTTCTAGATTCAAATTGTTGCTATTTTCCTCATTAAATTCTGAAATAAACTTTCCAAGCATCAGCTATGGAGTAATCTTGCCTACGAGTCTGAAGCTTGTATTACACAATATGTACTAAGTAGTGACCACAGATAGCCTACAACCCATCTCAAAGAATTGGCATAGGACTGCTGTCAGCCAACAAGAATGTACCCCACTGCATGATGTCGTTTCTACCAGCCAATCAAATCGCGATATAGTAAGGAGGCAAGCTGATTGGCTGATAACCTGCCCAATGAAGTCTGTGTGCAAATTGGGCCAATTAGATGCGCCAAAAACTTGTAACATTGAGACCAGTGTAAAATGCATTTTGAACCAACAATCAAGCTCAAGAGGTACATTCTAGCTAGTATGTTGCTTTTGAAGGTAATTCTTATTTGGAAAACTAGTTTTTAGCCCTGTTGGTGTTCTCTTGACTCACATCACAGTCATGGTAGACAACACCTAGGAGGTGCAGTGGCTTACCCTTACCATGGTCATGGTCATCCTGTCAATCTCGTGTTTGTCTTTTGTCTTGTGCTGTCGGAATGGGCTGTGTCTGTGATAATAACAATAAGACGTTGCAGTTCATGGCATTCAATGGTCTTATCGTGGTCTAGTCAAACCGAGGAAAAGTGGTCTTCTTATACAAAAGCCATGGCAACAAGGCTAGACAGGAAGAAAACTGCAGCAAAATTTCCATCCATTTTACAAGACTGCCCCATTGATCCAAATTGACCCAGTCGGTGCCATTCCACAATGTGCGAAGGCAGTTGCCATGTTGTCAAAATCACAGAAAGTAGGACTAATCAAGCAAAATATTTAAAAGTGTCACTCATGTTAACAGGAAACCTCATGAAAAACTACAGTGACTGTACCATTAATTTATACCTGACCACATGATTAAGAATAGTTCTTAATAAGCAGGTAGACTTGATGCATCTTCTTTCCTACTAGTACTGAAAACATCATTTTTACCAGATGTGATCATCATTCTGATTCCTAGTATGTTTCCTGAATGTTACATTTATTTATCAACTTGAGCCAACACACCTGTGCCCTGTCTGTGGAATATTAGATTTACCTGACACACGGCAAGTCTAGACAAATACATTAGCATGATAACTCACCCTTTTAGTAGTTTAAAGAGCATACAGCCCAGGGAGAACCAGTCTGCACTCGAGTCGTAAGCCTGGCCCTTAGCCAGGACTTCAGGAGCCATGTACCCATGTGTGCCCCTATGAGGAAACAACAGGCATGGTTAGCAATCAGTGGAACACGCACACATTCTCATCTTTTTCACAGTGTAGGGGGATTTAGTGCTGTGCATGGGGTCTTGGGGCACCCCCCTGGAAAATTTTGAAATTCAAAACCCACCGAAACCCCATTTTCTGCATTTTGATGGCCAAACCAAGTTTTTTTTCCAATGTTTGTTACAGGTCTACTACCAGCAGTACTTTTAAGTCAAAAGTTATTTTTTTTATTGGTAAAGGGTTTGTTTGTTTGTTTGTTTGTTTATTAAGATCTCCTTTAGTATGGTAAATTCCATACTATTCTACATTCTAATATCCAGCAAAATAGAATAAAATAACAATAATAATAATAGTAATTACTTTTAGCAATAATGATAATAAATAAAACATAAAAATAAAACAAAATTATGCTGAAATTATGACAAACTTGAAACTAAATCAGCATAGAGAAATAAAATGGTGATGATAAATTAGTTACTCGTTCTCATCCTCAACAAATAGAGTCTACAGTACTGATTGAAAAGGGAAAAACAACACAACTCCCCCATGCTGTGTTTCAAACCAGTGTAGGGGCGAAATCACAGCGTTGAAATTCAAAATCACTAGCCTCCATAGCATGACAAAAACTGGGTGTTTTGGGGGTCTTCGGGATCTTTTATGTGCTATTTTCTGATCGCATATAGACAACATAGCCGGCCTGGTTGAATTACCCCGTTTTTTAGAACTGGGCTACTGAGAAAACAGCCGAGGACCACCAAACCCCCAGTTCTATAAAGCCTGCTACGGAGGCTACAAAATCACAGTGTTGGGGCCCCTTACGCTTAATTGTGCTGGCTAGACCCCTGACATTCATGCATCCAAAATCCTGAGTCATACACCAAGGGAGGTATAAAAACAACAGCTGCTTCATACACTTCAGTTAGGAAAGCACGATGTCATAATTAACCTTACAGCTACAATGTAGGTGGAGAGTAATTGGTCAACATTACAACAATTAAGTACCAGACCTGACATCAACAATATGGTAAGGCCAAAGGAAGTAAATTTTATGGATGACATCCTCCGCAGACTCCAAATCTAATGCGAGTGGGAAAAAAACAAGGTGGGCCGAAAAAAACAAGGTTCCTACATTTTCAAATTTAGACTCAATCATTGTACAAATGGTTTTGATTCAGTGGGAACATCACATATTATATATACACAGCCACCATCACATATCACTGCATCAAAGTAAAAAAAAACAAGCCATTAAATCAGAGCCTTTTTTGTCTCCTCTCTTCATAGTTATCTGCCATCCACCTTCCGGCATGGCAACAGACATCTGTTGCCAACATTAAGTTATGCTGACTACAAATGTGCGGAAACACAAACACACAAACAGACACACACATACACACTCCAAAAACAATACCTCCATTTAAAAAAAAACAGGAGTTAAACTTACACGCTAGCATGGGGCTTCTTCTTGGAAAAGTCACAAGCCAGACCCAGGTCTGATATTCTGACATGTCCGTGTTCATCCAGTAGAATGTTGGCAGGCTGGGAAGAAATACAAAATCAGTGTTAACACAATAAAATATGCTTTATAAAGCTACAGTTGGTAACAATTATCAAGACAAGGACTTTCCTCAACAGTCCAGGACAAAATATGAACATTTTGGAGTTGATTCATAACTTGAATTTCTTTGTTTTCAAGTAAGTTTTCAGATTAAACGTGGGTGGAGTGACGAGAGTTGTGCCTTTCCAAAGAACACAACTTCTTGCCAGGAATGCCAGAAAACGAACCCATGACTTTTCACTTGTCAGAGAACCGGTACACAGCTCTAGGTACCGCAAAAGTCTTATTATATTACATTTACCTTGAGATCCCTGTAGACGATGCTCCTGCTGTGCATGTGCTCCAAGCCCAGGATAATCTCTGCTGCGTAGAACTTCATCTCTGACTCTGTGAACACTCCGTGCTGGGACAGGTGGTAGTGTAGGTCACCACCTAGCAACACAGGAGAATATTCATGTTTACCTTGAAGAAGAAACACAAATTAACCTGAACAAGGCATTTGTCACCATGGTAACTGGTGCTGTAGCAGACACCCTGTGGTGTTGGGTCATATCATGTTTACCTAGAGTAGTGAAGTTCGCAGAAGAAACACATATTGCTCTGTTGCTTCTTGCTCTTTATCTTCTCCAAACAAATCAAGTCAATGACCTGAACCAGGCATCTGTCACCATGGTAACTGGTGCTGTAGCAGACACCCCGTGGTGTTGGGTCATATTATGTAGTAGGACAGAGTTGGAGCGGCTGGTCACCATATATTATATGTGAATGTGTTTGAGCAACAATAAACAGAGCAGTAGTAAAAAAATGGTGAGTCTTTCATGTTGGAACAAAGATTACTACGTGTTGTATATATTTGTATAATATTTATTGTATCAAATGTAATTTTACCGTTCATAAGATCCAGAATGAAGCACAGCTTGTCGGGAGTCTGGAATGCGTATGTCATGCACACTATGAAGGGAGAGTCAGCCTGTAGGGACACACAACATCATCAGAGCTCATTTTAGGTATAGGTAGAAAAAGAAAATAGTCACATAAAATTACTTCTAAGATCAAATATTTTTGGATCTCTTTTTAATAACCAGGATTCTTCGTTAATCAAGATTTAACGAAAATCCACCTTGTTAGCAGCTGAAAACGGGGTTTTTATCATACTAAGGGGTTGCATCAAGTGTTGTCAATTCAGGGTCTAGATCTGTCAGCTATTGCCTGGACTGGTTGACCAAAACATACAAGTCATGCCGTGCATATCAAACACTCAGACCAAAGTGCATGGTATACAATAAAACACATCCTGCTTACTGTAACATTAAACAAATGAATCCTGTTCAAAACAAACTGTGTGCATCCCCCAAATATTACATTATCCATGACCGTTTCCAAAATCATATCCAGTTGCTTGAGTAACTGCTTTTTGGCTTATCCATGAATTATAGTTTCATCAGGTTGGTAAGTCACTGAATGAAGAATTTTTTTACACTTGTCAATCAAAAGGTTTATTCGGCCAATGTTTTGATGACCGTCTGTCACCTTCCTCATGGTTCTGACTGGTTCACATTACACAGCACAGGTGTTAATGGGAACACATCTATAGCAACAACACCTGTGCTGCTGTGCAATGTGAACCAGTCAGAATTGCCCTGAGGAAGGTGACAGACAGTCACCAAAACATCGACTGAATAATCCTCTTGTGTAAAATGAGTCTCCTTATTCTAAGAGCATGATCACTTTTTGAATAACAAAAAAATGGCAAATATGAATTTCGAGATGTATTTATATTAGCCATTTACAGATACTGAAGATCCCATAGGCAGAAAATATAACAGTGTTTAAGTGATTTTCTGACTAACTTATAGAGCCTGTGGCCTTTATTTTGTCATGTACATATGTACATGTACAACTTCACTAATTTAGAATAACCACTTCCAAAACAAAGTGTTTGACATGTATCAGCAATTGGCCCTCATTACAGCATTGCTGAACCCCCCCTCCTATCCAATCTTGCACAGATAGTTCAAAAGCCAAAAGGTACAGTGTGCATGCGCAGAAATACGACAACAGAAATGACTAACACATGTGCAGCACAAGTACATGTACACAGCTAAAATGTGTCAGTTTGTTTCTTCCACTATATCATGCCACTACTTTCGGTGCTTGTGAAATGTCTGCTTTAAGGTCTTCCTACCTGCCCTACCATCTGCCGAAGCCCAAGGAAAAGCAAGGAAAGGAAAATAAGCGGATGCCAGAAAGGCTGGTTAGCATAGTTACTGTAGTACTGTATATATAGCTGGGGAGACCCCATAGTTGAAGCAAATGCACATGTATGCACATTCAACCTCACCATACGATAGAGTATATTGTGGCTGTTCAGGCATTAATATAACATGGAGGCAATGACAAACATTGTTGTTAACCATTGCTAGAGCTTGGCTAGGCCTAGGAAAAAAAATGTTTATTTTCCGATTACCTGAACAACCATAGCAATCCCCCAAGACTTTTTTTGGGGCCATCATGGCGGCACATGAGAAACATCAAATTTTTGATCTGTCGTAATGTCACATACCAGTACACTGGACCCAATTCAGAACCTTTTTGTTCGAGTCCAAATACATTTGTTTGTACTTGTGTGTACTGATGCATAAATTTCAGTGTCGTATTAACTGTATGATAAAAACTTCATCCGTACTGACTGAACCTAATTTTTTGAAGACATTATGAGGAAATACAACATTAATTTTCCTAGGCACCTATAATGACAATCCCTTAGTACAACAATGGAGTGTATTTACTGCATGTAGTATACAGCCAGCTTTGCTAGTCTCCTGGGCAACACCACAGGTATAATATTACAGCTTTGTGTTGACAATGTTGTCAATAATGTATCATGCACAATTATTGCATGATGTAAGTATATTAGATCATATGGAGTTTAGTAATTGTAACATGGAGTTTTGTACTTACCCCCGTGCTAACTAAGGATAACATGATACGCTCGTTCAAAGCCAGTGTCTCCCCCTGCTTCATTTTGATTCTCTTTTTATCCAGGCATTTCATTGCATACCTGGAAAGAAAGCAGAAAAAACAACAAAGACTTTACATTGAGAAACTTTGACTTAACATTTTTAGTACTAATTTCTTTACTTTTCTAATTTTTACTGCATTTTTTTCTGATTGATAGATTGAAAAATCTATACAATGAAGTTTAAAGGCATCCCATGCAATTTTAGGGCAGCAAAATGAAAAATATTCTGGATGAGAAAATCTGACTGATATTGACATTTACTGCCATTTCATAGCACATTTTAGTTATCATTTCATACTTGAAGCATTTGAAATAGCCCAAACACAACCTATCTTTATTTTCTGGGTACTGCCCATAAATAGCTAGAAGTCAATACAAAACAAGCAACCGTTTACTGTCAGTGACATCGCATTTTCCCCTTACAGATATCAGTGTGCTATTGGATAGGATTGATTCAACTTACTACAGTGTAACAATAAAAGAATGACCAGAAAATTGACTTTGAAATTTCAGTTTTGCTGCCATGAAATTGCATCGGATGCCATTTCCTCTATAGATGCAGACCTTAACATGCACATATTTTTTGCCAAATGTCAATGATAGTTCAGGCCAAAGCCGTGACGTACATTTTGCCTGTGTCCGCTTTTCGGCATCCGTACACTTCTCCGAAGCCGCCTCTGCCGATAATTCTGTGAACGCTGAAGTCGTTCATTGTTAACTGAAAAGAACAGGACAGTGTAAAGTTCTTTTCTACAAAGTTGAAATGAATCTGCAACACAGCCCTAATTAAACATATAATTGTTTTTGCTCAGTTTCTTCCTCTTCTTCTTCTCCAAACAGTGACCTCTGACCTGACCAATGATATGATTTGTTGACATCTGTCACCATGGTGACTGGTGTTGGGTAACATAATGTTGCAATTTCATGGTCTGCTCTGCTCCTGTCACCATATACTAGTAGTACATGTATGTGAATTTGTATGAGTAAGAATTAACAGAGCAGACCATGTCTGAAGGTAAACATTACACGGTATGTATTTTCTTTGCAAATGTTACTTCTAGTTTGTTCATGTTTAAAATCCTCACCACGCCTTTAAGTGCATATTTATGGCATACAAATATACTTACCTGGATGTTCAGCTCTAAATTTTTCCACTGGCAAAATCGTGTGTACTTTTCACTGCAAAGAAACAAAAATACATTTTTTTTTTTTATCAGCATACTTTCAGCAACTCACGCAAAGTAAAAAGCTCCTAAGCTCTTGTAAGAAATCTACAAAAATAAAGTGAATTCTGAATCTGGCTATCAGCATATTGACAAGGTTGAATAGCTCTTCTTTCACACTAAATATATCCCTTACAATGGAAAGGTGTGGCTCTATTTAAACACGGGACCTCCGGTTTTACGTCCCATCTGAGAGGACATCCTTAACCAAAGTTAGCTACTCATTTACACCTGATAGATCATGAGTCAAGTCAGGGAATAGGTGTGAAGTGCCCTTCCTGAGGACACTTTATTTCCCAGTGGGACCTGCCAGAGATTCAAACCCAGAACCGTCAGATTCTGAGTCAGCAACCCAAGCCACAAGACCCCCTTGCCACAGTATAGTGCTGCTCTCTCCAAGGTACTGAAGTTACATCACTTAATCCACAGCTTGATAATGTTGTGTTAGCAACAAACTGCTGCAGCTCTTCCCTTTGAGATTTTGGTATAAAATGATAGTACAATGTAAGTTCATAATTGATGCTACTGACCTTTCTAGAAATTTCTGAAATATTTCTCCTCGTAAACTGTTGCATATCTCTTCAATGTAGGGCTAGAAAAGGAAGAAGGAAAGTGGAAATTCAGCATAATTATTGTGTAGAAATGTGGGATACACAGATGCAATAAAGACGAGAAATATATCTGGGAGACACTTGACAAGCTCAACTAAAATCATTTTAAAAGAATTTGGCTTAAAACAAGGCCACCAAAGCTTTAGAGGTGTAAAAGTAGGTGTTGGTTTTAGGCATATATAGTATCAATATAATCTAGATCCCTATCACTGACACCTACACAAAGACTAGCCTCCATAGCATGCCAAAAACTGGGGGTTTTGGGGGTTTTCAGGGTCTTTGGGAGCTTTTATGTGCTATTTTCTGATTGCATATAGACAACATAGCCGGCCTGGTTAAATTACCCCCGTTTAGAACTGGGCCAATCACTCAGAAAACAGCCGAAGACCACCAAACCCCCAGTTCCATAAGCCTGCTACGGAGACTACACAAAGACTTAGTCATGAAATGTAGGACCTTACCTCGAACAGGTCGACTGGCACCTCTTGCTTGAGCAGCCGAGTTTGCACGTATTCAACAGCACTTTCCGAGAATTTCTGAGGATCAAAGATAGAAGAAAGCACTCAATATTCTGTTTAGGTCAAAGATATGGGATGATTCACAATGCCACATTTGTAGAAAAAAAGCTAGGAATTTTATATCTACAAACACTCTGAGTGAGAAACCAACACCCGGTGTCCTTACATGGGAACAAGACAGCAGCTCCTTCATGATGTAGGTGTCGTAGATGTGTCGGGCAGCCTTCAACCGCTCATCCTCCTCATCCATGTGTTCATATGCCTTCGTCTGAAACACAATTTAATATTCAACACATCATCATCATACCTCCAATACGGTAGGGTACGTTTGACAAAGTCACTCCATGCCAGTACCCCATTCCTCATGATAGACACATTAGTGCAGTCACTGCGAGACCAGTGTCTTTATCATATTATTCAATGCAAATAATTGTTCAACATGTACAGGGCTTGAAATACTGGGTGCATATGCACCTTACCTTACCTTACCTGGGCCCTTGGCCCCGTGTGGAGCATAGGCCATCAACGATATGCACCTTAATGCAGGTAAAATTAGGGCTATGCGGGTACTTCTGATGTCTACCTGCACCTAAACTGTCCTGGGTCATGTCCTGGGTTTATATTATACATGACTTGTATATGTACATGTAGGTATGGATTTTTATTTGCTGCATGGACTGTTAGTGTTACCAGTCCTGTAAAAGGAATGCTGGCAATGGTTTCTGAACAGTTTTCAGTGTAATTCATATGCTTTCTAAAGTCTGAGTGGTGATGAGGCACCAGTCCAAGTGTGCAGAAAGAAAAGATTTCGAGCTCACACACACACACACACACACACACACACACATTTCTTGACGCCGCTACAGCACCTTATTTTCCAAAACCTGAATCTGTGGAATGATAGACTTCTCTCCTATGATGGTGTGTTTGACTTCAGGCCATAGGACCAAGGTTATCATATGTCACAACAGGATTTCTAGGATGACATTAACAGGTGGGACTTGCACTACTAAACCCTTACACAGGCAAAACACACACATCTATCACGTATCAAGTTACAGCTGCTGTAGGTGCAAGTAAAACTGAAAGTGATCTCGAACCAGTTTAGCTCACTAAAGACTGTAGCAGGAAAGACAAGCGCTATGTACGGTTCATACAGGTTCAGTGTATTGGGCTGTTTTTAACTTGTACAATGAACAGCAGACCAAGGATTAACGTTCCGTACTAATGACTACAATTCTTTCCAGTAGAGTGTTTGTTGGATGAATGACAACAGCTGGGATTTGAACTCCAGATGCAGGCCTCTAACCACTACATGTATGCTGTTTTAGTTCATATCTGCAATCACAGTTTATTTTTCTGTGAATTGAAGGTAGACTGCTGGGCCCTCAGAGTTCTAGCCAGCCTGAATTTTTTCTGTCATTATCATGTATTAAGTATTAATATTTTAAAATTTTGACCATCTGAAACCCTATTACCAGCATTTTGAGCTGCAAATTTGTTGATATGCTTTGATTTGCTGAATTACCTTTTCTTACTATTGTCCCAGCACTGTATTAATTTCAACTGTTCCAAAGTGAGGGTGAACTTTCCCAACCTGTTTTTCGGAAGTATTGTATGACTAAAATTTGTATGACAAAAATAGGAAATTTGAGGGGACTTTTCTAGAGCCAAAAGCAAGGATGTGTGCCTGGTGAACAAAAGAAGGGCTGACATTCTGTGGACGTGTGGTTGATTATTTTTTTATTGTCCCCAAAAAAATGTCCCAAAGTGTCTTTATAATTGTCCTGGCCAAAATTTTTGGTTAGTGGCCACTGGGACACAGTTAATTTCGAGGCTTGCTAGTTTAATGACATCTCTTTCCATATCTTTACACATTGATCTCTGTCATAGATGATTGATTGGCCAAAGTTTGTGTCCAATATTCTGTCAAATGATGGATAGATGCCCCTGGTTGGAACACTGCTGATTTCTAAGTTGTTTATACCTTCAATTTTACTACCAGGGCTCAAAATTAACAGTGTCCCGATGGCCACTGACCACTAAAATTTTGGTCGGGACAACTGTAAAGACACTTTGGGACATTTTGGGGACAACAGAAAAATAATCAACCACAGAATGTCATCCCTTCTTTTGTTCACCAGGCACACATCCTGGCTTTTGGCTCCGGAAAAGTCCCCTCAAATTTCCTTTTTTTGTCATACAAAAGTCATACAATACTTCTGAAAAACAGGCTGGGAAACTTCATCCTCACTTCGGGACAGTTGAAATTAATATAGGGACAGTACTAGTGCTGGGACAATGGTAAGAAAAGTTAATTTCCAGGCCTGACTACAGATTGTTTTTCTGCAAATTAAAGGTCCTGCACACTTTACTCTTTGGAGGATTCTGAGAATCCTTCGACTGGCACCAAAAGGCCTCATTGACGCATGACTGACATTCATGGTCGGCCAGACTGCCTGTTTCAAAGGCCGATCATTCTTCAGTCTTAGTTGATGGAAAGCAGACAAAGGGAAACTACGTACATGTAACTCCAGAATTGAGTTCAGGCCACTTTTCACATAAAATATCTACAATTTTCATTACGGCAAAAAAACCTTCACAAGGTAAGGTAAAAAAAATTCTAAAGAGGTAACTTAATGAACCGAGAGATTACAATTACAGGTACTTGGGAATACCTATTGTACAATTAAAATTGCTTAGAGTTCAAAATCATTTTTTTTCTGTATGACCTACACTGGTGCAGGTAACACTAAAAATCATACAGAAACTGTTCAGAAACCGCATTTATTATTTCATGTATACTTCTTCATAGGTGCTAACAGTCGATGCAGTTACTGTACATGTAAATAAAAAGCAACATAGTTTTATTACATATAACATAAGGTGCAAATATAGTACAATTGACCGGTGCAGGTTATGTGCAGGTAGACATCAGAAATACCTGCATAGGTCCAATTTTACCTGCACCCAATACCAGACAGTATTTCGAGCCCTGGTGCTTCAGATCATAATTGTATTAACAGACGTGCTTAACAAACTCATTGAAATCACATAATTGTCCTTCTTGAAACAAATTCCACTCTTTGAAGGTTGAGATTGCTCAAGCACCATTCTTCCATCGCGACTAAAGCCACAATACTTCTTCAAATTCAATGAGCCTTCGTTAGCAAGAAATATTTCATCCACAATAGCCATTTCAAACACACATACATGCATGTATGTAGTATATTACATACATTGTACATGTAATGAACATATGTAAGTCCATACGTAAGAGTAATTTGAAATCATCTGACCCTAGGCTTTTTTGGGGGTGGATCCCTGGCCTCCAAGAGACATAAAATTTTTTAGCTGATCAACCTTTTCTACAATTGTGGCCGCGCCATAAAATGCTGAACATAAATGTACATGTACAATCAGTTTTCAAACACAGACCTTGAAAATATAAGTGTTCTCATGCAAGTTTTACTTTTTTAAACTGTATGGTATAAAATACGCCAAATCTCTAGAGATTGCCAAAAAAGAAAGAAAAAATATATCCCTAACCTACCTAATTTTTTCTGGACTGAAAGAGGAAACACAATATTTTTCCTAGGCCTAGCAAAACTTTATAATCTTACCTCTTCATAAAACTGTAGCTGTGGCACTGGCTCCTCAATCACGTTCTCACAGTAATCTTTGAACAGCAAGAACCCTGGACAACAGAACATCAACCAAAGTATTAGTCATTCAAGTACATGTACATGTCTTACAGCTAAAAGATATACATGTGCTACATATCATTGATAACAATCTTTCATGTAGAACTACGTATACATGTTGTGTGGCAATAGCCACCCTGTTTATTGACCAAAAGCCAAGAATTTAAAGCTGGATATACATGGATTTTTCAGTTGTATATTGTTATTCAGGAAGTTTTGGATATAGACAAGTATTTAGTAAATTCTAGGTAAGTACTTTCCAAGGCTGAAGAATCTGAAGATATTCATCTATTATATGTAGGATTGAGACAACAAAGGTCAAGGTCAACATAGACAATCTAGCAGCTTTGTATGGTACTGCAGCTGAGTGTACATGGGTGGGGCACCCTGTGTTGTGGACATGCTATGGTTTTAATATTTGGTAGGTAAGTTGGGCATTGGGACAGAAAAATTCAAGGTCAACTATGGGCAACCTAGCAGCTTTGTATGGTACTGCAGCAGTTTACAATGTACATGAATGTGATCTCCGTATCTCCGTCAAACTAAAAGGTTATTTTGAGCCGAAGCAATCTACAATCATGGTTCATTACATAACACCCAGCAAAATCAGCTTTACCATATTATACAAAAATCAAAACTACAAAATTACTAACAACGAAGGGATCAGATTTTTTACCTCTAGTCAAGTATAATTTTTATGACATTTTCTTTCAAACGGTGACAAATGATCATGCAACATGTTAATGCCATCAAAGCCAAATCCATTATCTGACAGGTGTTTCTATTGTACCAACAGTAACATTAGGCATCTAAATGAATAGGCTTATGGATTGAAACATGAAATATGTATGAAGACACTAAATTACTAATGGAACCAATAATAATCTGTGGTTTACTGGGATATATAGGTCCAAGATTAAGTCTTAGTTGACCTTGGCAAGATAGACGCATTATCATAAAACATCAGCTGTTCATAATGCATTTGATAAAAAAAATTAATCTGCAGTACAGTATTTTTCTCTTCAATCTGAGACAAGTGGTAATATTACTAAATATGTGCCAGACTGGTTTTAAGATTGATTTTTTTTTCTTACAAAGTACAGGTCCACGTGGCTTTACACTAAAAGAACTTGTTTAAAATATATTCAAAATGAACATCCCAAATCTCTTAGTACTACTGTGTTTTTGCTCAACAGTATCTCATAATGACTTGAATGTGCTATCTAAGGCCACGTTTTAAAGAGGACCACAATTGGGCGAGTTGGACAGCCCAAATAGCAAGTGGTATAGCCCAATTTCTGTCATAGATTTATTGTATTACGTTATAGGTGAAAGTGGCCATAATGTACATGTCATTTGTTGCCATGGCCATGAGGTCAATATTATAACATAACAAACAGACAAATCTGTTGCTATTGAATATTTGGTAATGGATATGGCAATTATGATATTTCAACCATGTGCACTTAGCTTGTTCAGGGACACCATACCATCAAAGTCAGGTGTCACTAAGGGAATATTTTACAGGTTGGTATGATAATTAGACAAAGATATCTTATTCTGAATTTAAGCCTACCTTAAGTTAACATGACCTTTTGGTTTTGTTATGGCTTCACCACTATATGGTGAAGACATTGTTTTTCCTTCTGTTTCTTCTTCTTCTCCTCCTCCTCCTTCTCCTGCCATTTCTTTAAACTGATTCACTTCATACTATAGTTATATCAATGTAAAGAATAGTTTTCCCTTGTGTTTATCCCTGCCATGTTGTAAAATGTGTGAAGCCATCTCCTACATTTGCTCCAAAGCAAATGTCTGCCTTTCTATTTCTAATATTGTTAAACAGTTAATAGATATGAGGCATAATAAACTACTCTTGTACACCAGCAGGTGACATAATCATTGAAAATTACCTGCACCAGACAAATTTTACCTGCACCACTCAGAATTTAGAAGTATGGGTCACACTAAGAACTAATCAGAAACCATTGCCATTATTTCTTTTAAACTTCAGGTGGTCACAATCTCCAGTTTTACCCGCACTAAGGCGCATAATTGCGCACAGTATTTTGAGCCCTGCTTTCAAATCTAATGGCCCAAATCTGTCAGCATTGAAATATAGAGGGCACGAGTGTATGACGCAAAGACAGTGAAACCACCAGAAATCTGCCAATTAATATAACTTCATACAGTCATAAATCATAACAGGACAGCAATTCATCACCCAAATTTTGCTGATAGAGACAACTTAATTTGATGATATCTCTTTCCATATCCTTTAATACACTCCAATTTTTGCCCGTCAACGATGACATACTTCGAAAAATTTTTTGTTTTGTCCGTCATGAGTGGCAAAATTCCCTCAAATCACAGAAAGACTAGGACACTGCCATGTCATCTAGCTACCTGATTGAGCCTAAGGTTGACTCAACTTGCTTAATTTGCTTCAACCTTTTCCTCCAAAATTCCTCAAAGCTTTTAGTGTTTTTACCCTTTACCTAGATCAAAGCCCATGGCTACGGGATAAAACACCTATTGTGCAGGTGTGTGGATGCCAGTCTCCTGGTTACAATTAGCCACTGATGTGTGTACATACACTAGTGCGGAGGTACCTTTTAGGTGATTACAACTCTCAAGTACAAAAAGGCTGGTGGGCCTTTAACCTCACGGTAAACACTAAGGCCTCTGAACAACACAGTAAGGTACTGATAGAAGGGGCACTAGTGTTAGGGACTGGTGATTTCAAACATCAGAAACTGGCAAATGTTAATGGGGTAAGCTGTAGATTAAAGCCAGCCAGTGTACATTTTGCTTGTTTGGCAAGCTCACGCATTAAAGGGGCATTATGTAACATTTTTGCACCAAAAGTTGCAATATTTTATTGGAGAAAATATTCGAGTGACTGTTATGTACTTCCACCTTTCAACGTATTTGTGAAATTATCTCACAATTCTGACATTAATAGTAGGCACTAAAAAAAAGTCCACAGAAAGCTCAATCAGTTTGAGGTACCACCAGAAACTACCAGAATGTAAACAAACATGGTTGACAGTTGTATGTGTTTTAAGCTTTTAAGCACTCCAAAGGCGTCATATTATGGCATCTAAATGTCCTAAATGGCACTTATTTGTAACGAAGTAGGGTTGATTTAACTTTGTAAAGAAATTACAAAAAAATTTTTGCATCATCCTAAATGTTACATAATGCAGCTTGGAATCCAAAGAGTCAGATAATACACCTGACACAGCTACAGGTCCACCTTTCAACCTTACCTTGTGGTTCTTTCACATGCAACAGGTAGTCAAACATATGGTCATACATAACAAAAGGAAACATAAAACCTCTTTCTACCCACACTGTACTAAAGCCTACACGTCACAACGTAGGCAGCGTATTGTTTGAAAGGGGATTTATGATGGATCAATAAAATGCTGAATTCCTTCTGTTTTTAAAAGGGTCAACGATCTCTGTCTGAGTACTAGTCTGACTGCTGCATTTCCTGTTCAATGTAATATTATGACTACTATTTTTCCTCATCCTTGCACCTATGACATATAAATGAAAAATATTAAAAATATGACATATGAAAAATATCAACCATCCACAGCTTCCCGAGTTATGATATGCATATATATGCATAAATACAAAGGCCTCTGCAGTACCGTAAGAAAATGCCAGGTGAACCATTTTCAACGTTGACCTCCCTTATCACAACTGCCACTCACCTACCAAATAAATATAGTAAGATTCATTTATGTACATGTAGCTTCTCGAGTTATACCTTTGATATACATAGTAACATATAGAAACAAACCGTAGCCACTCCACCATGGCATAATCGAAAACATAACCTTCTTTTCGAAGGTAAATACACATACATACTTACTATTAGGCCATATTTTGTCATGTATTTGATTTTGAAAATAAACCTAAGGCCACAGCAAGTAAATTTTATGGATGATATCCTCTGCAGACTCCAAATCTAATGCGAGTGGGCGAAAAAAAAACAAGGTTCGTACATTCTTAAATTTTGACTAAGTCATTACAAATGGTTTTGATTCAGTGGGAATATCACATACACAGTCAGCATCACATATCACTGCATCAAAGCAAGAAACAATTCATTAAATCAGAGCCTTTTGTTGTCCCCTCTCTTCATAGTTATCTGCCATCCACCTTCTGGCATGGCAACAGGCATCTTTGCCCATTTTCGGCATGTTGACCACTGTCAGAAGGCAACAAAATTTTTTTTTCCCCCAAATCAGGCAAAAATTAATGCGTGCACTGATGTTATCCATGCTGTGACCTAAGGCATAGGCCTTGTAAATTTCTTAAAGTTGTGTTTCGAGTGTTTCGGGGACTTCATTTTCAGACCACCTTGGCTGCTTCAGTGGAGTTATTCACGGAACCATCCTGCAATGTTTATTATTTTACTCCCACCTTTGACACCTACTCCTTCAGCAGGGTATTTTGGGCAACAGAGAAAAAATAGTTTCTGATGCAATTACTGATGTGTTATGCTGAAGGGTGGTTAAGCCGACTGTACAGATAGTGATACTAGATCAGATATAAACCCTGTTAGTCATGACTGACAAAAATAACATGCTAGCAATTACGCTCATAAAATGCAATTCTAGTACACAGGGCTCGAAATTCATTTTTGGGAATAGGTGCACTGGTGCACCCACCCTAAAAAAATTGGGTGCACAAAATTTTCTGTGGGTGCACCATATAAGATAAAATAAGTAGAATGTCAGCAAAAACTAATTATGTTTTGTTTCTAAAGAAAAGTACTACAAGAATGATTTTACTATTTTTCCGACACTTAGAATAGATGTTAGGAATATGCTGAATACTAGTTCTACTCTAAATTTAACATCTTGACATATACGTAAACCTACAAAAAACATTTGGGTGCACTGGTGCACCCACAGAAAAAAATTGGGTGCACAGCTCCAAATTTGGGTGCAATAATAAGGTGCACATGCACCCAGTATTTCGAGCCCTGAGTACGGCAAAACAAAAAATATTCTGGATGAGGAAATCTGTCTGATACTGACATTTCTTATCACATTTTCCTCATCATTCCATACTTGAAGTGTTCCAGATAGCCCAGAAACAAGCTACGTGAGACATCTCTTTATTTTTTGGTAACCAACCCATATAAAGCTAGAACCAGCCTACATAATTACATTTTACCAAGCAACCATTTTCTGTCAGCGACATCAAACTTTCAAAGTTTTGCCTCACAGATATCAGTATGCTATATATGGGAGAAGACTGATTCAACTTGCTACACCAAAAGAATGACCAGAAAATTGACTTTGAAATCCAGTTATGTTGCCCTGACATTGCAAATTGGATGCCTTTAAGGCTCTGTGAGATGAAAATTCAATATACGTAAAACTCTATTTTGTTGTTTTCGACATAAAAAAATTATCTTTCTATAAAATCATGGTAGATTCAACTGCTAGTCTTCATATCTAATATTAACAAGAACAAGAAAAAATTTAAAAAATATATTATTATGTTTACCCAAAAGTCTAATGTTCCAAAAATAAACATAAATTATGTTATCTACAAATGCACAAAGATCTGCAATGTGAATTTATGACTAATCAAATATCAAACATAAATGACAGAAAAGTGTACCCTATATACGTGTACGTCGGTTCTTTCACTGTGTTATGTTAATTACTCCAAACAAATTGCATCCTGCCGTAGACAACATTCTTTTCCTCGCCATACCGAATGTCCCGGCTATGTTATGGTAAACATTTCTGAATACAGGGCGTCTGTACTATTCTGCCACGTTGTTTACAAGGTGTTTGTATTGTCCGAGTGGGCGTGGCGTCATAGGCGAAAACAATTACGTCTCACCTATTTTCTGGTTGAAGATCTTATCAAAGGTGACCTCCCCCCTCTCTTCCAGGTATTTGTGCATCACCGATCGCACACTGTGGAGGCAAACAAAAACAACAGTCAATGCCATTTGTATCAAAAAGGTAGACATCTCTAGAGGAGCAAAAGCAGTGGAAAATGTCAAATGACAGGACGGTAATAGAGATGATGGTAGCCACATCGCAAAATCTATTCTAACAACCCATGTTTTTTTGCTGTCAATTTCTCTCCTGTATTTTTCGGATGTAGCGGGCCCAACACCCAACAATTTCGGGGCGCCCTGCGCCTCGCTACGCCCGATCTAGTCGACTACAAGCCCCCGTACACGTACCTTGGGTCTGGTAGAATGATTTTTTTGCTAGCTCTGGCCGCTGGAGTAGATTTACTCTTCTCCATGGCCATGAGATAGCTCACGTCCGCCAGAACCGCCTCTAGGTCCGCCATCTTGCCGTCTTTCACAGTGCAGCTACTCTGGCTTTTACATCTGGTGCGCTCCCTCCCTCCGAGCTATTCCGCTAGCCTTTGCTCGGTTCCTTGATTATATAGTCTACATCAGACTCCTTTGGTTGCTCAGAATAAAAGACTAGAAATAAATTTATGTCAAATGGGAACAATTTTTTATGGGAGAAGTTAGTCAGAATTCTGTGGACATTGGAAATCTTGCAGGTCCTCCTCAAATTGCATTATTTTTCAGCATTGAATGAAATACCTTTATTGCACTTCATGTTCTTACAAGCTAAGTACAGGTCATATATAAAGAAGAGTTAGAATCACAGTGATATATAATAACTTAAAACTACGTACAACTATACGAACTATGCTAATATTAATTCAACTACTATGTACAGGTTCTTTTTCAACTTCTCAGTCTCGCTTCTTAAAGAGAGTTGTAGATGAATGAAGTTTATACGTGCTTTCAGTGTCCAAAAATACTAATTTTGTGTGCTATCTAAAGGCCGAAAACTAGGAAAGTTGTCTTTATGTACAAACAAAGAGGATATTTCTCTCGTTGTATCATGTACTAGCCTCCATAGCATGCCAAAAACTGGGGGTCTTCGGGGTCTTTGGGACCTTTTATGTGCTATTTTCTGCATTGCTTATAGACAACATAGCCGGCCTGGTTGAATTATACCCCCGTGTAGAACTGGACTAATCAGAAAACAGGCAAAGACCACCAAATCCCCAGTTCTATAAGCCTGCTACGGAGGCTAATCATGTACAGTCAACGTTGTGCTATACTGTACTATGGCTATGCGTCCGACAGCCCAGCTGCTGTATCTAACGTTAAGGACATTGACCTTGTGGTTGAGACAATGTCGTGACTCTTTCCAAGGTCATGTAGCCGCGGCGCGCGCGACCTTGGAGAAGTCACGATCAAGTTTAAGTTCACAGGAAAGGTCATTGAAAGGTCAAAGTCCCAAGGGATTGTTGGGGATATATAATTAACGGAGGGTTCCATTTAGACTTTGAACGCACCCTACATGTAACGTTAGCTTCGAATGAGTTTTAGTTTAATACTATACAGAAGAGTTTGTGAAGATTAATATTAGTCATCAGGGGAGGAAACTTAAATCAACAAGAGAGGAAAAGAATTAGCCTCCACCAGGCCTTCCCATGGGGGTACGGAACTCGACAAAAAGAAGGAAAATAGTAATTCGCCAAGACAGTCAGTCCGCGGGAGGGTTAATTTTCTAGCCTGGTTACCGAACCTATTAAAGCTCCCGAATCCTACATTTAGCCTCCACCAGGCCTTTCTACGGGAATACTGATCGTAGAATTCGGCAAAATAGAGTAAAAATTGGCCAAGGGCGTCCGGTCGCGGAGAGGTAGTTTCTTTCCCTCCTACAAGACGGCCAAACTCCCGTGGCAAATATTCTCCTATATATATAGCCAGCAAAGTTAGTCTGGTAGAGACTATCCTACATCCTCGGATCTAGGACTACCTACCTACTACCTACCTAGTCCCATGACCGACACTGGTCGTCGGGGGGACAAGGCAGACTTTGCAGCAGGAATATAGCCAGGTCCTCCTGTCTTGGGCTGCTGTCAGGAGTGGGAGCTATAATTGGCTATTCATTTCCTCCTCCGAAGCAAGCAAATGAACTCTACGGTTGCCAAACTCCCCTGGCAAATTATCAGTATCCATATTTGGCTAAGTTTGGCTGAATTTAAATCCGAGTTGTTTAGTGTGGGGGAGACTAGAAGATGGCTATGTTTGTTACATACAATTGCTCGACAGACGGGTGACGAACATGTTATTGTTAGAGATTCCAGAAAATCTGAAGTTGTCTTTGACTTCTTTTTGCGGGTCGTCTGAAGAAATCCAGAACTCAAGTGGTAATATTACTACTGCGGCAGAAAAGGTAACGTTACAGTTTCTGAGTAAGCCTTGATGATAAATTGTTGAAAACTGTAATATGCACCAGCCTTTCTATTCAGCTTTTCAAAAGAACAATGCTTCTTTTGCCTTTTTCACTCGTACATTTTACGTTTCTGAAATGTATCAACGATGAGAAAATTTAAAGGGTCAGGATGTCATATTTCCTCCAACGGGAGTAGCGACACCATCTGGAACAGCTTACAACCTGGCCATATCTATTTGCGCAAGGAATTTTTTGATTGGCTGCCAGCCAATGACGTCACACCCCGCACACCTGCCAGCGTCCCAAGTCGCGGGGGATTTTCCCGTCCTGGTTGCGACACGCGGGGTAACAACTGGAACCACGTTTATTTTAGGGGGATCGGCCTTACACTATGCCCTGGGAGTCAGACTGGATATCGGGTCGTTAGCCAGGTACCTTCGGTGGCCCAGGGCACTACGCCCGCCTGTCCAAATTACCGCTACGAGGGGAGTTGGCCGGCGGGCGTAGTGCCTTGGGCCACCGAAGGGAACTGGCCAACGACTCGATATCAAATCTAGCTCCCATAGTAGCTTTCCACCATCCAAGTTTAAACTTCGCATCCAGTTTTAGGGCCGGCCGGCTACATCAGTGTAGCTGGCCATGTCTCATATACATAAGGCTCACATCTGAAAAGATATAACGTTACATACACGGCAGTAAAACAAAATTTTCAATGGCAAATATAACGTATGTGGTTAGTTGATCACATGTACATGTATCATTGTATGTGCGAAAGACTCTATGGATTTTGTATAGACAATAGTATACTCTTACTGAGATCTAGTATTACTGAGACAATACTGTAGTTGATCGAGTCTTTCATGGTGATGTCGTCATATGTCCAACAAGTTGTGGTGACGACATGTCCAAAAATATACCATCGCCATTGTATTGCACAACCGGCTGTAACCGAAAGCGCTACTGACTCCATATAAATGTAAGAGTAACGTATACTGGGGGTATCTTACTTCAAGACAATGTAGAAAAGAGGCTGCGATACGCGTATAACCGTCCGGAAAATTCCACCCAACCGGGAGTTTCAACCTACGTCACTTCTGAGCTGGTATGTTTATGTGCTGAATGCTTTTGTTCAAATTGTTGTGTCTCCTTGTGCAACTGACGTCATGATGTGAGGGTATTTGCGCACTTCATGCTTACAAGGCCTTCTTAGGAGGTTTAAAATCAATCTTGTATTTAACCTTCTTGGTGCTTATGGCACAGTCTAACCTTTTTACACAATTAATTTCAAACCCGCCATGTTTCCTACTCTTTCCAGCCGCTTAGAGGGGATGGTATAGAGGGGGAACTGCCTGCCCTTCTTCGTAGGGCGCACTAGTAATTAGGCCTTTTTAGTCTTCGTAATCCGTAGGCCGCCTCCCCAAAAATCAACGTAATTCGTATTAGTACATTATTAAGTCGTAATCAGCTCTGAGAATTTAACGTAATCGGCGGCAAAAATTTTGCGTAATTCGTAATCACCCCCCCCCCCATGCAGGCCCTCATAGAGGCTAGCCGTCCTCCTGTACGGTTTATTATGTGAACGGCCCCTAAGCCTAACCCTGTACGTCGTGATAGAGGCTAACACCGTCCTCCTGTACGGTTTGTTAGGTGAACGGCCCCCAAGCCTAACCCTGTACGGCTAACCGTCCTCCTGTACGATTTATTAAGTGAACGGCCCCCAGCCAGGCCCAACCCTGTGACGGCTAACCGTCCACCTGTACGGTTTATTATGTGAACGACCCCCAGACCTAACCCTGTACGGCTAACCGTCCTCCTGTACGGTTTATTAAGTGAACGGTCCCCAAGCCTAACCCTGTACGTCGTGACAAAGGATGATAGATGAATGATAGACACCGTACATGGACGTAGGCAGTGACACCCGATACGCGAGATGGTCCTTGTCGGAAAGGTTAACAATCCGGCACGTTGATTGACAATGGACTTGGTTCAGGATGTGACCTTTACTCGACACTTGAAAACTGACAGTCGCCTCCGCTGTTTTGAAAGACGATATGACTTACGTGAGTGTTGTCCCTGACTGTGTCTTACGTAAAGCCTTTATTTACTGCACTTTACCGTAATGTGCTAGAAGAATAAATTAAAGCCCGGCCTTCCTGTGGTGCCAACACTGCACTAAGGTTAGGCCACAGCAAGTCATTTTTATGGATGACATTAGCGCGCGCATTGAGATTTGGGGGGGGGGGAGAAATGTTGTTGCCCTCTGACAGTGGTCAACATGCCAAAAATTGGTAAAATGGCATGTTTGCCATGCCGGAACGAGGATGGCAGATAAACATGGAAAGAGGAGACAAGATAGAAAAGGCTCTGATTTAATGTTTTGTCTTTTTCTTCGAGGCAGCTCAGTGAATTATGTATTTACTTTCTTCTATGTGATGGTGGCTGAGTATATATGTGATATTCCCACTGAATCAAAAACACTTGTACAATGGTTTAAAACTTTTTGTTATCAAAGTTGTTTCAGTGACAAATGGATTCTATAATATTTGCAGTAAATTTAGCACAATATAGGTATCATTTCTTGCTTAACAAGGTATACAGGTTAAATATATATTGGCCCGCCTTGTTTTTTTTTCGCCCTATCGCATTAGATTTGGTATCTGCGGAGGTTACCATCCATACAATTTACTTTCTGTGGCCTTACCTCTTTATTGTGAGAACGCTACTTTTGCTAGCCTATTTGCGTACTCGGCGCTATATTAGGTTTGGTAACCAGGCTAACTTTGCGTCAAGCAAGTGTTAAGATCCAGTAAATAGGACATTGTGAAAATTGCCAAATTAAGAAAAGGTGTACAACTGCAGTGGTGCCCCAAAAATAGACAGAGATGTGCCACTCTTATCGTTAGTGACGTCATTGCCTACGTAAAACGGTGGGAGTTCACGCAAGCAAGCCTGTCAAGATGTTAACCAGACCCAAGCAAACCTAATCAAAGTATACGTTGTATTATTGGCTCGGGGTTATTTTGGGAACTCCTGCTTACAGCTTTTCTTTGATCTCTAATTTCACTTAACCTACATACGCACACAGCAATCCGTTTAACGTATTTCGTATATCGTATAACGTATATCTAAAGCCTAGCTATAGGCCATGGCCACGTTTCAGCCATATGCGTACGTAATGAAATCCAAGCAGATTTTTTGTTGGGACTCCCCCCCGTAATGTTTTCTGTTGAGCACTATCACATCGTTAATGCCAGCGAAAAAAAAGGTCTAGCCTGAAAACGTTCAATCTGCCTAGCCTCTACCAGGCTTCAGAAAGCGGCTGGAAATAGTATAAATTGGCCAAATAGACAGATAACATGCCAGGGGCCGGGGCTTGATCCTAGTCTCCACCAGACTCCTTTGCAGGTTGAATGAATAGTAGAAATCGGCTAAGGGGGAGTTAGCCGGCCATAGAGGGTCCAGCTTGGCCGATTTCTATTATTTATTCAGCCTGCAAAGGAGTCTGGTGGAGACTAGCTTGGTCCGCTGGAGAGTACAGTTTGCCGCTCCTGCTCCGAAGCCTGGTCATAGAGGCTACGATCTGCCCCTTCTTGAAGATTTCCTGGCTCTAAACGAAAATGGAACACAATAAGTGCTGAAACATTTTCCTTTTGTTTTCCTGTAGAACCTTTGCTGTTTCATTGCTGTAAGTCAACTGTTTCACTGTTCATCGGAGTCAAAAGCAGACGTCAAGCGGGGATATGGCTGCAGGCGACGGCCCAAAACCTAACAAGGCAAAATCTAACAAAGACGACTACGCCCAGACTTCCCTCGCGACCTTTCACGACTTCTGGCAGGATGCCATTCTCACTGACGTAAATATTTGCGCAGACGACGGGGTCTTGCCTTGCCACCGGCTCGTTCTGGCGAAGAATCCCGTCTTCAGGGCCATGTTCTTGACTGAAATGTCGGAATTTGGGAAGGAGGAAATCCGCCTGTCTGGTGTCCGAATTGCAGAACTAAGAAAACTTGTCGGTTATCTATACACAGGGCGGGTGGAGATAGATGGTGAGCGGGTTCAAGAACTGCTGTTGGCGGCAAACATGTGGCAATTCTCCGGCATCCAAGCCGCATGTGAGAAGTATGTAGACAGTCATCTGGATACATGTAACTGCATTGGGGTTATGGCCCTTGCAAAGGCAGTTTGTTGCACGGCACTGCTTGACAGAGCCAGACATATGGTTATATCTCAGTTCTCTTCCGCTGAGGAGGATCCAAACTTCTTGGAACTGGGGGAGAATGACGTCAAGGAAATACTAGACAGTGAGGAACTAGTCATCAAAAGTGAAGAAGACGCTCTGACCGCAGTCCTGAAATGGGTGAGCCATAACACTCAACAGCGCCTCCACAGTTTCCCGGAAGTACTGCAGTGCGTGAGGCTGACACATTTGAGACTGTCCACCTTGAGGAGGTTTGCGAACCATCCGCTGGTCCTGGAGGCAAACGAATGCCTGGAGATGATCACAAACAGTCAGGTTTACTTGAAGGAAAGAAGGTGTGACCAACAGAGGAAAAGTCGTCGCAGTGCCACACACGAAATAGTTCTCCTTTTTGGTCAGCCAGACCAGGAGACACAGAAAGCAGAGAGTTGTGAGGTACTATGCTATGACGAAGAGGATGACAGTTGGAGGAAGGTAACGCAGATGCCACAAAAGCTATCCCTAATGTCTGTTGCAGTTGACGGGGACACTGTGTACCTCACTGGCGGAACAACAGACGTTCGCAATCCCAAAGCCGGCGTACAGAAGTGTGCGTACAGCTACAGCTTCCTCCAGGATACGTGGAGGGAGCTTTCTGACATGCACGTCGCTCGCTACGGTCACATATCTGCCGCGGAGAAGGGTAGACTTTACGTGATCGGAGGACAACAGAACGACATGCCAACTGCTAGTACTGCTAGTGTGGAAATGTACACAGAAGACACCAACACGTGGACAATATGCAGCCCGTGCCCCGATGTACCCACGACTGTACAAGCATGTGTCTCCCACGGTAACCTGTACCTTCTCGATCCAGTAGACACGGGTATTTTTACTGAGGAGACTGAAGAGCCAAATGAAAACTTCCTGACATTCCAGAGTTACAACCCAACTGAAGATGAATGGAAAACTGTGAAGGATACAGCTATGTCGGTCAAAGCTGCGGGTGTATATGGTAACCAAATCCTGGTTGTAAAAACTAACACCACCGGACACATGCTGTCGTACAATCCTGTGAACCAGACGACAGACAAGCGACCTAGCCACGACAGACCCCCGCACGTGTACACGACTGGAGTGTACGGCGGTCTGTTCCAGTGTTGCGATGAGCCCCACGACTACCTGTACCGCTACGACGACAGCGGGCCGACGGGCGGAGGACTTTTCCAAGAGTCTGTGACGTACCTGCCATTTACTGCGTGGAACCCCGTCACCGTAACAGTGGACAAACTGTCGTTTGGATGGTTTTGCAGAGATCTTGACATTTTTGGCGGTCAAGAACGCAGCAACGTGTCTACGAAAGAAGGAAAGTCGGAAGAGACAGTACAGTGAATGGTTACAGTGTTCTAGCTATAGCCAGCCTGATATTTTTCCGTAGTCTACATGTATAAATTTTGTTTGGCATAATATCATGTCAACCTCAATCCTCGAGCTCTGATATGCTATATATTTTCCGCATTTTACTGGTAGACTAAGCTGAATTTAGTATTATGAGCTTAGTCGAATATTCTTTGTCTGGAAAAAGATCTTGCTATTCGTTCGCCGGTCCTTTAGTTTGTTCATTTCACTAATTCATTCATTCATTCATTCGTTCATTCAGTCATTCATTCATGTACTTATACTACATATTAATCATGCCTTCCAATCATTGATGCATACGTTCCGATCAAACTATGAAAAAACAACAATATAATTTGCGTCATCGTAAAGCAAATATTTATTGCATATCTCAGCGCAGAAACATGACGTACATATATTATAAAAAATCAGCTTTAGGTTAAAAAAAAATCACCAAATCTAAAATCATTTTGCATATTTCCGGCCCTCTAGAATCATTATTATTATTGTTGCATCTAACTTACGTTAGAAAACTTCAGAAACATTAATTAAAACTTACCAATGTCTGTCGATAGATATAATAAAGTTTTAAGAATAATACTTCCTATTTTCACACATGATCTGAAGCTTCATTTATATAAAATAATTTGCAAGTAGGTATAGGTAAGAGGAAATACTGGCTATCTAGTTCGTCATGTTATCTCTCTACAATGAATACCAGAAATTCTTTTCCACCACATATTCTTAAATAAAACAACGCAAGCATCCATAGTCCTTACAGTAATAAATACATAAGCAATGAATAAGTTAAGATAATACTATTGATATGTATGTCAATAAGTTACAATTGTGCGAGAAATAAATATATTCAACATCGCAATGTCGCAATTATAAAAAAACTAATAATTCTACTAGCTGTCTGACTCAATGCAACAAATATACATAGGCATAAGCTGGTGTGTTACGCCGAAGGGTGGTTATACTGGCTATACAGGTACAGATTATATTTCCCTATGGAAGTTCCCTATGGCATAATTTTGTTGATTGAAATTTTTCTGACTAAAACTGCAACTCTACGTTGATTTCTTAATCGTGAATATCAAATTTGTGAATCATTCTTTAAATTGATATTAATTGGCATTTCAAATGTGTCATAAATGCGATGTTGATATCCAAGTCACCACTACTATCGATATTTTAGGGCAAAGGTTAGTAATAGCGCAGGCGCAGAGGGCCCAGTTTTAGTATATAGAGATGGCAATGTAATGTAGAGTGTAAAGAAGTCTTTTTCTAGGGAAATGTTGTTGTTTTTGACTTGGATGTTATAGGTAAGGGTTGTAGTATTTTAATTTTGGTGAAAAAACAGACTTGCAGCCATGTTTGTGTTGTCTGGCTGGCTGAAGAAGATATAGGTTTACATGCGGTCATCAGCTGTCCAGAGAGGTCAGGGGTCACTTCTCAATGTTTGGGTAGAATTCTCGCATGGTTTAGGTGCGTAGGATTTTGTCATTTTTTGGGAATGGAGACTTGAGAGGTTGGCCTACCCTGCCAATGTATGTTCTTCAAGGTCTAAAACTCAGGTATATGAATGTTGACCACGTTGTTTTGACATAATTCCCATATATTAACATAGGAAAGCCCTATTACTGTGCTGTGCCCTTTAGTGTTTTCTATCAAGGCTCTACCTCTAGGTCTACAAGGGTTTTAGCGCAACCCAGAAAGTCCGTGGCGACGCTCCGCGGGTACCCCCCGTTGGTGTCCACAGCAGCGCGGTTAGCTGCCAGTTTCCAGTAGCGGTCCTTACGGAAGATGTACCTGGTGCCGTCCGCGCTGGTGAAGGCGGCGTCGATCCGTGTGGGGAAGCCGCGCCACAGGCTGAGGGAGCGGGGGTAGCCGGAGTCGGCTCCCGCCCGGGCCCCGCCGGTGTACCGCCAGTACTGCCCGTCTGTGCGGAGAGACGGTGGAATTAGTCAACTAGAAATGTCTGTTACAACTTAGTCTTTGTAGAAGAGATATTGCCTGGTTAGGCCATGTTGATTTGATTATATGGATGACATCCACGCGCGCATGAATTTTCGTCCGTTTCCAAAAGAAAAAAGTTTTCGCCCATACAGTAAATCGTACAAAGCAGCTACAAAATGAGCAAAGGAAAATATAAGAAAATTGTAAAGAAATAAAAATGAATTCGAACCGTCTATTACTTTAAGTATTCGCCATACCATGCTCATTGCTTTAGAAAACTAATTGTTTTTAACTTTTAAGTCTTTTATGGATGAAATCTGTCTTGTGTCATACGGTACTTTGTTAAAATAGCTAGTGCCCAAGTATTTAAATGTTCTGTGGCCAGCTGTGGTGGTGTAGTTAGAGTAATTGCTACCTTTTACGTTCGTATACAACGGCTTTTGATACAAAAGTAAGTGCTGTAGTGATTCCTTACCTTTGAAGAAGTAGGATCTGGTTCTGCCGTCCCATTCTCCGTAGTACAGAGCGGCGTCGATGTCACTCACAGTACGCCAGACACTGATGGAACGGGGGTATCCGCTGTCCATGCTGTCACCGGTAAACCGCCAGAACTGTCCTCCCTGGAACAGCACGAACAGCAAGGTCAGACAAACATACAAAATAGATTAAAGGGGCAAAAAGTAACATTTTTTACCAAAAATTGAAATACCCACATGTATTTTAAATTTGTTTTTAAAACATTCGTGTGATTGTTGACATCATTATTCATGGGTGGCAATTTGTGGTGCCACCACAAACTACCAGAATGTAAACAAACATGAATGACATGATTTAAAACACACTCAAGATGTCATATTTTGTCACATTCACTTTCTGAATTTCAATTATTTGCAATGGAGTAGGGTTGGTCCAAAATACTTTGTAAAGAAATGAAGAGGAAAATTTACCATTCGTATCGCCCTAACGTAAAAAAATGCAGCTTTAAGCAATGGAGATTTAAAGAAGTATACACCAAGATACGTGGAGTTTTCCCCTTTAAAACACATCAGAACGTTGTGTGGAATCATCAGTATAATAAGAGTACAAATTTGCCCTCTAACACTGACCTTGAAGAAGTATGTCTTTCCGTTGATCTCATAGAACATGGCGGCGTCCAGATTTCCCGGCAATCCCTGCCAGACGTCCTTGATCAGCTGTGGGTATCCAGGCGACACCCCACGCTCAGTCAGCTGCCAGAAGTACTTCCCTAAAATTTATGTTGAAGACATACATTGAAGTTAAATCTAAAGGAATTTCTATTGAAGTGTAATGCTAAACCTTCTTCCAACACAAGAGCAAACAAGAACCAAATTTTCAACGACCACTGTGGCCTTCATCAGGATAAATAATGACCAATCACTTACAAACGTGATCTCGCGAGAGTTGCGCACACGTGACCAATTCACACGAGACGTTACGGATACGTGACGTCGGCAATTGGTCAAACGTGCCAGGCAGTTTATATCGTCCACCGTCTCTGTTTATAGCATGGGTGTAGTATTTGTCATGTGTCACGTAACTCACATTTACTACACATTTCTGCTCATTGGTTTAGTACTCAACTAAAACTGGTTAATGATTAATCGTTAACTAACCTCTGAAGGCGTACATGGTGCCGTTGGCCAAGCGGGTGAAGGCGTCGAAACTTTTCCCGCTGCAGGTGTCAGCATCACCCTCTCCGCCAGGGGGCGGTGGGTTCACGGGAGGCTTGGTGGGCTGGGGACGAGGTGCTGGCGTGGGCTGGGGACGAGGACGAGGTTGCGGTCCACCTGTTCGTAAGTTTTAGCCGTTCATTATTTGCATAGATAGTGGGCAAAACAGCTTTGGGTTATCACGGTATACTTTTCGCCCTAGCTTATTATTCCTGGTGCTTCCAAATTTACGGTAACTGATATAACATGAGTGAACAATAATCTAATGGTTTTGATTCTTCTTGTCTACCTTGATAAAATCAAATCTGCAATTATCTAGACAATCAAAGAATCAAAGAGCTTCAGCTATGGCTGAACAGTCGTATGTAGGAAAAGGTCAACGTTATCCTCCTTCGCAGACTTGTACGGCGGCAGCGTTAATTTTTTTCGGGTAGCCACGCGAGGTATGTCCCAAATGGTGTTTTGCCGTGGAGGGAGTATTTCGCCGCCTGACAATCAATTCCAAAATTCCATCTGCGGCATACACTACTACTACTACTACTACTACTACTACTACTACTATTACTACTACTACTACTACTACTACTACTACTACTACTACTACTACTACTACTACTACTACTACTACTACTACTACTACTACTACTACTACTACACGCGTCGCTACCCCAAAATATTATCGCCGCCGCCGCACGGGTCTGCGAAGGAGGCTACTAAGTAAAAGTCCGTTCCTTACCGTACAGACTCTGAATCCCGTTGATATCGTCTCTGTCCAGACGCAGACGCGACTGGTACCGGTAGAACGGCGCCATCAGGGCGGAGTTCACTTGGGAGTGCCCCAGCCCCAGAGAGTGGCCGAACTCGTGAGCCGCCACCGAGAACAGGTCAGTTCCGCTCAGGAACGCTAGGGGGCAGGCATGAGACACCGATGAGCTCGTGCAGTTTGTCAAGAATGCAGAATTGTACAAAATAATTCAAAATATTTAAGTACGTACTTAAGTACACATTTCTAGAAGCCGTCCAAGTACTAATATGTACGGAAATTGTAGAACTCTCCGCTCTTCACGCATTTTAAATTTCATTGCAACTTGAGTAATATTACTACCAACAGGTTATAGGCATATAACCTTTTTGCTTTAGACATATAGAATTTATGGAAACTTGAAGGTAAAGTAACAATGAAGCATATGCCTGAGCGTCAGGTATTCCATGATAATCAGCACATATATGTATAAATCAAGTGGTCCAACTATCCTTTGTTTCGGTTAATTGAAACAAAAACATTTGCAAAGCAAATGCATAATGTTTACCTTCGGACATGGTCTGCTCTGTTGATTCTTACTCAAACACATTCAAATGCATTGTACTACCAGTACATGGTGACAGGAGCGGAGCAGACCATGAAATTGCAACATTATGTAACCCAACACCAGTCACCATGGTGACAGACGTCAACAAATCATGTCATTGGTCAGGTCATACGTCACTGTTTGGAGGAGAAGAAGAAGAAGAAGAAACGGAGCAAAAACAGTATGTTTTCCTTCGGTAAACATTATAAGATCCTCACCGATACTTGGTCCTCCGATTTGCCAGACTTCCGACTCGTCAAAATGGGCGTCACCGCCGATGCCCCCTCCGGGTTGGTACGCATGCGCCAGGACGCCTCCCCTGGAGTCGAAGGCGTTGCCGTCTCCATGGCTACCGGCGGCGAACCGGATCTCGATGTCAGCTGGACCGGAAACACGTCTGAAGGTCAAGGGCGTCACCTCGGACCATACCTGTTGGTGGAGGAATTTTGTGTTATGGTAGCAGAACACCGTTTTCGCCCTATGAAGATTAAGGACCCAAAGGTGACTCACTTCGACGCGGTAAAAAAATATAGGATAGGGTTCCACAATCAAGGTGCAGAATAGTATGTGTTTAATTTCAGGGTATGATTTACAAAATATGTGAAAAATCTCTTCTGATGCAATCTTTTACATACGCTATGCGGAAAACTTATGAACTGCAGCAAATTCAACTTTGACAATCTTCTACCACAGGCCATATCAGCACACAGTTTCATCTCGCAGCCATGCACAGAAGAATCGCTGCAGCTTTCTCAACTATTGTGCCGCACTACTTTGTTCCCGAATAAATACTATGCAACCTTATAGCTTTGGGGATTGAAGATATCTATTGATATCTACCGAGTACTCACTTTCTTGCTTGAGAATATTGTAGCGTATATATGACAACTCTGTTGCTAGCACTAACACAGAAAATGATACCAACTGATGAAAGAAATAGAAAAGAAAATCTTAATTTATATGAAAACAAACTAACTAACTAGGGAAAAAATAAAGAAATAACAAACAAACAAACAAAAAACTTACGTCAAATGCGCGGGCAATGGCATCTACTACTTGATCGCGGGGGAGGTCAGGAGTGAAGTTGTTGATGCGGTAGGTCAGGTCGTTCTTTTGCCATCTGCTGCCCAGGCGGGTGTAACGCGCCACAGGACCGCTAGGCGGCGCCACAACATCAGGGCATCCGCACCGCGGCATCTTCATCATCTCTGCCGTCTTTTCATCAATGACACCTGGAATTTAAATCAACGTATTTGCAGTTAATACAGCTGAACAATCAACATGAAAAATTTCGACAAGATGGTAACACACAAGACCAACAAACTCTTACGAAAACATTGGAACAAGACCTAAACAAAGAGCGCCAAACCAAGAGTCACTAGACTAATACTTAAGGTCAATGCCCTGCCTGTCCTAGTGTTCAAATAGCCAGAGGTCTGATGACTAATAGTTAATTTCCTTCGGAATCCTGTTGAGGTCTCTGACCTGTGGGAGGGCAGGTCGCAGTGCTAAGTGCACTTCTGTGTAGTGTGTTTTTGTTGTGGTTCTCACCAACGATTCTGCTTTTTGTTCGCCAGACACCCGATACGGGAAGCACACGGGAGAACAACAATGGCCCAAACATGGCACTGAGCGAGTGGTGACTAAACAAAACACGGGTGTACGTCCGCCGCCTGTCCAAAAATACAACACGGTACTGAAGTTGTGTGGGCTGACATTACGTCAGATAGCGCGCTCAAAATTAGCCGACTCAGCTCCGAAAAGATCGAATTTCCAGGAGTTACGGTCACTTTAGTCAAGTTGGTGTATGCTATTTGTTTGTTGCCATTTCGGAACGCTATGGTTTGGGCAAAAACTGGGCGATATCACTAAATCCACACTTGTGCCCAATCCAATGTTATTGTAAGGCGGTAAAACAAAAATATTATAGATAAGGAAATCTTCCTGATATTGAGTTAAGTACTGCCATTCCTTAGAACATTTTCGTCATCCTCTCATACTAAGACAAGCTAGCTACGTAAGTAGTCTTTGTGTTTTTTATCATCAAGAGCTTGAACCATACAATACTGTGAACAGAAAACAAGCAACCGTTTTTTTTTATTTCGTCAGTGACATCGCATTTTTCCCTCACATATATAAGTATAATATGGGATAGGATTGATTAAACTTACTGAATAACCAGAAAATTGACTCTGAAAATCCTGTTTTGTTGTCCTGAAATGGCTCTGGTTGGATGTCTTTAAATGGCCTAAAATCAAAATTTAAAAAAACTAAAATTTTTCGAAAATTTATCAAACCGTCCTACCTGTTGTCGGGATGTTTGCGAACCTCTGGAAGTTGATGACCGCGCGACGCATCATGGGACTGATGGTGCCCAGACTTCCCAGCATGCCTGTGGGGTCCTCTGACATGTTGTAATACCCAAACTGTTGTAGGTAGAGCTAGAAAATATAAAGTTTATTTTTCTGAAATCAGTGATTATATTTCTATCATTATTATTACCTCTATGAACTGAAAAAGAAACATTCGTTTCAGTAACTGAGTTATACTTTGGTGTTCATGTCAAGTTTACATTCTAGCTCAATTGTTTGGACATACAAGTACCGTGTTATCTTATTCTGCCTACGTAGCTGGTCAAATTTTTGTTTGTTTTGGATTTCCGCTTGTGCGCCTTCAATTCAAAACACACACCAACGCAATGGCCACTGGCCGATGACACACTGTACACGGGCTGTACACGATCTCGTGAGCTTCTTTTTCCGTCCGAAAACACAAACTCAGCATGTAATGGTAGCACGTTAAACATTGAAGGAAAACTAGTACTACATTTGGCTCACAGTCTCCGACTTGTAATCGTAGCAAGTGAAACATTGAAGGAAAACTAGTGCTATATTTGGCTCACCATTCCGTCATTCTTGTTGAATCCTTTTGGTTGTTGTGACAGGGGCTCACGATTCGTCTCACCTTCTTCCGTACCTTCAATCTGTTCACTGTAAATTGTGAAAAAAGTGTGATATTATAGCTTGGTATATTACTATATATCAATGGAAACGTTGGAAAATGATACTAATGTCGAAGAATGCCAGAATCAATTGCAAAGGAAAAGAAAGAAATGAAAATGAAGAGTCTATTATTCGCTATACTCTGTGTATTTAGTCATTTGTTCAACCCTCATAACCACGCAGATTTCATAATGAAGGCAACTTTTTTTGCCATTTTTTTTTCTTCATTTTCACGCTCGCATTATGTTTTGGGTTTCCCATAGGATGTCATCCATATAATCAAATCAACATATAATTTAATTGTCCAAATCACTGTCTCGTCGAAGGGCAACGACTTCGGAAGTCTTCGCCACTTCCTTTTGAAACATGTAATTTACTTGACATTAAATATAACCTTACGATGGACATAAAAAGATGAGGCTTTTGTTTCTTTGTCTTGATGACATTTCAGACAGGAAACCGTGTATTACAGAAGCATGTGGTGATCACACATCAGGTGTTTTCTTCTGTAGGTCGACTGTTGATGTTCGTTTAGGCCGCGCCGACTTCATTTTATGGATGACATCCTCTGATGACCCCCAAACTCGTGCGCGCGGGCGAATAAAAAAAATTCCGGCCAAAAATAAAAATGCTAGTACAGGAATACAAAGGTGGTATTGTGAATTTGCGGCAGTACTTAGCGACGTATACGACAAGTCGGCACATGCTGGCTTTTTGAGAAATTTATGAATCGGCACTGTACGTATGTACTGAGTTCTTGAGTCGAAGAGCTTTCGGCAGCCTGGGTTACCAACGGCTCCGTATTGTCGCTAACCACTATGGACTACCCAGGCCTAGAGCCAGGCCAGAGCCTCGGTGGACGTGATCTTTTTTTTAGAACAGGCGAAAATCAATGCGCGCGCGGATGTCATCCATAAAATTAAGACGGTGAGGCCTTAGGTTGAGAACTAGGGACCCAAAGCTAATTTCCAAGCAGACGTCTGGCGGCAAAAGCGTTACGGTTAGGCCAACTAGAGAGAGTCCTCAGCCACCCAACTGCATGGTGGCAAATGATAACTGTCTGGCAAAGGGATGCTGCCTGGTCAATTTGGTACTGTCTTCAAGTTTGCAGCCACCAAAAAATCTGCTTGTACTTTACGTAAAGCAGGTTTTAAATCTGTGTTTTTATCCGTCCAAATGGATCACGGGAGGAAGCTTAAAGTGGTCAATAGTTTGGAAGTAGCTTTTAAGCTTTTGCTGAAGTATATCTAAATGCTGCATTTTTGTAAGGAGGACGTTATTCTGGCTACTCAGTTCCTTTCTGATCTTAATAATAAAATTTCAACTTAAACTTCATGATTTTACACATAAGCAATGCCGATGGAAAAGTGCGTCACTTCTTATCACTGAACGGCCTGGCAAGCGGAACATTAACAGCATCCACTAAAGATACACTGCACAAAACATGGGTAAAGGTTCTGTGTACTTTTATGTATGATTTAGGGCATACTTGAATATAGGATTTTGTACAGTGCAGTGATACGTTGGAAAAAGTTGTCAATCCCTTCGAAATGACAAATAAGATGTGCCGAAACGTATACAGGCCTTAAACGTTTTTGGTAAAAAATGATTGAAGAGGTTAAAAAGAAAATGTTCAAACGAATGAATGTCTTACCTTAATGGGTCCTCTGGCACCCCGAAAAACTGGTCGAAGTCGATCAGCTCGACATCTGGTGGAAGGTCGTCCTGGTCGGGGTGGGGGTGGTGGTGGCGTCCCTGTCCTCGGTGTAAGGGTGAGGGGTGCGCCGAGGAAGGCACGAGCAGCGTGCCGTACAGACACGCGGCGAGACAGAACACGTAGAAACTCTTCATGTTGTCCTCTCGACTCGTCAGGTCTCTGGTGGTTGAGTGTTGTCTTCTTGCCTCTCGAAGTGGAGTGTTTGAAATCACTGGACATCTCGGCCCTTATTTATAGCTATAAAAATGACGGTCTTCTGACGTAAAATTTCCTGTGTTGTAATACCTGTGGCGTTTTCTTCTGACTAAGGACGTTTGGAGACAAAGGTTTTGATACGTTTGACAACTCAGAAAGCGCAACGGAAGTTGCGTCGGGAAACGGCGAAGAAAACGACTTCATGGTTACGTAGAGAAATTCCCCGCATTCTTAAGGAAATTCCTGTTGTGTTCGGAGTCTGGTCGAGGTGTGTCGAACATCCCAACCGGATAAGTGAAGATGTAATTACAAGAGATTAACATTGCTTTCATCTGAAACGTCAGACTTGGGTGGTTAGGTCTCCCAGGCGTACCTCCGAGAACAATAGAGCACAAACCTGCCTTAGGGGAAGTGAGAACAGGTTATCAGCAATGTCATCACTAACGTTAACTTTAAATAGAGACAGATATCAAATGTATGTTTGATCGTCCGACATTGGTAAACAAAGGCGGGTGGGACGACTCTTTCATTGATACACCACAAAATCCGTATGATTTCTGATTTCGTGGTTCGTTGAAGAAAAGGGGACAATGATACCCAGCAAGAGGGTTTTATAATCAGCAGAAACGAACTCTTCTAATTTTGACATAACATTATACACGGTTTTTATATACACAAAAAGACTACAAACTTGTGGCCACTGTTGTTCTGGCCAGTCTCGTCTGTTATTTCGAATTCGTTGATTCCCTCTAGCAAAGGGAGATCCAGAATTAAATCCCTATGGATTTAGCGCACTTCCCTCTGTATGTTATCTTTGGTTGGGTTTTCAACGACGCTTAAAGGTTCAAATCCTACAAAAACCCGTTCCTCTTTACAGGTCGCTTACGAACGTAAGCAGTCGTGCTTTCTTTGGAGGAACATGTAATAGACCTAAGTTTTGTTTTAGGGCTCTTATATAGGCTAATACAAATTCTAAACGGATACTTTGGTCGTATACAGTGGATTTTAAAGGAATAGGAGTGCAATAGCAACGAGTTAGTCTCTACCAGACTAACTACGCTGGCAATTATAGGAGAATAATTGCCAGGGGAGTTTGGCCGCCTTGTAGGTTTGACAGGCCGCGCAGTTAGGAGGGAAAGAAACTACCTTCCCGCGGCCGGGCTCCCTTGGCCAACTTTACTGTCTTTTTTGCCGAATTCCACGATCCGTATTCCCGTAGAAAGGCCTGGTGGAGGCTAGCAACGAGTGCACTTGGCATTAGAGGCTGTGGTGTTACGAATAGGGTTCTAAATCGGGATTAAACAGGTGTAGCGGCGATTTCACACCCCCGGAAAGCCCAGTCCTTCTGCGGTGCTACTTGGAAGGTAACAGGAGATTGTGGGTGTGACGGGGGAGGAGGGAGGGGAGGTTTATAATATCAATATTTTGGTGACGCGAAGGCACGTGCCGGGGCGGATCACCACGCGCGGAGTGATATGATGTCGTAGACGTATCAAAACAGCAACAGTCATGGCAGGTGCAGACATCAACTTGGTGCTATGGTGTGTTGTAAATATCTGAAGATAGTGATCTGCGTATATCTAAATACATGTATCGAGGAAAAACCAATATACAAGATTATTCCCTAGTTTTCGATTTTTAGATAGAAAAGAAAAAAAAATCACATTCCTCATGAAACTCGATAATCCTCGTACTATAAGCTCCATCTGTTCTTACATTTACAACTGTCTTAAGAAGCGAGAAGAAGCAGAACCTGTACATGTGTAGTTGTACTATAGATATATCTTAGTCTACCATCGCTATTTGACATAACCTGTACTTAGTTCGCAATGAGCAAAAATGTACAATAAAGGTCTTTCTTAATCACCATCACACAAGATCCAAATATTTCAGGGATCATCGAGCTCTGAGATCTCTAAATTCTTGTTCTATGATGAATTGTCTTTCCCCCACCTCCCCCACTCCCGACACTTGAGTCCACCTTGGCGGTAACCCAAGTTAAGTTTGCGGTTTTGGGCGGAGCTAAGTTTGCGTGTCGAGTTCTCGCGTTGGAGATGATGATGTCATAGCTTTGTTGATGTGCTTTTTGGCCAGGATGTCTTCATGTAAACACAACACCCCCTCCATGGGCGGGCTGAGGGAGGACACGACCGGAGTGGTGAGGCGTACGTACCGTGCATCGTTCGGTGAAATCCCCGAGGTGTACGTAGCCTCCACCAGGCCTTCCTACGGGAATACGGATCGTAGAATTCGGCAAAAAAAGAGAGTAAAATTGGCCAATGTAGTCCGGCCGCGGGGAGGTACTAGTAGTTTCTTTCCCTCCGAAGGCCAGTCAAACCTACAAGGCGGCCAAACTCCCCTGGCAAATATTCTCCAGTATATAGCCAGCGTAGTTAGTCTGGTAGAGACTAGTGTGCTTATACTCCTTCATGCGTTCATGTCGATGAATGTCAGAATATCTAAAATCTGCCAATATTTTCCGACAAACATTAATTTTAAAAACTAAAGACGGGATGCCATTCTTTAATACGCCAATACGGCCTTAAACGAGACGTATGTTTATCAGGATTTTCCACAAATTTTGGCAAAACAGGTGCAAATATACGCAGGTTGCCCCTCCCCAATACAAACAACACGACAACACTGATATACATTTCAAAGTCAACATACTCTGCAACATATAAAAAATATTGTCATTTTAGAATTGCCGAATTCTACGATCCGTATTCCCGTAGAAAGGCCTGGTGGAGACTATAGGCACGCAACCCAGGCGAACGTTAACACCTAAGATTTCCACTGTCGTCATCATGACCTGGAGTTAATGACACTGCGATCCGGGGTCATGTATGTTGATGTGGGTACCATGGTGCGGTACGTCCGGGGTTTCCACAGTCCAGCAACTTCGTCATCCAGTAGTGACGGATCCGGTAACACGTAATGGTTACGTCTGGTTATATGACACATATTTGAACAATGGCAGAAAGAAGCAACTCTTCGTATTTACAATGCATGATGTACAAAATGACTAATAAACTGGTGGACGTCCCAATCACTAAGTACCTAATACCAGCCCAGAAGAGAACAAGAAATAGCCATGCCTTCAAATACCAGAGTTATCAACCAAGCATTGAGGTGTTCAAGAATTAATTCTTTCCTAGAACTATCGTAGAGCCCGGGAACTCACTGTCACCAAGTACAGTAGCGGTATTACCATTAGATGGCTTTAAATAATGTCTAGAGTTAAATGTTCAAGGGTTAGGTGTAACAAGTCGTTCGGTGTGATGTAGCCAGCTGCCGCCGCGCCGCGTGCCTGCAAAGCTGGCATGTTACGCCGAAAGGCGGTTATACCGGCTATACAGATACAGATACAAAAATCTTGGGCTAAGGGCAACGGAACTTGCTCCCCATGTTTGGTTTCGCCCTGGTAGCATGGATACTGTATCAAAGTCCTTCTACAGCAACTTGGTAGATTTTCCCCGGACTTCGAAGCTTTGAATTGGAACTTACCCTCCCAAACACATGCTTTCCTTCCGAATACAATCCTCAAGTTTTCAAAATAAACATTCATCGCCATCTTTTTTCTTTTGCATAGTCATATGTCTGTCCATGTCTGTCATATGTATCACCTAGCTCAATGCCTAATAGTGGTCATTTGGCTTTGCATTGAGTATCATTCTTTTGAATAGGATAAGTGTAAAAGGTACAATGTAGTTATTTCTGTTTTGATAAATGAAGAACAATCATCGTATAACTGATACTCGTACCATGGTGGTAAAAGGGATCCATGCTGATACTTAATCTTTTGGTAGCCAGTATATACGTTCGAACCTATTTCCAGGTCCGAGAAAAAGCGAATACGTTTGGATATGCATGTACACATGTCCATTGTGTGCTTACTAAATTAGGCCACAGCAAGTAAATCTTATGGATGACATCCTCCGCAGACTCCAAATCTAATGCGACAGGGCGAAAAATACAAGGCGGGCAAGAAAACAAAATTCTTTCATTTTCAAATTTTGAGGTCATAAGCCTTGTTAAACAAGAATTAAGACGACAAAACATGATATTACAACCAAACAGATACATGTGTATTCTATTTTTGTATTCAACAGTGTCACCTGTCCTTGTAGATATGTAAAGAACGAGTCGATTAACTAGATATTCTAGCAAAACGGCTAGCCGTACCATCATGGGCAGCTACTATACTGGGTTGGGTTGGATGCGATGGAACATGTCAGTGTCAACATTTGCGATCAAACGTGAACCATTGTGTCTCAAGTTTGCTGGATCCCTGGTGGTCTCCGAACCGATAGGCATTTACAACATACTTGCCCAAATTTCGGCATGCTGACCAAAAAAATTCTTGTTTTTTTTTTCAAAATCAGGCGAAAAAATTGATGCGCGCGTTGATGTCATCCATAAAAATTGATTGCTGTGGCCTTATGTAAAATTGCTTGTCATTTTGTTCCCCTATTACTCCAAAATTGTACGGAAGCTCAGTACAGTTTAGAAACTTTTGTTGACATATCAGTACCAGGAAAACCGACGTCCTTTTCTTTTACGTGGCCAAAAGTACATCGGTGTTGTATTTCTGGAAAACATTGCGGCCGCCGTGGTGGTAATGTTCGGGTAAAACGTAAAAAGGATGTGGCTACGAAGGACATTGACCCTAAGAAAACTGCTAGTCATCCAGCTAATGTAGGACAGTGTATCGTCATCATTTAACCATACTGTTGAAACGTAGACTTGCAGGATATCGTCCATGGGAAGGAAACACGTTTTTGTTACATTACAAAGAAGTCATCACATCATGAGTTTGAACTGCGATTGTACGTCATTGCAAGGACGTTTTATCTGATGGAACGTCTTTGGTCGTTGTGTAACGGTCTCAGGGTGTGTGTGTTCCGAGGGTGGCACAACTGGATTTTTTTATAGTTCTTTAAATGTATACAGTAAGTTGAATCAGCCCTATACCATAGCATACTGACATCTGTGAGGCAAAAATGTGAAGTCACTGACCGAAAACAGTTGCTTGTTTTGTATCGTAGGCTGGTTCTAGAGTGGTCCTAGTCATTTATGGCTGGTACCCAAAAGAATTAAGAGACGCCTCACGATATGGCTTGTTTTGGGCTATTTCAAACGCTTAGAGTATGAAATGATGACGAAAATGTGGTAAGAAATGGCAGTAAATGTCAATATTAGTTGATAGATTTTCTCATCCAGGGCTGCTAGAAGCCTTTAGTCAAGTAACGTTTTTAAGCCAAACGCTTCTTAGGCTAACCTTGCCGACAAATGAGAGCCCGAGTAGTGAGTACATACTTCGAGATTTTGTCTGCACTCCGTCTGTCAACGTTAGACCATTCGACTTGTTTTCTCAACTTTCGCTTCCCAAATACAGTTGTGTTGTACTGTTGAAGATAGATTTTCCATAATTGTGCGATGACCAAACCGTTATATTTGTTGCACTTTGTCTGTCAGTATACGACGGTTAACTCTTTACAATGTTTGTAACGCAAGCCAACTTTGTTTAATGGACAGCAAGTCTTTGTTTTTGGTTGGGGGCAAGCCTCTTCACCTATTTGGCACGCTAGGAGTTCACTTAGAACGTGTCTTAAAAGCACGCAAACAAGAAACTAAGGGTTATGCACTATACAGTGTCAACGGGAGTCTTTTAAATACCACCTGGTCTTGGAAAATGTTTTGAAACCCGAACATATATAAATTTACGGATTTGTAAAGGAAGCGTAAAGATATAGAATATGTTAACGTAGTATTTAAGCACACTGCAAGGTGACGGAAAGGCGGAACTTGCATTTCAGCAGCCTTAACGAAGTCGTAAAGTCTACTGAAATATTTTCTCACCTTTAATACTTCTTTACATATTGCGGAAAGTTTGCTTAAATGTCTGTTTTCGTGCTGTGAACGTCCTAGGATTTGAACGGTAAACGCAAATCCAAAACATGCAAAAAATAAGTCTCTAAGACCAGCCTAGATGTTCTTGAAGTATCCAAAATAAAGAAGTTATAAGAAGAAAAAAAATAACAAAAACAGTCTTGTAAATCCAAACGATAAATTTTCCTCTACTGTTACAATGGCTGTCCATAGCAAGTATACATTCTATGGTCTACACTTTTCATCCAAGTTTGCTTGTTTGTCTATAAACTAACACCGAAAAGACTCAACGATATGGCATACCAAAGTCACGACTAGTAATACACGTCGAGCTGGTATGTAGATCGATCTTAACAAAAACAATAGTTCAGAATACACCTGTATAAATTCCTGCACGTTACGCAAGGGAACATTTCTTTGCAGTTTTCCTCTTCTTAAACTAATTCGCAGTTCTATCGGCTTTACAAAGCTATATCGCTGTCGTACAGGCCAATCGGTTAAACTAAAAGCGCGGTTAAATTTCCCGGTGTAGTATGACTGTTATTTCTCTCTATTTTTTTTCAAACGGAAGAGGATTTTACAGCGCGCAATTCCATTAGTCAACGGAAGCGGAAGTGACGATTTGTCAGCGGAAGTGACGTCACTTGAGCGTGAGTTTGAACTCACTGGTGATGGTGCCCATGGAGTTGTGTGCGACCACCTTGTAGTCCCCAGCCTCGCGCTCTGTCACCTTCCCGATCTCCAGTTTGTGCACGCGGCCTTTGTGCTCGATCGTGTACAGCCCTCCTCCCATCAGCGTTTTCTTCTTGTGGATCCATTCAACTAGAGAAAGAAATATCACAGCATTAAACAGTGTTCATTCAGGGGAGCTAGGAACATAACTGATGTACCCTTGCATTGAAAAACTTACTACTTGCTGGGATGTAGGATTTCTAGGGCAATGGCTTGCGCGTTTGTGTGGAACTTCTGCGTCAATTCTGTGTGTTTGCGTGGAACTTTTGTGTGTTTGCGTGGAACTTTTGTGTGTTTGCGTGGAACTTTTGTGTGTTTGCGTGGAACTTTTGTGTGTTTGCTTGGAACTTTTGTGTGTTTTAGTGGAACTCTAGTTCACGGTTTGTGTGGAACTCTTGGTGTGTGTTTGCGTGGAACTTCTGCGTGTTTGCATGGGACTGTTGTGTGTTTGCGTGGAACTCAGGTGTTTGCGTAGAACTCTTGTTTGCGTGAAACTCTTGTGTGTTTGCGTGGAACTCCTGTGTGTTTGCGTGGAACTCGTGCGTGTTTGCGTGGAACTCGTGTGTGCTTGCGTGGAACTCTTGTGTGTTTGCGTGGAACTCAGGTGTTTGCATGGAACTCTTGTGTGTTTGCATTTGCGTGGAACTCTTGCTTAATTGTTTGCGTGGAACTCTTGTGTGTTTGCGTGGAACTCTTATTTGTTTGCGTGGAACTCTTGCTTGTTTGTGTGGAACTCTTGCTTGTTTGTGTGGAACTCTTGTGTGTTTGCGTGGAACTCTTGTGTGTTTGCCTGTAACTCTTGCGTACACGTGTTTGCGTGGAACACTTGTGTGTTTGCGTGGAACTCTTGTTGTGTGTTTGCGTGGATCCTGCGTCTTTGCGTGGAACTCTTGCGTGAAAAAGATTAGCGGAAAAGACTAGGGATTGACTTACCTGTGGGTGGCGGTGCGGCATCCAACTCGGCGTAGAACTTAGCGGAGGAGCCCTTGGCAACAGTGATAGACTCCGGCACCAGAAACCACTCAGGCTTGGCCAGCTTACGAACGCCACCCTTTTCTGTGTTTGGAAACATGATTTCAGTTTTCATAGTGTACATATCGGGAGATATATATTATAACCACGTCTTTGATTGTCATGTGTTCACTTACACATGATCAGTTCGATGTGAAGCGTTGATTTTGATATCTGTTTTTTTTTCAGGTATGTCAGTATAATTAATGTGTTCTAAAATTTGAACAGTTGTCCTGGTATAACGATTGGTTTAAGTTTGTACAGAGGGTAGGTTGTATAATCTGCACGAAGTCGATAGAACGCGCTACTTACTTGCTGAAAAAAAATTCATAAAAAATCGTCCTTTAGGAATATGAAAAGATCCAAACGTGAAGTTTTTACTATGACTAGTATGCAAAATTCTGAGAAATATTGAGTTTTTACTGAAGCACTAGCTTGAAGATTCAATTTTTCTAAAAATGGCCTCATAACTATTGATGACGTCATCGTGACGTCATAAAATTTGCAAACCTTATCTTCTTGCAAGAAGACACTTTGTGACAAAAAAATTCATAAAAAGTCCATACTTAGCTGCAACATGTACTTTTAGAACACCCCAAAAGTCCTCAGGATGGGTTATTTAGCACCTTAAAGCGTATGATATATAAGAGTAGAATTTGAAGTGTTCTAACCTGTAGTTCTGGTGTAACGATGTTTCAGGTTTCTACAGAGGACAAGACGTGCAATCTGAACAAACTCGATAGACGGCGCTGCTTACTTACTGACTTAGTGTGTATGAATTATCAGAGTACTCACTCATCGTGAGCCTGAAAGCCTGCTTGTTTGTTCCCCACTTATCTCTCGCAACACACACGTACTCGCCTGCATCCTTCAAGGTCGCATCCTGAGAAAGAAAAGGACAAAGACAAAGCAAAATGGCGTTTATCTGCCGATTAAAAAAATTGAAACGAGACGGGGGGCTCCACAGACTGTCTGCAACCTATGATCCACTGCCGTGAACACCATTTTTTCTCAGACCGCGAAATGTTGCTACCGTGAACATAAAGTGAAGTTAAAGATATGTTAGAGCCTTACCTTGATAACTAGGGCGAAGGTGTTGCCATCTCTTTCAAAACTGATTCCTTTAGTCTTGCTCTCCGCCACTAGTTTACCCATCTGTTCCCAGACTACCTCATCCGGGACGTCCCCTGAAAGGAAACATCGAGGGTAACTGATGAAATTTTCTTACAACAAGACTGTCAATGCTGTTAGGGTTATTGTTTGATTTCATGATTTTGATGAAGCCTTCGTACCCTCCCCTCCCCTGAATGTATAGTCAGAACGAGCCCCGGGTGTGACAGAATTCAGAAAGTAGGGCATCGATCTGGGGCGCGGCAGACAGGTTTTCCCAAGGGTTTCCAGGAATGTGGGCATGTCAACAAACAGGGCCGGGAAACATTCCTGTGGACATTCCTTGCCTGTGGACAAATTCCTGTACGATTCCTAGAATTCTTGCAAATTGCACACAATACTGTACCATTAGGCTCCTCCCTGAGACGTCGCCAAAAACAGGGAGGGGGCAAAGATTATAGACAGAGAGGGCAATAGACGGATTCTTTGGATCAAGGAGGCGGCGTGGATAAGAAAGTCAACCCCAGTGAAGAACCGGGATGAGGGGGGATACCGTAAACTTCGCCATTTTTGGGATTGTACATGTGTTCCCGCCGCAAAAGCGCCAGAAACCTATAGCGGCGAGAAGCAAAACTCCAGTTAGAAGATAGTATGAGGAAGGTGTCTGATAGGCACCGAAATGTAAGCCTGTGAGAGACGTTTTTGATCGTGTAAAAGAAAATCCCACTATCAATTGCAAATGTTTCTCCCATCTTTCCAAAAAGCCTTCCCCAGTCTTAATGCACGTTAAACATTTGTATCTGTTAACATCTAGCAATACGCTCTCTCTTTTGTAAAGAGGGGAATACGTACTTCCTCAGGACAGTATAGAAGAAGTAAGCATGTCTACCTACCTGAAAAAGTGACCTCAATCCTGGCTTCCTCCCGTTCCTTGGCAATAAACTCTTTCCTCAGATTCTCGTCGAACAGCGACCCCGTCCTCTTTGGTTCCTCGGGCTCGGGTGGCGGCGGGGTGGGTTCCCGCGGGGGCTCGGGTTCGGGCTCGGGAGGAGGAGGAGGCGGGGGTTCCTCCTTCTTCTCCTTCTTCTTCATGGGCTTCCCTACCAGGCCTCCCATGATGCACCAGTCAGGCTGCGCCCACAAATCGTCGGTAGACTCTGGACAATCATCACATACATCTTATTATAGTTATTGCCTGTTTTGTGTATTATTATATATTGCCGTAATTGACTGTGTATATTTTGTTGTTGTACATGTTTTTTCACACATATACTTTTTTTGTGTAGGAGAGCAACGCGTAAAGGTGCGTACGTACCTGTTTTGCCCTCCCTTTCACTTGGTGGAAAATACCAGTAAACAAATTAACAAACAAACAAATAAGCATATTCAAAAGATCAAAAACTCACATTTTTGCAGGAATTTTTCGAACGAAAAGCTACTACCCTCTTCATTACGAATGACCCATCACTTGAACATAGACACGTGACTTCAATCAATCCGTCATGAAGAAGACCACTGGGCCCCACGAAAGCTCGGCAAACGCAAGTCAGTTTTTGGGTGCCCAGAGATGTCATCCATATAATCAAATCAACATGGCCTTATGGCAGACTTCTCCAGGCCCTACCTGCCACCTGTAGCACAGTGTTGGAGCTGGACGAGCCGAGCTGGTTTGTGACGACAGCTGTGTACGTTCCTGCGTCATCCACGTCACACTCCCTGACGTACAGCGTACACACGCCCTGCGCCAGGTTCACCTTGTACTTCTCACCGTCAATCTGTCACAAGAGAGAAGGGACCGTTTCATATTCCAGAATTATATTCTCTAAGATATCATTTCTTCTCACCGTCAATCTGTCACGGGAGGGAAGGGACCGTTTCATATATTTATGTTTATCGAAGGAAAACATACTGTTTTTGCTACGTTTCTTCCTCTTCTTCTCCAAACACTAACCTCAGACTTGGTCAATGACCTGATTTTTTTACGTTTCTACCATGGTAACCGGTGTTGGGTTACATCATGTTGCAATTTTATAGTAGGAGGAATTTATACTCCTGTCTGGACATACATATGAATGTGTTTTTAGTAAGAATTAACAGAGCCGACCATATTCGAAGGTAAACATTATCCATTTAATTTGCTTTGCAAATGTTACCTTTCTAGTCCAGAATTATATTATAAAAGATATCATTTCCCTGGTCTTTGCGCGGCCAGTAAACCTACAAGGCGGCCAAACTCCCCTGGCAAATAATCTCCTAAATATAGCCAGAGCAGTTAGTCTGGTAGAGGCTACCTTTATAGGTTGATCTTCCTTCTGCCACTCTATCGTGGGCTCGGGACTGCCGTCCACAGCGCAGGTGAAGTACGCCTCGTTACCCTGCACCACGATACACTTGGGGCGGGGTCGGTGCAGGAAGGTGGCGGGGTGGTCCATCAGGGCCTGGCGGGTAGCCGTGCGGGGACTCTCGTGCATCCAGCTGTAGTCTCGGCCCCGCGGGGTGGCGTGGCACGTCGACTCCAGGTAACGCTTCCACTCGTACGTGTAGGAGCGGTCAATCTCGTCCTGGGTCTGGATAGAATACACTCGGCTTACTCAGTCCATATGGATGAAATATATTGTTTTTGACGACGTCTAAGGGAGGAACCTAATGGTACAGTATTGTGTGCAATTTGCAACAATTCTAGGAATTATACAGGACAGGACAATAATCATTTTAACTTGAGTTAAGTGAGGAAAGTCGTGTAAAGTGCTTTTCCCAAGGGCACAAGATCGGTGGAATGTCAGGACTCGAACCCGGGACCTCTTGGTTCTGAGTCGAGCACTCTGCCGTTACGCCACACGACCCAACTCCTTTAAGGTTTGTAATTAGAGTCAAAGCAAAGAAACTAAATGTCCAAGAAGTGCCAAAGAATTCATACGAATTTTATACAATTATACAATTAAATTCATACAATCCATTACTAAGAAACATAGGAATTCTACGGAATACATACGATCCATTACTAGAAACATAATTTTATAGCGGAAAATCCTTACTAATTTCGTAAAATTCGTATGAATTCCGTAAAATTCGTATGAATTCCGTAAAATTCGTATGAATTCCGTAAAATTCGTATGAATTCCGTAAAATTCGTATGAATTCTTTGGCACCCCCTGATGTCGAAAACCGACCTCGAGAATCTGTTGTCGCACAGGCACGCTGGAGGGCACCTTCTCGTCCATCCAGACGTCCTTGCGGCTGCTGCGCCAGCGGGGGTGGGCGTCAGGCGGGCCGTGGTGCGAGTAGTCCCGGGACCACTGGTACTGGTACCTGGGGGACAGGCAACGGGATGGATCTGTACTCTTCTCTTAAAGGCATCCGTTGCAATTTCAGGGATGCAAGACAAAAAATATGAGGAAATCTGTCTTATATTGACATTTAAAATATTTTTTTATTAGCACATTTTTGTCATCATCATACTTAAAGCGTTTGAAATAGCCTCAAAACAAACCGCGGGGCGTCTCCTTATTTTTGGGTACCACCCATAAATAACTAGAATCAGCCTACGATACAAAACCAGCAATCGTTTTTCGTCAGCGACATTGCATACTTGCTTCACAGATGTCAGTATACTTTGGCCATGGGCAAGGGTTGATTTAACTTAAGAATGACCGAAAAATTAACTTTGAAAAAATCCGCCCTGAAATTACATTGGATGCCTCTAAGTTCAAAAAATAGCATGATGATGAGGAAAAACATGTTTATCTAAGAATAGCAATGTTCTTTTCTTTATTTCTCCGTACCTGTCCGCCAACCAGGCATTGTAGGCTCCGTAGTCGTACGAGTCGTAGTCTTTGCCTGAAATCATCTGTCCGTACCCCTTGCCGAGCCCGGGCATGCGGTTAGGTTCCGGCGGGGGCGGGGGCCTGTATGTCCCAGAGGGAGGCCCGCTGATGGTACGGTACCGCCGCCACACGGACTTGCTGTAGGGGGCGGTGGCGCTCTGGTCTGGAGAGGAATAACCGGCCCCGCCTGTCTTCTGACCAGAACCGGGAGTCCTGACAAGTAAAAAAAAAAAAACTTGTGGTAAACACCTAGCAGTGCCAAACTTTGTACGATTCTACACACAGAACTTTATTACATGACAATTGTATGTGGTGCAATATGCATGGCAACAAATATCTAACATAGTGCAAAAAAGGTGTAAAACTTAGCAATGTAATTACAATGGTAGTGTAAGTCATTGACATAGTGATACAATCCAGTGGGACTGATCATGAGGTTTGATACATGTATTTCTTCTGATAACAAATTAGTCTTATATCTATCTTTGAACTGTTGGAGTTACATATACATGAACAATGACTATATCTACATTCTCTTTCGAAAGTTCATCTGTGTGGGTACGTGTACAAGGCATCATAGAAAACGTCTTTTTGGGTCAGTTATCCTGAAGAAGACCAGAGGCCTGGTTGAAAAGGCAAAGCTACGTGAGGCGTCTCTTCATTTTGGGGGGTATCGCCCCGAAGTCAACCTAAACTCCAAGCAGATCCCTTTCAGTGGCAAGACAGTATCCATTAGCCAGAGAAGGTCGCCGGCCACCGACGGGGGTAGCGACAAAAAAATGGCCATAAATATAAAAGCTAACCGTTGATCATTCCCCCACAACCTCTGCTTGGAGAGTAGCTGCAACCAGCCTACGATACAAAACAAGCAACCGTTTTCCGTAAGCGATTTTTGCCTCACAGATATCAGTATGCTTTGAGACAGGATTGATTCAACTTACCGTACATTAAAAGAATGACCAGAAAATTGAAAATCCAGTTTTGCCGCCCTGAAATAGCGTTGGATGCCTTTAAAGCAATCTTTAAGGCAATCTTTATTGAAAAAAATTAGCACATGACAATCAGTATTTCATACTTTGGGTATTTAAAAATGCCGAAACAAGCCCCAAGATGAGTCAGCTCCGGGTCCTTCCAGGAGCCGTTTTCTGACAAAATTTTGGGAATTTTTGCTCCATGAGCATCAATATACATTGGGATAGTGTTGTTTCGCACCACGTAGAAAAGTGACTAGAATATTGACTGAAAAATTGGGTTTTCCAATGCCTAAAACTGCATTGGATGCGTTTAATGATCCTCGACACGTGTACACAGTAACCTTGTGGCACTTACATACAGGACCGTGTAACCTCTCGTCACTGATACACAAGACCCTGAAACCTTATGCTTGTGGCACTTACGTACAACTACAAGGCCCTGTAACCTCGCGAGGCACGGACATACTAGACCCCGCAGGCCCCACACGTATACACTGCGACATACGATCACGTTACAGTATAGGGCGGGGCAATACTCAAGCTATGTCACCTATGCAATAAAATTGTCCATCAAACATCGAAATATTTTCAAGGCAGTCCAAATGTAGATATGTCCCGATGATTGCTCTGTTTTTTACCCCTCTAGAGATCTGTTTGATGTATACAAAGTATTGCAAAGTGTTGTTTCAGCTACGAATTTATTGTTGCTCGTCTTTGGCGTATCAAATTTAACTGGTTGATAAATGTTATGTCTATTTGAAGTATTGTGCAGTTAAGGAAAACGTACGGGAATATCATAGATAAAATTCAGCTAGCTAGGTTACAGATTGAAGAGGAAAATTAAGGAATTATAATGATAGTTTTTGAAAACAGACCAGTGACATATCTGCACGGAGGGGTCTCAGTATCATATACCGCGACCTTCTGGTTATGTTACACGACCTGTTACAGATGTAACTGATAACTGTGTTTTTATGAGACTCCATACAAAACAAACGTCCAACCTTCCAAAATATCAAACTTTAACAAGCTCCCCTTGACATGATCAAACTCGTGCTCATCAAATTTGACCCACTACGCAGAAATGCAGGCGGCAGTCAGTGACTATGGATAGCAGCTTCACAAATATCATTATCAATGGACTAAAATTCTTTATTTAACGAGATCAGACATAAACATAACGAGCTACGTGGGAGACTTCAATATGGCATGTACAACATGTAACGCCTACTCTTAACACTGCTTTTTACTATGTATCATAGACAGACTACGTGTGCAGATAAAACTTTTGACACATGAAAAATTAGGACCTTCGACTTGACCTTGCTATACACGTACTACATGTACCCCTCCACGTATGTCGTAATATATATAACGTTATGACTCATAGAATGTTCTATATCGGTATGGATCTTAAATATCAATTGGCAATTCCTACATGAAAGCTATGAGATTTTGCCAAACATTGCGCTTTAGGGCACTAAGACCAATTCGGCCATTTTGATATAGAATAAATTCAGCCCGTCAAAGAGTATGTCATAATTCATCTAAACTTGGCTCTGATGACAAACGTTATAGACAGGTATAAATAGAACTGATATCGATAATGTACAGAAATATCTTACAACGTACCCGGCTCAATCTAAACTTTTAAAGTTATTACAAATGTAAATTTGTCTATAGAACAGCTGCTTTGGTATAAAAAAAGGACCCGTTTTGTGCGATAATTTTTTAAGTACATTGTAGATATATAGGGAAGGGAAGTATGTCCACTTACCATCGCATTACAGGTTGTGGCGAACCGAAGACTTCCAGGCGAAAACCAGCTATCCCTCCGGTGGTCAAACCGACCTCAACCGCACCGGGTTCCTTCTTCAAAACCGGGCGGGAGGCACCCACGTAGTCTACCGAAGCCATGTCTGTACAAGTCCCGCTACGAGCTTACCCCTTACTCCGAGACCCACCCCTGAACAACACCCCAAACTTTTATTACAATCACGAATTCCTGCAGACGTATCATAGCAGCGGCCGGTTCAATATTTAGAAAGATCGTTGGGCCGGGGGTAAGTTGAGCCGGGTGGCGGTGACTGACAAGTCTATGCGCTGCTTATTGTGAGGACATGTCCGGTATGGGAGCTATGGCGGGGTATTACGTGTATGTGTGACAGACATGCGGGTGGGATAAAACGATGATTTATGAAGGCTACCTTTCCTGAAAGTAGGGCAGAAAAACAACACCTAGAACTAATAAGATTAAAGTTCAGATTATTCCCAACATGGTAGTCTCATGATTTTATCAATAATCTTTATTTGCAAAATCATGCCCGAAGGCTAATTGCTTTCACAGTCAAAGACACTATTTGGTACGATCATTCTACCTCATGGTACGATACAATAATAGTAAACGGACAACTACTTTAGTACTTGTCTGGAAAAGCGTATACTTCTACTACTACTCTATCTATTTTGAGGTTTGACTTCTTCTTTGAAGGCAGTGGGTAATGAATAGTCCCACATTCTGCATAATGAGTGTTTATTTTTAGTCCCCAATGAAACTAACGTTGCTTACAGTGGTATTGGCATTGTTGATTGATCTTAAAAGCATAAGTAAATACCTCTTAAACGAGATTATTCGTCTAAATGTTTTTACATGGGAAAAACAGCCAGAGAACTGTAAGGTAGACCCAAACGTCACGTACGCGTCTGACTATGGACATGCTTCTGTCTGCACGCAAAGGGATTCATAAATGCTGTCATAGTCATATTTCACACACACTGTATCATAAAAATAACATAGGGAGAGAAATATACTACTTTTCCTTTGGTTCTTCTGAAACACATTCTGTTGGTCAAAGTGATGGAACGGTCCATTTTTGCAAGGGGGTGGGATGGGGGTGAAATATCTGTCATTTGCTTGCAAATGTTGCCTTTCTGGTATATAAAGTTGTTTTCAACATGTAGAGTAGAGAACAACACATTGTAAAGATATCCGGTTACACTGAGGAAAGAACGTGTTCTCTTCTGGCTAGATCGAAGTAACATACATATATGTGCCTATACCATCTACCAGGCTTCAGAAACGGCTGAAAAGAGCAGAAATTGGCCAAATGGATAGATAACATGCCAGGGGGTCTGGTAAAGTACAGTTTGCTGCCTCTGAATCCTGGTAGAGGCTAGAACAAGCCTAGCTGGCAGTTGTATTGTTTTTTTAGTGTAATAGTATTATTAAGGCTTGGTCAGGATTGAAACACGTTTCTGCTAGTCTTTTCCAGACTAACTACGCGTAGCTGGCTATATACAGGAGAATATTTGCCAGGGGAGTTTGGCCGCCTTGTAGGTTTGACAGGCCGCGCAGTTAGGAGGGAAAGAAACTACCTCCCTGCGGTCGGACTCCCTTGGCCAATTTTACTTTCTTATTTGCCGAATTCTACGATCCGTATTACCGTAGAAAGGCCTGGTGGAGGCTACGTTTCTGCTTGGAAGCCACATCACCCATCATTTATCTTATTCCTAGTTACATTGTCAGACTTACATAATATATACTTATAATAACTCCATCAAACACATTTCAAGTACAAAATTAGATAGTGACTCTGTTAAGTCCACGTATGAGCAGATATTTATGTTTACCGAAGGAAAACATATTATATTTGCTCATTTCCTCCTCCTCCTCTTCTCCAAACACCTAAAAATCGTAGATATTTTCGTAATTAGAGCTTGGAGGAAAATGAAATTCAGCATGCTGGTAGGTTGGTACGTTAGACATTGAACCTTGGTCATTTTGGCCAA